GCACGTGTAATAATATACAACAAAGGATAAGGCTTAATTTTAAATTTTATTATATTATCCATTGTTTATTTGAGACCTTGGTCATAAAAACAAATCTCTAGTACTCTTAACTAAATTAATCTTTGTTCTGCGATAAAAATGATAAACAAATTCAATTGTTTTCGCCATATGTATGAGGTACATTTTATTAAATCGTTCATCAAAACAATGGAAAAGTACTGGCTTACGTATGCACTCAATTGCGTGAGCAGCTATAATATAGCTGTAGCTAAAAAATGACTGCAATATCGACTAGACGTTAAAATTAAAATGAACTAAAAGCTTTTTAAATGAAATCGTGTTATTGGTCACGTTTCTAGCGCTTCAATTCACTTGACCCCCATATTTATAATAATTTTGTATTAATAGACAAATATTAAATTAAAATGCAGCAAAACAAACATGGAGACTGACATCCTGAAAAAAGAGCACACTACTTACGAACTATTTTCACTCATCATCATTGCGGGCATTTTCAACAAGCTTTCCTCGTCAAATTCCAACTGAAAATTATTTGATATAGTCTCTTGCGGGATAATTAACATCGAAAGACAAGTAATAACCGATTAAACAAAAAATATGGTTTATAACCACGAGATTACAAAATCGCACTGAAATTGCTTAAAACACACAGGGAACCGTACAAAATACGAACTGAATGTGAATTATTTCGTCAAGTTTCTCACAAAGAGTGTAGAGCGACGTTGCCGATACCAATTTCTAGAAATTTCTAACACGAAGTCTCCACTAACTAAACTAGAGTACACTAGCGCGGGTTTTGTAGAAAGTAGAATAAGATATAGCAAAGGATTGTTTATTTTAAAAAGCGTTTCTTAGTAAATAAATTAGTGTTTAGTTTTGATGTGTTTACTATTTCTGAACCCAAAGACTTAAAAATATAGGTAAATATGACACACATTAAAAAATATTAAAAGTAATAGTTTTTATGTACAGGATGTCTCAAATTTTGCAAAAATATGAAGAAAAGTTTATGAGTGAATCTCACAAAATGTCCCCCGATGGTGTTACCCCGTGATATTTAATAAAACTAAATGAGTTTGACCTACACTTTTATTGTGTTTTGATCTTTCATAATTAAGTAGATATTACAGCTCAGCTTCCAGATTTTTAACCGCAATTAATTATAATTAAAAATAATTATTTTTTACAATGTTTTAAAAGTCTAAAACCTATCCTCCGTGACTGTTACTTTTTCTAGGTTAACCTATATGTTTTCAAATATCTGAGGTAGTAAAAGCTAATAAAAATATCAGTTCACTAAGTAAATTAAACACATCCAAAGCAATCGAATCAAATATAAAATAATATTAAAAATTAAAAGAAATAATGTTTAGAACCATTTATGTAGGTGTTACAAAAATTAATTCTATCCTCCGTGAATCTGTTTTTTCTTTAAATTTTATGCAACGGATGGTGCTTTAATCATTTTTAATAAGCAAAAACCTCTGTTTACGACATTATACAGGGTGTCCGGGAAAAGGAGGTCAATCCGTTAACCATATATTCCTTGAGTTAAAACAATAAGACTTTCATAATACCATTTTGCAATTTAGAGCTTCATGTTCGATATACAGGGCGACAAAGTTTGAAATTTAAAACTGATTTTTTTTAATAATTCGAGTAATTGATAAGATATTAAGTTTAAATTCGGTACACTACTTCAACATAAATAGTTACATTTTTGGAGACCAACAAAACAAAAAACAATTGTCAAATAATCAAAATAGGGGGGTCCAGTACTCACTGACTCCCCCTATTTTTTAGTACGTGCGCCAATGACTTCCAAACGGTATTTTTTCAGGTAATCATTTATTGTTAAAAAAAATTTGTCTCTTATAAAATTTTGATAAAATGATTTGTTTTAGAGATAATTTGTAAAGTATGGGTCAGTCCATATCAAATCAACCAAAGGTTCTTCCCACACCATCTCCGATTTTGATAATTTTTGGTAAATTTGTTTACCTCACTAAAAAACTAAAAAATCCCCTATATGAATTTTGTTCGATAGGTGGTTTTTTGTTTTATTGATTTTTGAAAATCAAAAAATTTCGATAAATTTGGGTCTTGCAAGTACTTACAAAAATAGCGATATCTCGTAAACTATTAAAAGTAGAAAGGTGAGTGGTGGCTTATTTTAAAGGCCTATTAGAGACCTTTTTTATGATACATCACATGACCTAAATTTTTTCAAAAAAAAATTAAATTTCGAAAATTTGATATGGACTGACCCATACTTTACAAATTATCTCTAAAACAAATCATTTTATCAAAATTTTATAAGAGACAAAAAATTTTCAACAATAAATGATTAACTGAAAAAATACCATTTGGAAGTCATTGGCGCACGTACTAAAAAATAGGGAGAGTCAGTGAGTACTGGACCCCCCTATTTTGATTATTTGACAATTGTTTTTTGTTTTGTTAGTCTCCAAAAATGTAACTACTTATGTTGAAGTAGTGTACCGAATTTAAACTTAATATCTTATTAATTACTCGAATTATTAAAAAAAATCAGTTTTAATTTTCAAACTTTGTCGCCCTGTATATCGAACATGAAGCTCTAAATTGAAAAATGGTATTATGAAAGTCCTATTGTTTTAACTCAAGGAATATATGGTTAACGGATTGACCTCCTTTTCCCGGACACCCTGTATAATACCTATATATGTAGGTAGGTCAGTTAGAATTTATATGCAGATGAGAGTGTTGCTGTTTTATAATTCAAAAGTTTAAGTTCATTAATTTGCTTTTTAAAAACCTATCCACCGTGAAATGTAATATCTCAGTAAGTAGATTTTTTTTATAAATATTTCATGAATATACAATTGTATTTTTTAAAAATATTAAGGTGTCAAAAGAAACAATAACTTATTTCAAATGTACAGAGGGATGTTTAAAAAAACATACGAAATCCTAACCTCCGTGAAGCTATCTTCCGTGAAGCTTTAATATTCAAAATGTATGATTTATTAAAATTTTTGCATTAGTGCAGAACCACTTATGTTATGTTATTACTAGACCTGGTGGCTTCCCAAAAAACCCATTCTAGACTAACAGTGAAACAACCAAAAATAAAAAATAATCATTTTCACTTGGGGGACATATTCACCCAAATTCAACTTTTTTGACACTTGCATTTTCCCTCTATTTTGCTTAATTTTCAAGAAAAAAATAAATTAGTTGATCATAATTTTTATAGAGGCGAGCGAATAAACTTATTTTACTTTTTTCTTAAAAATTAAACAGGGTGGAGAAAATAATGAGGAAGACAAAAAAGTTTTATTTTAGTTGAGATGCCCCAGCGCGGTCTCTGGATTAACTAAATTAAATAATAAGGGTGGTTACGCTTAAAAAATTATTCACATTTTATCACATTCTTTATTAGTACTGAGGAGCTACTTATTTGTTATTAAATTTTGGTTTTAGAATTCTGTTTCATACAAAACCTATGAAATATATCCAAGTTTTCACTATTGCAATATGATGGGGACATGGGGTTATATATAGAGTGTGATGGTAACTTTTAACCTTAATTAGACATTAAAAATATTTTTATTTTTAATTGAAAAATGTTTTATTATTTGTTATGTTAATTTAGGCTAAAGTGCACACTTTCCATTTTCCAGTAGGTGTGTAACAAATAGGGTTGCCACCTGTCCTTTTTTGGAAAGGACAGTCCTTTTTTTGAATAAAATGTTCTTGTGTCTTTTTTCAATGCTAAATGTCCTTTTACAAGGTTTTGCATATCTATAGATATTTTTGCAAGGTATGTGTATTGCTGATTAAAAGTTTTTTTAAATTTTTTTACCGCTAAAATCATTGACAAGATCGTGCCTTGTCTATGGCTAAAAGTTATTTAAGGGAAATGCAATTTTTATTATTGGTAGAATGGCAGCCGTGCCCTGTAAACAGTGTTTCCAAAATAAACAACCCTAACCTTCAAATTGATATGAACCAGCTTTTCAATGAGGTAATGGAAGTTTCAGAAAAATTTCAAGAATATGCAGTTAAAGATAAATTTGTCAAATTAAGTACCCCAAAAAAATGGCAAAATATTTTCCAAAATAAAAAAATCATACAAATATGTTTTCTTTAATTTCATATTTGTTAAGTACGTATACCTGCAAGCTCTGCATTTTCAGAACGCATTTTTTCTGTGATGGGCTCCAAATGGACAGACGAAAGAAACCACTGCTCTACAGAACTAATTCGCTCAGAATTGCTAATTTACTTTAACTTCAAGGAAACTTGCGCGGAATTTTATGAACTGGCGAAAGGTGACAAACAGCTGCTGGAGGCAGCCAAGTCTAATAAAAAATATAAATTTAAGTTTTCTAATTGATTTCTTTATCAATACACCAATATTAATATTGCTTCTTGCCTTAATATTTGTTTTGTACATACCTACATATTTGTTATTCAATAAACATTGTAAAGTATAAATATTTTATTTTATTCATGCACAATGCTTAATATTAAATTGTTTATTTTTAGGGTGGTAAACGCCCAAATGTTTTTAATAATGTAACTTTGTCCTTTTCGGCTATCAAGAAAAGGTGGCAACCCTAGTAACAAAATGTATTATTTTTGTCACGAATTTTCCTAAAATATATCAATTTAGATAAAGGTTTTTCTCGTTGTTTATATTTACAGTAAATTTTCAACAAAAAACCTTAATATAATAATCTGTTTAAAAATCTCAGATTATGAAGTTTAATTTCACATCGGCAACCTTGATGATATTCGCGCATGTGTTCATTGGGCGCCACGTGTAAACAGCGGCAATTTTAAATAATTAGTTTTTGTAAATTTTTAATTTGTAATATTTGGAAGTAAAATAAATATTATATTGGTAAAGGATGTTTCCCATTTATATATTGTTTAAGAATGAATTTTGATGATGCAGCATTTTTGTTTATTCATTAAAACAATGGTTAATTGTTTAATTGTTTATTTCCAAACCATAATATACATAATATATAAAAAATCTATATATACATAACAATAAAATAACAAAAAAATCCATGACAAGACATATACCATTAAAATTGTTGAATAAAAAGCAGATTGGTTTATTTCCTATTTACAAAATATCTATTCATTATAAATGTAGCAAAAAATGGCCAAACAATCATAAAGGAAATCAATTGAGGAGACATATTCCCAAACATGCCTTTTCTCTTTTGGTAGGCAGATTGAGTGTTTTTGTTTTCTAAAGAATTGACCCTATTTGATAATCTGTCAATGTCAACTTTTAAGCTTTGCACAGCTTTGGAAACTTCTTGAGAAATATCCAAATTGGTTTGAGATTTTGTTCGGGTTCTCGATATATGTGGAACGAAACCATTGGAGAGGCCATCTCCATATGGTACCCCATTGGGGACATACCGTCTGGGTTCTGGATTCTAAAAGGAACAATTTTTATTTTTGTTAAAAAATTATAATATTCTTACTTCTATCGTATCTATGTACTCATCGTCACTATGATCTGTGTCATCGCCAATGGGAATGCTCGGGGATATTGAAGGAGTTCCATTTAAACTAGACCCCAATCTAGTTGGCGAAGCCTCTCGGGAAGCTGAAACAAAAACCGTCAAGTTCCGAACAAAAAAAACAAACTGTACACGGTGGTCAAACCTTAAGTATAGGACGAACAAAAATGCCAACTAAAACTGATAGCATTTACTCAATGCTGATAGCATATTTTGATTATAGACCCTTTTGGTAACACCAACATGTATTTATCAAAATCCCAGCTGATCCTATTTTAAAGTTTTGCAAACTTTTTTGTTTTTCTATTTCTATAATATATTATATTATTGTACTAAAACTACCTGTAAGTACAATTTTAATAAAATTAAGCAAAATAATAAACTTTGTATCATTTAAATTACTTTACTCCCCAGTATTAATTTATTGAGTCACCTATTATTTTTTACCACTTAAAACAAAACATAACAAAAAAAACGAAGATTTATATCTTAAATATTTTTTATAACAAAAAATACTGGAAGTTTGTCTATGAAATAATTACAACTTGCAAATTTTGTAAAACAATAATTAAGGTGGTTATGAAAAAAATTGCTATAGGTACGTTATAACGCAAGTGACATTTTGCTTTAGTTGTTTATTTAATGTATACTTTATAAAGTTAAAAATAGTATTTTAAAATGAAAATTAAACCGAAATTCAAGTTAAGCCATGAAGAAAATCGAAAAAAGGTATGTGCTGGCTGTGGAGACAAAATTGTTTTTGGTAATCGAAAAATTCAGAGTTTAGGGTTTCTGAGAAAATATAAAAATTACTGCAGACTTTTTCAAACGAACACTTTAACTTAAGTGATTCAAAATTACCTACTTCAATATGGTAAAAACGGTATTTTTGCATAGCCACAATTGCCAAATTTTCAAAATTTAGAAATTGCTAGAGAATTTCGCGGCAGCCAAGAATGTATGTGCTTTATCTGCAAAATGGCAAGATAGGTATAAAGGGCATAAAAAATTATTAAGGGAAGAGGACGGACGAACGAACTAAAGTTTTGATATGCTCTTCCTTTCTAGGGGATATCGCTAGATGTAAGAAGCATGTTTATACAGAGACTGAAGAATTAAAAAAAATCTTTTCATGTTAAAAACAATTCCATGTAAGTTATTTATTAGTTTTGTATTAGGTACCTTAAAACAATAAATAAGATATTGCAAACTGTATTTTACATTATTTTGTATTTATAATGTAATTTATCCATATTTCAGTCATGTATCTGCCAATTTTTTTAAAAACATTTGATAATGGTACTAGAGTATTTTATCGAAATGGCATAAACAATTTTAATACTAAGAAATATGCAAAACTTTAATAAAGGATCAGCTGGGATTTTGATAGATCCATTTTTGTGTTGGCATTTTGTTCGTCCTATACTTTAGTTTTGACCACCGTGTGTAAAGTTATTTTTACCGAATGGCGAGTTGGGTTGCGACCTAACCCTCTCCATGACGTCACCAGCTATTAATTCTAAGTCATTCATGCTGAGAGAACTGAGTTCATCTGTCGGGGCCTCAAGAAAATTCGCAACTTTGTCGGAATAGCTCATTGTCTCTACAATTCTTTAAGGAAAACATATTTTTAATAAATAATTTATTAATTTGCATTACATATAATTTTTCTACTTCTTTTTATTCGTTATCATTAAATTTGATTGAAGATCCACTTAAATAAAACAATACATTTCAATTATTAATGGAAATATTAATATTTAATTGCAATAATATAGATAATTTTTTTTCTAGCGAGGTCGTTACAATTTATAAGAATTAAAAACAATTTAAGTGTATAAACTGGGTTGACGCCATTAATCTCGTAACGCTAAAAATGGTCAAAATTAACGATGTAGACATGAAATAACGCAATGTTAATAAATCCGGCCCTGTGCACGCTTCCGTCACACAACATAACCAATAACCAACCAAAATTTTTGCCAGAATTTTTTTCCAGTAAATCATTTAATAAAATACATACATTTCTTAAGAATTATTTTTTTATAATTCCAAAGAAAAACAAAACATAAAATTTAAATTAAATATTCTTGTGCATGAGTGATTTTTATAAATTTTTATTTTGACCCCCCCTCTGGAAAAGCCACTGAATTATAAACAGTTTTTGTTTTTTTTCTGGTGATTTTTCGTGTAAACATCTAGGGAAATTAATTTTTACACCTGGCCACTCTACTTCCCCCTCAAGCGTCAGGAGATTTATGGACAGCCCAAAAATTTGCCCCACAGTATTTATGTTAATATTTAGATAGGTGTTTAATATTTTAACACTTACAAATTATTACAATATATTTAAATTTAATAACCCAGTCAATTATTATTTTAATTAAAACTTAACTTATAAAAAGAGATACTTGTTTTGTTTAATTAAATAAAACCAGGGTGACCAATTTTTTACTTCTATATTTTTCCGTTTGCTGTGTAATCTTACAATTTTATCATTGACTATAGTATGTATACACACTCAAGGATTTTATATTATATATTTTTACTATTGGGTCATTCCACGTTACTCGGGGATTTTTGTCCCGCCCGTCACAATTAAAAATTGTGAGTAAAAACTACACGTTATAAAATTTATTTTAAAATATTGTTTATTATGCTTTTAATAAGCAGAGCCGGCTTAAGGCAATTGAGCGCCTTAGGCACTTAAAAATTTGGCTCCTCTAACTAGATACTATACTTACGGGGCCCGGGGAAAATTTTAAAAAAGCTTATTAGAGCCACCCCAAACTGTTAGCTTAAGGGCGCCCGAGCATTATAACCTAATTATTCCCTACGAATTAGAATACTTTTTATCATTAAAAAATACATATAAAACATAAATAACATACAAACATAACAAATATAATGTAAATAAAAAGTGTTAGGCCTTATAAGTGCGTTTTTCTGCAAGATGTCATTAGTAAGTATTTAAAAAAAATTAATTCAACTTTAATTTTCTGTATTTTTATGTTAGACGTACTGCTGGTTTATTGTAATTAGTTTAATATTAAAATTTCAGAAATACCTTAAAACAAACAGAGAAATTAACACTATCTAAATGTGGATTTAGCCAGCATTTTGTGTAACGTAATCTAACGTAACGTAATTTAATTTAAAAGCCAGGCTAAATCAACCTTAACTATCGAACACAGACTGCTATCACCAAACACACAACACATAGAAGTGCCACTCTTGAATAAACGCAAAAACGCCCAAGTCCTTCCGACAGCAGTTTCCTCTAGTATCGCGTACCCGCTGGGGTGAGCAGCACATCACAGCGGGTACCCGATGCAAGAGGAATCCGTGTGCTTGGAGCATACGGGGGTTTTGAAATAGTTTAAAGAGTGCTAAAGATATGTTTATACAGGGTAAAGTTTACAAATTAAATTATCTTTTAAGTTTTTGTTTGCAGTTTAACGTTAAGATTTATTATTATTTGTTAATTATACAGTTAATAATAAAATATCTTATTCTTCTTCAAAACGCAGTGCCCTCGTAATCAAGCATGGTGATAAAAACAGAAGTGAATTTGCGGCAAGCTTTTTTGTCGCTTTACACCTCGTTATTACAAAGGAAGCTAAATTTTTATAAAATATAAAAACAGTAAATAATTTTTTGTTTTTACAATTGTATATTGTTTATTTGTTTTATTTTTGGAAAAAATAAACATTTTGGTAACAATTTTTATTTTTTTTTAAGTTGCCTGGGGACAAGGCGCCTATTTCTACGTGGCGCCTAAGGCAATTGCCTTGCCTGCCTAATGGGTAATATGGCCCTGTTAATAAGTTATAAGCACAATAAAAATAATATTATAAAATATTAATTTAATAACTCGTGGTTTTTACTCACAATATTTAATTGTGACGGGTGGGACAAAAATTACCGAGTAACGTGGAATGCCCCTATTTCAGGCTTGATTACTTAACGTAAATTAATGAGGTAGTTACTTTAGTAGGTAGGTATACAATAAAATGTACCTGCAGGCAGATTAAATAATAGCGGCTCAGTGTATAAAAGAACATATTCTGATTACTTTTCAACAGGTACAAGGTACATAAAGACATCTATTGATTGTTGAAGTAGGTAGAAAAGTACATTTACCTAGGTAAACAAAAATAAAGAAGAAGAAAAACGTTTGGAAGCCATTGTTTTATTGTTGTTGTCATTAAATGCAAAAACAAAATTATTATTAATGCTAATTTATAAAATTTAATTATTTCGCCGTTATAATAAGTGTATCATAATTTATAGTCCAACTTAATGGTTGGTATAAATAGCATGGATGTGTTTATCAAATAGGTTATTTAAAAAAAATGGTGATAAACATTATAAACAGCATTGAGCTCGTTATTAAAATCGCAATAAGAAACATGATATTTGTATAATAATGTTTATACAGGGTGTCACGAAAATAGCTGAAAAGTAAAATTAAAATTACTACCGCGCAATTAACGTATTACATACTTGGTCAGGGCCGGATTTGCATATTTAGGGGCCCTAAGAAAAAGTCGGAGAAGGGGCCCTCAATTTAAAAGTAATTTAACCTAACTAATTTGAAGTAAAACGTTATTCTTACTCATGCAGTTCAGATACGTATTTGGCCATTGCATCCGTTTTCTTCATCTCGCCGAGTTTTTTCCATGCATCGTATTTTGCGCGGCCCACTACGTCCCAGAAAGCAGGGCGGGACCCGCTGCAAGGCCCCTGCGTAGCTTGCTTGAAATAAGCGTAAAACCTGAGCATCAGCTCGTTGCTGGGTTGATAGGAGCCTGAAATAAATAGTTATTTATGTCATTAGGTTAAGAAGTAAGGCTAAGCTCAAGGTTTGAAGGCCGGACGCGTAGCGGAGGCCTACAATTGAGCGAAGCACAAAAAGGCACTTCTTGGCCGAATGGCATACAACATTTTATCTTCAAAGCACTTTATATAGGTCAATTTAATTCAACATCAAAGGGGCCTAACCTCACTTTTTTAGAATCTCATTTATTTATTAGCTAAAGATTACATTAAATGTACAAGAATTATTATTGCTTTTGGAAGCAGTAATACTTTGACAATACCTAGCTATATGATTTAAGTAGAAATGGATTTTTGCTATTACATTGAATTCAATTAATTGTTTAATAAATAGGTAGGTATCTAATTTCAATTTGTTTGGATTTTTATTTAAATATTAGGTAGTTTGGAATGTTTAAGCTGTGTTTAACATTTAATTTCACTGAAAACTTAAAGCAAATTAAAACTTAAAGATAATTTAAATCGTAGAAAAAGATTTGTGCGTTTTCTTGGTTGCCTAACCTCACTTTTTGTTGTATTATTTATATTTAATTTTACAATAATTTAATGAAAAATATTAAACATTAACAGTAAAACAAACAAATTAGTGCTTATTATAAATAAATTAAACCAGTTTAGTACGTTAATTTCTTAGAAAAGGATTAATTTGTCAAAACAATACCCCTAGCGAGAAAAAATCGAACTAGTTACATGCCTCATAAAATTTTTTATCGGCCTAGGCCATAACAAGGTATTTCTTTTTCGAATGTTGACAACAATAAAGTTTAAATTATAGACCGCGTGGAGATAAAAATATTTTAAATACAAATTAATACAAATATTTTTCTTATCAGATTTTCAAAATCCAAAAACCACATTAAAAACAGACTTCATTTTAGTTGTGTTAGTAGTTTGTGTTCACACTGTGGAATGCACAGTGTAATATCAAAGTCCAGATCCTTTATTTTTAGCGGTTTTTAAAAGGAACTGCGGAAGTTCTGCACACTTTTTTACATCCGCATTTTTTATATCGAAAGCTTATAGAAACTTTCCATAAATAGCGAGATTGACGTTAAGAACGTTTATTGGCCGAATAAGCACAGTGTGCACACCGTTTATGTTTTTTAGTTATTACGTCGTAATCTCTCCGTCACCGTAAAAAACGGCAATTAATAAATTTTGTAGAATTTATCACTTATTATTACACAGTTCAATACGATTTTTCTCCCATGAAAATTTTTAACAGATTTTAAAAATAAAGGTTAAAAGGTTCACCGTTTCACGAAATCACGTCATATAAGTTTTTTACACAGCCATTCTTATTATTTTAACCTAAACAGATGGGGTGTTCTATTTAAAATAACAATGATGCTGCCACTTCCGATTAAACCGGAAGTGGCATTTTGTTTAAAATATTTTAGGCTTAATTGAATAATAAACGCTTTCAAAATTTCAAATCGATATCTTTTGCCGTTCCTCAGGAACTTTTAATGGACCACGTACGTAAAACAAACGTATTGAGTAAAAGTGCAACACCCTGTATATAATTATATATACGTACTATGCTCCACACCCAAAAGTCCCACTTTGACATTTGAATACCTACAAATAATTGAGGTTATTTATCTGTCATTTAAGGCTTAATTCGTCCTAATTTCCGAAAATAATACAATATACGTGTTTATATATATATATGTGTTTAAAGTTCTTAATTAATTTAGAACTCAAAAATTCATAATTTGTTGTATTGCATTTAAAAAAAATAATTGTCCAATTAGCTTTAAACTGACAGATACATAACCTCAATTATTAGTATTCAATGTCAAGGTAGGACTAATGGGTGTGAAGCATAGTGTCTATTAATAATAATTATTAGATTATTATGTAGGTACTTTTTTGAGTAAAAAAATAGTTCTTCCCTGTATAACTGCTTTTAAAAGAAATAAAATTCCTACCTATATAATATTAAACTCTAGTTTTGTTATTCTGAAAAATACCAAAGAAAAGAAGGAAGGTCATAAATCAATAATTTTGCAACTTATCTAGTGGTATGTAGCTAGGTACCTAGCGGCTAGATAAATTTGCGACATATATAATGAATATTTAATTACCAATTTATGCTTTAATTCATTTCTTCACCTTTCTTACACAATTTTTTAAACCATAAATAAAATGTAATGCATCCCAAGCATTTGAAAAAATTACTTTCACTTGGCCATTCTAGTTGGTATAATTTTTAGGAATCTTTTTAAACTTTACATCCTTTTTATAAACAATTAAACTTTGTCCTCTGTTGTGACTTGCTATAAAGTGGTTATATTGGTTCAAAGGGTACTTTTTGCTTAATTTATTGATTAATTCAATTCGTTAATAAAATACAGCATCAACAATTTAATTAAACTTTCCTTAGTTAGCATGAAACAAATTATACACAATAAACAACAAAAAACATTGTGAAATTAGAAGCTACCTACTAGATTATAGTGCAACAAAGATGCCACTTACCATTTTTTGGTAAACTACGGATTACGTTCACGGCAGCATTGAACTTTTCTTCGGTTGTCATGTTTTTTTTGTTTGAAAATTTGAATTAGGGCCTATAAACAATAAATATAAACGAACATGTTACACATCAATTGCACTTGTGAGTTGTAAAAAATTTTATAGGAAAAGTGACAGAAGTATTGTACATCTATCAAATAATTTAAGAACTAGTTAATATTTTACAGTTTCCTGTAATTTGCATTTGTATGATAGTAGATTTCTATAATAAATAAAGCGTTGATTCGGTTTACTATACATAGATGTCGCATAGAAGTTGACACCTGTTTCGCGCCAAATTCCATCGAAAAAGTATTTTGTGTGTGGACGTTATTTTATCCGTTAAATTGTGTTATATTTGTTAAGAAAAATGGAGGGTTTCGACGATCCAGGTGTATTTTTTAGCGACAACTTTTCTGTCGACGACAACCAACAAGATTCATCTCAGATTAACTTGCAAGCAATTAAAAAGAAATTCAAAGAGTTCATACGTATGTATCATACGGACAATTTCGATTATAAATACAGGTATAATCTAATTATCCATTGTTAAACTATCATTTGAACCGAATTATTACAGAGATGCTTTAAAACGTAACTACAACTTGCAACAATTCTACCTGGAAGTGAATATTGAAGATGTAGCTAGTTTTGATGAAACCCTTGGGGATAAACTGTACAAATTACCTTCTGAACATCTACCAATATTTGAAGACGCAGCTAAAGAAGTAGCAGATGAATTAACTGCCCCAAGGCCTGAAGGTGAAGAACATGTCGAAGATATACAAATTATGCTTTCGTCTGATTCGATGCCTGCCAATTTAAGAGCATTAAAGTCTGATGTGGTGTCCAAGCTGGTTAAAATCCCAGGTATGATCGTAAGTGCTTCTGGTATAAGAGCTAAAGCCACAAAAATCGCGATCCAATGTCGCTCGTGCAGTAATTTGATACCCAATTTAACTGTTAGGCCTGGTTTGGAAGGGTATATAATGCCCAGGAAATGTAATACGTAAGTGCAACATATTTCAATGTATTTGTGTTCATGTAATTTTTCATAGTGAACAAGCTGGAAGGCCAAAATGTCCTCTGGACCCATATTTTATAGTCCCCGATAAATGCACTTGTGTGGATTTCCAAGAATTAAAGCTGCAAGAGCATTCTGATAGTGTGCCTCAGGGAGAGATTCCCAGGCACATGCTTTTGTTTTGTGACAGATATTTGTGTGAGAAGGTTGTTCCAGGGAATAAAGTATTTATCTTGGGAATTTTTGCCATCAAAAAAGTTGGAAGACCCACCAAGGTAATTATTTTTTATTTGTAGGTGTAAATTATGTGTGTAATATTTTTTTGTAGCAAGATGGAAGGGAAAAGGCGATAACAGGTGTGAGGATTCCTTACATGAGAGTCGTAGGCATACAAGTGGATAGTGAAGGTGTTGGTGCATCTGGTTGCTCCATAATAACTTCCGAGGAAGAATCTGTGTTCAGAAGAATGGCCGCCAGTCCTGATATCTATGAAAAGATGGCACACAGTATAGCTCCATCTATTTATGGGGTTGCAGACATTAAGAAAGCAATTGCCTGTCTGTTATTTGGAGGTAAGTGTTTGAAAATATTATTTAGGACAGTATTAATTATATAGGGTAATTCATTAATATTGCAAAAATATTCAAGAAAAAACTTTTGAGATAGTGTTGCAATTTTTTTAAAATTATCTAATTTTCCTTAATTTCCACCTTCTGATTTTTTTATTCCAATCTCCGAAAAAAAATCTCCCCACCCCCTAACTCACCTTTTTTAAATAAACTACGCATCACTCAATGTGTCGCGACTAATAGACCCTGCAGGGTCGATAATTTTTGAAACCAAAAAAAATAACAGTAGGATGAAACCCATTGGAAAAGGAGAAGAATATAATAAAAATGAAAGGAAAAATAAATTACGGGCGATCTGACTTCGGGAAGTGGGAGGGGGGGTTAAGGGTAAAAAATGGTTTATCTCGATTTCCGGCAAAACTACAAGTCCTATAGAAAAAAGTTAAATGGCAAAGTTGTAGGTAATAAAAGGATCTACAACTTTTGTAATTACAATTTTTTTACATAACCTCAAAATTTATGTGAAAAATTCAAAAAACCAAGTTTTTGGTTTTTTATTTTTATCTTTTTCAAAAAAAAAAATTTTTCCACGAAATTTGGTGAAAACTTACCTTTTTATGTCCCAAATACACTGTAATTTATTTGATTTGAAATATTTATTATTTCGCCTTATTTTGACTTAATATCAAAAAAGCACCCTAATTTTCAATCGAAAATTCTCGCGTCAAAATATCAGCTTTTTTCAAAAAGTCGGTGTGCTTTTTGTTCGTTGAAATCTCTACTTTCTGATGGTGTAAAAAAAATATACATTACTATCGTAAATGTTCTCAGAAAATGCAAAAAATAATATAATATAATAATGAATAAACTCGAATTCGAAAATTTATTTTAATCATTATGTACAATTTCATCAAAAAAATGTGATTGTTGCAATTTTTTTTATTTAAAAAGTTTATTTATTAAATTCTAATAACATTTATGTCAGAAAATCTCATAAAATATATAAATACATGTAAATCATACTATTGAATTTAGATACCTACTTCATTCTGATTACGTTATTCATTATAATATGTTTTGTATTTTCCTGAAAATTTCATTAAAAAATCACCAATAGTTTTTTCATTATTAATTTTTTAACAAAAGTAGTAAAAAATTTCAATTAAAAAAAAATTGTTGTTAAAAATAAAATTTAAAAAAACTGAGCGGGGGATTATTTGTTCATGGTGACTATTTTATGAAAAAATACTCACATTCAAATTCGATGATCAATTGGAAAATGGGGGGTCCACTTGACGTGTTTTTACTATGCAGGGTGTCAGATTTTTAATCGTGGAGGCGTTAATAATGATCGCTCGTGAATGCTCATTTTGTTCGCAAAAGAACGCTCTATAAGCGTAGCACCCGCACGTTTTTGAGAACCCATTATCTTGGTACCTACGGTACCTCAAAGTTGACCCATTTCGGCGCGAAAAAAATTCCTAACTTCTAAACGAAAAGAGATAGAGAGTTGCGGTAAAGTTTTACTTTACTGTCGATTGTTGACTACGTCACTGCCGATTTCGGATAAAATTGTTTTATTTTTTATTGTTGGTGCACTACTTTTAATTTATCTTTTGTGTCTTCTTGTTTTACTAAATTGTAATACATCGGAAACTTCTTTTAATTTTTATTTTTTGTTGTTTATGTTTGTCATCTATTATGTAATAGGTACTTTAGATTATATATTTTAAACTGACAGTATAATACCAGGGCTGGATGCTCCCGTGTACGAGTTTTGGTTCGTCCCGCGCATGTCGTCACTTGATGAGTAGTTGCCGTGAGAATACACGAATAATAGTAATATTATCAAAGAAAATAGAGAAATATCTGGAAACAGTGCATTTTTATTAAACAAAATATTGAAGAAAGTGTTATAATATGGATAATAGATGCTTTCAGTCCTTGATAACATTTAGGGCTGTAGTTTAAGCGTTGGTGTTTTAAATCAAACTTATGGTCACTGTCTAGAAAATGTTTATAGGAAACAGAACTTAACGTTAATATTGTCTATTAATTTTGTGAAATTTAAACACTGTTTCCACAAATCAAACTTTTTCGGGAATCGATTAAATTTAATGTTTTTATTTAAAGTGTTTTTCTTGGACTGGTTGTCCAAATTGCATCCAAATATGCCACACCGCATTTTAATAAATGCAAATGGCACTACACAATCTAAAACACAAACAAAACAAGTTAACGCAGCACAAAAACAATAATAAACAAACCGAACAGGTTAACACAACGCAATAACAATAATTTGAACGCTGAAAAGTAATTCGAACCTTACCGAACACAAAAACGACAAGTTAAACAAAAAAATAGAGCTAGTTAACATCCAAAAGCATCGCAAAAACAAGAATTTTAGAAGCAGATAATTAAAAAGCACGTTAAAGATTTAAAAACACTCATAAAGTGGCGTAATTAAGCCCCGCCCAACATGCGCACCATCCTATCTTGGTATAATACGGTCTTACTGTTTTCCCAAGCAGCATTTTTGGTTCCAAAAACCATTGCCAAAGTGGTGAAAACTTTAAATTAGTTAAATATACTAAACAGCAATATTTTGTAACAGAAACTTAATTTTTCCTTAAATGGTTACTATAAAGTAATAAACATTTAAGTAAAACTTGGTTGCCCCCAAGAAGACTTTGCAACTTTAAAAAAGGTGTTATAAGTAAAAAAACTTTCAAGTAAATTTAATTTGTAGCAGTTACTTTCGGTTGCTACCTAAAGATTACATTATAATTATTTTTACTTTGTAGTCCCTTTGCAAGTTAAAATCTCGAAACTGGAACATGAGTTAAAACTACAAAGTTAATAACTTAAAAGTTATTATTTTAGTATTTGGAAAGTTTATGGTACTAACCAAAACTACCGTAAAGTAAATTAAGGTGGAAAAAAACTTTAAAGTAGCGAAAACTACTTCAAAGGAAAATGCTTCTTATCGGCCATTTTTTACTGTACAGTACCACGTGGTAATGTAAATAATAAATTACCTATTTTAATTGTTTGTAAATGGTTGTTTACTTTTTAATAAATAGTAATTTTGTTGGAAATAGACGGTAGTAATAATTAAAAAAAAAAATTAATAATAAATATTAAGATTTTTTTTATTTATAAACAGTATTAAATAAATAATTTGTTTATACTTATATATTGATGAAGCGCATTTATTTTACAAAAACTAAATTCATAAGTTAAACAGTAAAATTTAAAGGGTTTATAAATTTACCTGCCTAATTAAACATTATTTTGTTATTCTGGAAGTTATAAACTACCAGTACATATTTAATAATAAACGACGACATTGAAAAGCCAAGTCCGTAGAGGTTCCATTTAAAAAAGGAGGGATAGTATAATCTAATATAAGTTTGACAAAGACAGTTAATATAGAAGTAAAAACAAATAAATAAAAGTAATTATAACGCTCTAGCAACGATATTGAAACGTTCTAGTAACGTAGCAGCTACGTTCCAAATAGTAGTAGGGTTTATAGCTAGTGACATATTTGTTTTTGGAACTCGATAATTGTTCCCCACTTTAGTCGTAACTTAGTAATGAAAGAGTAATATAAAGAGACCGGCGCACTGTGGGCCAGGATTCTGTAAAACATTGAAAAATATCACTCAACTCAACAAATGTATCAAATTTTATATTGTAATTATCAAAAACAAAGAAAAATAAGTTAATTTCACTTATAAACAGCTTCTCAGACAACGAAATATTGTTAGACCAGAGTAAAATTAAACAATATTTGGCTATTTTGCAAACTTTACCCACCAGGGCGAAATTGTAAAACTTATTGAAGATCTTGTGTTTTGTAATAGAAGATATAGGATGTCATAATGGAAATAATGTCACAAATAGAACTTTAAGAGCCTATATATCTATATATTATTTATTTTTCAACAGTTTTTAAAAAATAATATAGATTTTCATAGACATCTTATGGCCCCAAAAAAATCGAAACAAAGCTTGAAAAAGCTGAGTTATGCAAAAAAATTATTTAAAATGCTATATTTTAAATTAAAAAAAATCGATACAAAGCCGAAGGTATAAGATTGAAAAAGCTGAGTTATGGAAAAACATTAATTACCCATTTGTTTGCGACTCACCCCTGTAAAATCTTTATTTATTGTGCGATTTTAACCGGATTTGTTTTAAAGTGTAGGTATTGATAAACTGTATTTTTGGAGCAAAAAACGACATATTTTTACAAAATACAAGGCCTACTATGTCAGTTTTTAAGAGTAAATTTTTAAGAATTTATATAAGTGATTTTTTTAAACAAAATCTAAGCACGGCACTGGATTCACCACCCCTCGAAACGACCTTATACTAAATTTTATTGAAAAATGTTAAGTACAAAAATGCATAATAATAACTACAAAAATTTATTCTGTCAAGTTATCCATGAAAATAACATTGAAATAAAATTAAACTTATAGTAATAGTGCCAAGTGGTGAATCCAGTGCCGTGTTTAGATTTTGTTTAAAAAACTTGCTAATATGAATTCCTAAAAATTTACTCTTAAAAATTGTCATAGTAGGCCTTGTATTTTGTACAAATATGGCGTTTTTTGCTCCAAAAATACAGTTTATCAAGATCTACACCTTAAAACAAATCCGGTTAAAATCGTACAAAAATCGTCTCAAACAAATGGGTCACAGTGTATAAATATTTTTTAATATATTTTTTTATATTAAAAAAAACTCAACTATTTTGATTTTTAATAATAAATGTTTCTTGTTTTCAGGGTATTTTATAATTACTGCCAATTTATAAACAAAGAAAAATTTTAAAAATCAATTAAAAACACTAAAATTGCCAAGGTTAAATATAACATTTAGAAAAAAAAGTCAAAACTTTCAAAATGACAGATCACATATTCAAAAAGTCTTTTACAATCTAGGCCTAATAACCTTTCAACTAATACCCGAATAGAGCTTTATTTTGAATCAAATAGTAAAATACCACACAGAAAATCTTGCGTTTTCTCCTGGATAGGCAAAATTCGGCAAAAGTTTTTTTTTCGATAATAAAGCTTAAGTAGGTACTGGAGAGTTTAAGAGCATCAACAAAAACGTGTAGTTCAGTGTCGATCTTGATATATATCTGGTGAAATATCCATGTGATATGTTAATTTTTGCTTTTACATGCGTTCACTAAATTATTATTTTTTTTTGTAAATTCGCAAAGAAATCCATAAAATTTAAATGGTATAAAACCTTGAACTTGCCTGCATCTGGCCCACTCATAGTTTCTGTAAAAAAGTTAATCCACCTTAAACTGTAATGTCTTAAACTTAAGCGATTTGTATAAACAAAATAAACCAGACAATAAGTATTAAATTTACCGACATTTGTCAAACCCGCGTGTGTCAACATAAAATTTCACGGACATATTTCTGGTGTTTTTGTAAGCTTAATGGTCTACTTGACCGTTTTTAGCATAAAAAAACTTGTTGTTCCATAATTATTAAAAATTGACTTTTTCAATGTTTAGAGAATTTCTGGCCCACAGTGCGGCGACTGTCGCAAAACACTTTAAAGTTTCTTCAATAGTTCCATATACGTAACAAATACTTAAATTGCTGCTTGGGTTATGGTTAAGTGGAAGAACAATCTCTGATTGAACTTCGCCTTTTTGATGTTAGCGGATGCTTATATGAAATAAAGTCGTTTATTATTATTATTTTTTATTACAGGTTCGAGAAAGAGACTGCCGGACGGGCTGACGCGAAGGGGCGACATAAACGTGCTGCTGCTGGGCGACCCCGGCACGGCAAAGTCGCAGCTGCTGAAGTTCGTGGAGCGCGTGGCGCCCATTTCGGTGTACACGTCGGGCAAGGGCAGCTCGGCCGCCGGCCTGACGGCCTCGGTGCGGCGCGACAGCAGCCGCAACTTCGTGATGGAGGGCGGCGCGATGGTGCTGGCCGACGGCGGCGTCGTCTGCATCGACGAGTTCGACAAGATGCGCGAGGACGACCGCGTGGCCATCCACGAGGCGATGGAGCAGCAGACGATCTCGATCGCGAAGGCCGGCATCACGACCACCCTGAACTCGCGCTGCTCGGTGCTGGCGGCGGCCAACAGCGTCTTCGGCCGCTGGGACGAGACCAAGGTGAGCGAATGATCCTTTTGGAATACGGTAAACGATGTAGATGATTTTTTACCAGAGCTGCAAGCTCTCAGAAAACTTAAATCGTTTTTTTGATTTAAATCGTTTTAATGACTTAAGTCATTTGGTAATAAGTCATTTCTCTAAAACTGACTTAAGACTTAAAATTTAAGTAATTTTCAAAATGATTTGACACTTAAATATTTTTTTCAAAATAGAAAAAACTTAAGTCATTTATAAATCAGTACATACGATTTAAGTCAGATAAAAACGATTTAAGTCAAAAAAAGATTTTTGAAAAAGATTTAAGTCTTTTTAGAAAATATTTAAGTCAGATTTTTCATATATTTTTTATAAATTTTTAACAGCGGCATTTTCTTTTGAACTGCCAGGGGTTCACGCGGCAGCAGATCAAAAACTCCTTTAATTTCCTACCTACAATTTTTACCGCTAGAGGATAAAAAAACCGCCGCGTAAAGTTAGCTTTTTGGAACCGTTTGACGGCTACATTAAAAAATGTCCTGTCTAAAATGAATTAAAAAAAGTGGGGATTTATAATTTTGTTATTTTGTTTGCCAACATTCGTCATGTTCGTGCGTAGTTATGTCTAATTTGTGATTATTAGTGCAAAGTGAAAACAATCTGAGCGGTCGTGAATCGAGAGTTTGGAACTTCCCATCATTACTTCCTTAAGGGAGGAATTTTTTTTTTCTAGTTGGATGTTGAACCAGCTAACAAAAGTTAACAAAGCAACAAGTTATCAGTATTTGAAATACAGCGATTTTAAGAAAAATGCTTCAACTTTTATCTATTTTAACAGAGTTTGAATCTATTACCGTTTAGAAGTTACCCATTTATGTATATAAAAAAGTAGCCTCCCTGTATGTCTACTCTACTAAAAAAGGTGGTTTAAGTTTTTATTTTTATTGTCTAATATATACTCAAAAAATGTGTTTTAAGTTTTTATTTTGTTTGTAAGTGTTCTGAAAATAAATCGTTTTAAATTCTTAACATGGTGGTTTATTATCATCTGTATCTACAATAGATTAATAATATCAGTATCATTAATACCATAAATTTATTATTAACATTTAAAAAATCGTTGTATTGTAATTATTTTGATTTAAATCACAATTTTTGATTCAAGTCATTTTATTGACTTAACTCTTAGATCACGATTTAAATAAAAAATATAGACTTAAGTCATAAAAACGACTTACTAAAGGAATTAAGTCATAAGATGACTTAAATCACTTTATATTGATTTAAGAATTTGCGAAAATGACTTGACTTGAAAGAAAATGATTTAATTCAAAGACTTAATACTTAAATCATTTGAACTTTATCTTAGAATTGACTTAAGATTTAAATCATTTTGATTTTAGAATTGACTTAAGACTTAAGATTTAAGTCTTTTTAAAACTGACTTGTTGCAGCTCTGTTTTTTACTAATTAATTTAAAAGTTGCAGTGACGTGAAACGTACGCTTTGTATGTTTTTGTAGTGAAAGTTTCACTGTGAAACCAAAACCTGGCGTTATGAAAGATGAAACGAAAATTATGAATATTTTAAAAATTTCCATATTAGGATTGTCAAAAAATTTGTAATTTTGTGACAACAAAATCTTAATAGCTAAAAAGGCTTCAAAGCTTATATATTAAAAAAATTTGGCAAAAACTTGCACAGTAGATTAATTAATATTTATATTATATATTACCTATATTATAAAAAATGAACTAATTTTTCAAATTTTAGAAATCCTTAATATTTTCAAAATTTCCATATTTTTTAAATTTCCAAAGTTTAAAAGCTCAAAAATTTCTTAAAATTAATACATGTTTCATATGTCTCGTACCATGGTATAAGTCGATTGTTTCTAACAAAATATGCACAATATCACACATTTTAAAAAATGGTAGGAAAAATTCGCACAGGAGTTCAAAATTAAAAAATAGTGGCAAAAACTGGCACAGTAGATTAAATATGACAAATTACCAAATTTTCCTAATTTTTGAAATCCTCAATATTTTAAATTTTCATATTTTTAAGATTCTCAAAAGCTCAAAAAAATCTTAATAGCTTCAAATCTCAAAAAAACAACTTTCATTCATTCATATCATATGGTTTAAGTCGATTGTTCCTAACAAGAATCAAACAATAGCACTTATTAAAAAAATGGTAGAAAAAAACGCACAGGAGTTTAAAATTAAAAGATGTAACAAATTTTCAAAATTTTATAAATTCTTATATTTTCAAAATTTTCATGTTTAAGATTTTCAAAAATTTTATTATTGACAGCTTAAAAAAGCTTCCAAGCTCAAAAGGACATATTTCATAAATCGATTGTCAAAAACTGGCACAGTAGATTAAATATGAAAAATGGACAAATTTTCCAAATTTAAGAAATCCTCAAATATTTCTTATTTTTAAGATTTTCAAAATTTAAAAGCTACAAAAATCTTAATAGCTGAAAAACAGCTTAAACGCTCAACAAAAGTTTTAAAGCTCAAAAAGACATGTCTCATACATATTTCTTATACCATATACAGTGCTTGCAAATCCAAGTCCGACCGGGTTGGGAAGGACGCGTGAAAATAACAAGGATAGAACGCCAAACAGAAGGTGCTTACAATACGCAGGCCTGCCGGCTCTGACCAATCAAATTCTGTTTGGCATTCTATCCTTGTTCTTTTCACGCGGGTATTGAACAACCGTCCTTTTCAACCCGGTCGGACTTGGATTTGCAAGCACTGTATATTTAAATGTATTTAAAATTTCCAAAATTAAAAAATTGTAGAAAAAACTTACTTAGATTACAAATTTTTGAAATTTTAGAAATTTTCAATATTTTCAAAATTTCCATATTTTTAGGATTTTCGAAATTTTTTAATTTTCAAAATTTTAAAAAATCTCAAAAAATTCTTAAAAGCTAAAAAACAGCTTTAAAGCTCGACATGTTTCATATTTCTCATACAATATAAACTTGCACAGTGGATTAAATATAAAAAGTGGACAAAATTTTAGAAACTCTCAATTTTCAAAATTTTCATGTTTAAGATTTTCAAAAATTTTAAAATTTCAAAATGTTATGTTTGAAAGCCTAAAAAAGCTTCAAAGCTCAAAAAGCCATATTTCATATACCGTACCTTCATTTGCAAGCTAACCATAGGGAAAATACATTGTAACTGGACCAGATAAGTCGCAGTCAACACAAAGCGAGAACCTTTTCAGAAATGATTTGGATGCGTCGTCGAGACATGCGTACTAAAACAAATTTTACCAGATTTACACCGCACAAAATACAAAACAATAATAAAGCATCGATGTATGAAGCAAGGTCAACTGTTACGACGCATGCTAGCTTACTCGTCCACGCGTCCAAATCATTTCTACAACGTTTTTCACTTCGTGCTGACTAAGATTTATCTGGTCCAGTTACAATGTATTTTCCCTATGGTTAGCTTGCAAATGAAGGTACGGTATTTAAAAAATCGTAAAAAAATCGCACAGGAGTACAAAATTAAAAAAATTGGCAAAAGCTTGCAATTTGAAAAATTGACAAATTTTTCAAATTTTAGAAATTCTCAATATTTTCAAAATTTCCATATTTTAGGATTTTTTTAAATTCTATGTTTAAAATCTCAAAAAATTCCTAATAAGTGAAAAACAGCTTGAAAGCTCAAAAAAGCTTCGCACAGTAGCACTAAAAAAATGGTAGAAAAAATTCGCACAGAAGTTCAAAATTAAAAAAATGCGACAAAAACTGTTACACAGTAGATTAAATATAAAATATGGAGAAATTTTCAAAATTGTAGAATTTCTTAATGTTTTCAAAATTTCCATATTTTTAGGATTTACAAAAATTTTAAAAATCTCAAAAAATTCTTAATGGTCGAAAGCTATCACTATTTGTTATTGCCTAAAAATTTATGCTGTATACATTTTTCAATAATCCATCAGGTGGTATTTAAAATATGGTGAATAGTATCAATTTTGCCTATAATAGTAGTATTTTCAGTAATTATTATATTTTTATAACTTTAAACAACTAACAACGTTTAATAACCTTTTATTTAGTTTTTTTAATGAAATCAAAGTTTGTAGTATTTAAGGTTTTTTTTTTGTAGGGTGATGAAAATATTGATTTTCTACCAACAATTTTGTCCCGTTTTGATATGATTTTCATTGTTAAAGATGAACATGATAAAGCCAGAGATATAGTAAGTATATTTAAAAAAGTATTGCTTTTATCCTGCAATAATTTGGAAAGTATAGTACCACTTTCCGCACTTGCTATAGAAATAGTTATTTATTGTTATTATTTTTAGACCCTTGCCAAACATATTATGGGTGTGCACATGAATGCCGGTCAAATAACCCAGGAAGCCAAAGAAGGCGAATTTTCTTTGGATTTAATAAAAAAATACATCCATTACTGCCGCACGTAAGTTAACAAAAAAGTTTATCTCCACGCGGTCTATAATTTAAACTTTATTGTTGTCAACATTCGATAAAGAAATACCTTGTTATGGCCTAGGCCGATAGAAAATTTTATGAGGCAAGTAATTAGTTCGATTTTTTCTCGCTAGGGGTATTGTTTTGACAAATTAATCCTTTTCTAAGAAATTAACATACTAAACTGGTTTAATTTATTTATAATAGGCACTAATTTGTTTGTTTTACTGTTAATGTTTAATATTTTTCATTAAATTATTGTAAAATTAAATATGAATAATAAAACAAAAAGTGAGGTTAGGCCACCAAGAAAACGCACGATTCTTTTTCTACGATTTAAATTATCTTTAAGTTTAAATTTGTTTTAAGTTTTCAGTGAAATTAAATGTTAAACACAGCTTAAACATTCCAAACTACCTATTTTTTAAATAAAAATCCAAACAAATTGAAGTTAGATACCTACCTATTTATTAAACAATTAATTGAATTCAATGTAATAGCAAAAATCTATTTCTACTTAAATCATGTTGCTAGGTATTGTCAAACTATTACTGCTTCTAAAAGCAATAATAATTATTGTACATTTAATGTAATCTTTAGCTAATAAATAAATGAGATTCTAAAAAAGTGAGGTTAGGCCGCTTTGATGTTGAATTAAATTGACCTATATAAAGTGCTTTGAAGTTAAAATGTTGTTCGGCCAAGAAGTGCCTTTTTGTGCTTCGTTCAATTGTAAGCCTCCGCTACGCGTCGGCCTTCAAACCTTGAGCTTAGTAGAGGTGGCAAGTTTGATTCCGATTCGTTCAAAAAGAACGAATGATTTAAATGAACCGAATGAATCGAACAAAGTTTGTAAAAGAATCAATTCTTTTTTTAATCATTTTTTTTAAATCACGATGTGTGAACTAAAAAGTGAATCAAACCAATAAATAAATATAAACTTGGTTACAAGCACTGAATTACTGTCCGTTCAGGCTAAGTTGAGCGGTCTTAGGAATGTCAAGCCGTCCATCATCTCTATGTTTAGGCACAATTAAATACATGTATTTTGGTAGCCCCTCTGTACGAACAAACGGCAAGCTGCGGCACTGATAAATCATCTTCTTGTCACCAAAATCTCGCGACGATTCGATATTTAATTTAATCAACGGCCATATGATCCTCCGCCAAAGCGCTCAACTTAGCCTGAACGTATGTGCTAGGTTTGAATCACGCGTATACGCTACACCGACATTTTAGCGTATACGCTAAAATGTCGGTCTTTTTGAATAACTGGTGATATTTCTAGGGATATTTCAGGGAATTTTTTGACTATACTCTATGATTTTTTGTCAAACATCAAAATACTCTTTTGATTAAAAAGTTTCCAATACAACCTACTTGTATTTTTTTAAGTAAGCTGTGATGTTATTGGACCGGAAAAGCCATTAATTTACACGTAAGCAAAATAAAAATCGAATCAAATAATTTAATAATACAACATTTAACGATACAACCAATACAAGTCATTACACACGATTCAAGAACCAAGTCATTAATTCGGTCGAACCTGAATTGTTCGTTAATTATCTGTTCCTGAACCAGAAAGTGAATCAGTCGCAAACGAATCTTTATGAACGAATCATTTTAAAAGAATGAATTAAAAGAATTAATTCACCAAAAAGAATCGAACTTCCCACCTCTAGAGCTTAGAACAAAAAGCCTTACTTCTTAACCTAATGACATAAATAACTATTAATTTATAATCGGACAAACTAACAAAATCATTTCAGCCGGTGCGGTCCGCGATTGAACAACGAGGCGGCCGAGAAGCTGAAGCGGCGCTACGTGCTGATGCGCTCGGGCGCCAACCAGCACGAGAAGGACGTCGACCGCAAGAACTCGATCCCGATCACGGTGCGGCAGCTGGAGGCGGTCATAAGAATGTCGGAGAGCCTGGCCAAGATGCGTCTCCTGCCTTACGCCACGTCCACGCACGTGGACGAGGCGCTGCGGCTGTTCCAGGTGTCCACGCTGGACGCGGCCATGAGCGGCACGCTGGCCGGGGCGGAGGGCTTCACCACCGAGGAGGAGCACGAGATGATTTTGCGCATTGAGAAGCAGCTGAAGCGGCGGTTCGCGATCGGCACGCAGGTGTCGCAGCAGAGCATCATCTCCGATTTTACGCAGCAGCAGTACCAGGAGAGGGCCATCGTCAAGGTTATCCAGACCATGATTCGGAGAGGGCAGCTGCAGCACAGGATGAACCGCAGAATGCTCTACCGCCTCAGTTAACATTTTTTTTTTATTTCAACTTTTATTGTGCCGCTTTTTAATACATTACATCTTATATCAATTATGTATTGTATTGTTTATCGAATTAAATGAGTTTTTGTACTGATTGCATTTTAATACATTACTTTCATTTCACAGCCTCTTCTTGAAAGGATGCTGATTTTCGGCTCCTTTGAAGAATTTAAGTCGAAAATCCTTCCCGCCTCTCCTTTATCCAGGGAATTTAGGAGTCCGAAATTATAAATTTGTGGCAAAAACTTGCACAGTAGATTAAATAAAAAATAAACAAATTTCAGAAATTTTCATTTTAAGATTTCCAAAATTTAACAAATTGTGACAAAAAACCTGCACAGTACAAATTTTTTGAAATTTTCAATATTTTCCGTATTTTTTTAAATTTCCAAAATTTTTAAAATTTCAAGGTTAAAAGTTTTACTTCTAAAAATCTGAAAAACAGCTCAAAAGACGATTGTTTCCAAGAAAATTCGCACAGTAGCATAGATTAAAAAAATCGTAGGAAAAAGTCGCACAGGTGTACAAAATTAAAAAATTGTGGCAAAAAATTGCACAGTTGTTTAAATATAAGAAATTTAAAAAAATACAAAATTTTGGAAATTCGCCAATTTTTTAAAATTTACATCTTTTAAAGATTCCCAAATTTTTTAAGTTTAAAAGTTTTAATTTTAAAAAGCTCAGAAGAGCTTTTAAGCTCAAAATGACATTTTTCATATTTCATAAATCTATTGTTTCCAACAAAATTCGCACAGTAGCATAAATTTAGAAAATGGTAGGAAAAAGTCGCACAGTACTTTAAATATAAGAAATGGAAAAAATTTCAACATTTTAGAAATTTTCAATATTTTTAAAATTTTCATATTTTGAAGATTCCCAAAATTATTAAATTTAAAAGGTCAAAATTACAAAAAAGCCTAAAAGCTCAAAAAGGCAATACGAAAATCGCATGCACATTACGATTGTTTCTTTTTTAAAACCAAATACCACAATTTCTGATGTAACGTTACATCAGTACTGATAAAAATGATATTAATAAATCAGTCAATAAAATTGTTAGCACTAAAAATGTTGAATTCTTCAAGGAAACCTAAATAATTGTAACATAAAAAAATGATTATTGATTAAATAAAAACAAAACATAAATTTAGTTAATCTTATATTTTTTTAAATTTTTTTATGTAGGTAGGTAATTCAAGTTCGTAGATTTGAGATTTTTTTTTGTAGAGTGATGAAAATATTGATTTTCTCCCAACAATTTTATGATTTTCATTGTTAAAGATGAGTATTGATTTTTACCTGCTAAAAATAGGTATTTTTCCGCAATAATTTGGAATAATTTTAAAAAGTATCACTTTCTGTACTTGTTACAGAAATAGTTAATAAACTAAACTCTGGACGCGGCCATGAGCGGCACGCTGGCCGGGGCGGAGGGCTTCACCACCGAGGAGGAGCACGAGATGATTTTGCGCATTGAGAAGCAGCTGAAGCGGCGGTTCGCGATCGGCACGCAGGTGTCGCAGCAGAGCATCATCTCCGATTTTACGCAGCAGCAGTACCAGGAGAGGGCCGTCGTCAAGGTTATCCAGACCATGATTCGCAGAGGGCAGCTGCAGCACAGGATGAACCGAAGAATGCTCTACCGACTCAGTTAACATTTTTTTTGTTTAAAATTTTATTGTGCCGCATTTTAATACATTACATCTTATATCAATTATCTAATGTATTGTTTATCGAATTAAATGAGTTTTTGTACTGATTGCATTTTAATGCATTACTTTAATTTCACAGCCTCTTCTTGAAAGGATGCTGATTTTCAGCTCCTTTGAAGAATTTAAGTCGAAAATCCTTCCCGCCTCTCCTTTATCCAGGGAATTTAGGAGTCCAAAATTAAAAATTTGTGGCAAAAACTTGCACAGTAGATTAAATAAAAAATAAACAAATTTCAGAAATTTTCATTTTAAGATTTCCAAAATTTAACAAATTGTGACAAAAAACCTGCACAGTACAAATTTTTTGAAATTCTCAATATTTTCCGTATTTTTTAATTTCCAAAATTTTTAAAATTTCAAGTTTAAAAGTTTTACTTCTAAAAATCTGAAAAACAGCTCAAAAGACGATTGTTTCCAAGAAAATTCGCACAGTAGCATAGATTAAAAAAATCGTAGGAAAAAGTCGCACAGGTGTACAAAATTAAAAAATTGTGGCAACAAATTGCACAGTTGTTTAAATATAAGAAATTTAAAAAAATACAAAATTTTGGAAATTCGCCAATTTTTTAAAATTTACATCTTTTAAAGATTCCCAAATTTTTTAAGTTTAAAAGTTTTAATTTTAAAAAGCTCGGAAGAGCTTTTAAGCTCAAAATGACATTTTTCATATTTCATAAATCGATTGTTTCCAACAAAATTCGCACAGTAGCATAAATTTAAAAAATGGTAGGAAAAAGTCGCACAGATGATGACATTTTTTTTGTTTAAAATTTTATTGTGCCGCATTTTAATACATTACATCTTATATCAATTATCTAATGTATTGTTTATCGAATTAAATGAGTTTTTGTACTGACTGCATTTTAATACGTTACTTTAATTTCACAGCCTCTTCTTGAAAGGATGCTGATTTTCAGCTCCTTTGAAGAATTTAAGTCGAAAATCCTTCCCGCCTCTCCTTTATCCAAGGAATTCAGAAGTCCAAAATTAAAAAATTGTGGCAAAACCTTGCACAGTAGTTTAAATATAAGAAATTGAAAAAATTACAAAATTTTAGAAATTCCCAATATTTTTAAAATTTACATATTTTAAAAATTCCCAAATTTTTTAAAATTTCAAGTTTAAAAGTTCTAATTTTAAAAAGCTGAAAAACAGCTTAAAATCTCGAAAAAGCTTTAAAGCTCAAAATGACATGTTTCATATTTCATAAATCGATTGTTTCCAACAAAATTCGCACAGTAGCATAAATTTAAAAAATGGTAGGAAAAAGTCGCACAGGTGTTCAAAATTAAAAAATTGTGGCAAAAACTTGCACAGTAGAAATTGAAAATATTACAAAATTTTAGAAATTCGCAATATTTTTAAATTTAGATATTTGGAAGATAATTTTTTAAAATTTTAAGTTTACAAGTTCTAATTTTAAAAAGCTGAAAAACGGTTTGAAAGCTCAAAAAAGCTTTAAAGGTCAGAATGACGTGTTTCATAATTTATAAGTCGGTTGTTTCCAACAAAATTCGCACAGTATAAATTTAGAAAATGGTAGGAAAAAGTCACACAGTACTTTAAATATAAGAAATGGAAAAAATTTCAACATTTTAGAAATTTTCAATATTTTTAAAATTTACATATTTTGAAGATTCCCAAAATTATTAAATTTAAAAGGTCAAAATTACAAAAAAGCCTAAAAGCTCAAAAAGGCAATACGAAAATCGCATGCGCATTACGATTGTTTCTTCTTTAAAACCAAATACCACAATTTCTGATGTAACGTTACATCAGTACTGATAAAAATAATATTAATAAATCAGTCAATAAAATTGTTAGCACTAAAAATGTTGAATTCTTCAAGGAAACCTAAATAATTGTAACATAAAAAATGATTATTGATTAAATAAAAACAAAACATAAATTTAGTTAATCTTATATTTTTTTAATTTTTTTATGTAGGTAGGTAATTAAAGTTTGTAGATATGAGATTTTTTTTTGTAGAGTGATGAAAATATTGATTTTCTCCCAACAATTTTATGATTTTCATTGTTAAAGATGAGTATTGATTTTTACCTGCTAAAAATAGGTATTTTTCCGCAATAATTTGGAATAATTTTAAAAAGTATCACTTTCTGTACTTGTTACAGAAATAGTTAATAAACTAAACTCTGGACGCGGCCATGAGCGGCACGCTGGCCGGGGCGGAGGGCTTCACCACCGAGGAGGAGCACGAGATGATTTTGCGCATTGAGAAGCAGCTGAAGCGGCGGTTCGCGATCGGCACGCAGGTGTCGCAGCAGAGCATCATCTCCGATTTTACGCAGCAGCAGTACCAGGAGAGGGCCATCGTCAAGGTTATCCAGACCATGATTCGGAGAGGGCAGCTGCAGCACAGGATGAACCGTAGAATGCTCTACCGCCTCAGTTAACATTTTTTTGTTTAAAATTTTATTGTGCCGCATTTTAATACATTACATCTTATATCAATTATCTAATGTATTGGTATCGAATTAAATGAGTTTTTGTACTGATTGCATTTTAATACATTACTTTAATTTCACAGCCTCTTCTTGAAAGGATGCTGTTTTTCAGCTCCTTTGAAGAATTTAAGTCGAAAATCCTTCCCGCCTCTCCTTTATCCAGGGAATTCAGGAGTCCAAAATTATAAATTTAGATTAAATAAAAAATAAACAAATTTCAGAAATTTTCATTTTAAGATTTCCAAAATTTAACAAATTGTGACATAAACTTGCACAGTTCAAAATTATAGAAATTCTCTATATTTTCCGTATTTTTTAAATTTCCAAAATTTTTTAAATTTCAAGTTTAAGTTCTACTTCTAAAAATCTGAAAAACAGCTTAAAAGCCCAAAAGTCGATTGTTTCCATGATACAAACAACATTGCATAAATTTAAAAAATCGTAGGAAAAAGTCGCACAGGTGTTCAAAATTAAAAAATTGTGGCAAAAACTTGCACAGTAGTTTAAATATAAGAAATTGGAAAAAATTACAAAATTTTAGAATCTCGCAATGTTTTTAAAATTTTGAAAATACCCAAATTTTTAAAAATTTTAAGTTTACAAGTTCTAATTTTAAAAAGCTGAAAAACAGTTTGAAAGCTTTAAAGCTCAGAATGACATGTTTCATATTTTATAAGTCGATTGTTTCCAACAAAATTCGCACAGTAGCATAAATTTAGAAAATGGTAGGAAAAAGTCGCACAGTACTTTAAATATAAGAAATGAAAAAAATTTCAACATTTTAGAAATTTTCAATATTTTTAAAATTTTCATATTTTGAAGATTCCCAAAATTATTAAATTTAAAAGGTCAAAATTACAAAAAAGCCTAAAAGCTCAAAAAGGCAATACGAAAATCGCATGCACATTACGATTGTTTCTTTTTTAAAACCAAATACCACAATTTCTGATGTAACGTTACATCAGTACTGATAAAAATGATATTAATAAATCAGTCAATAAAATTGTTAGCACTAAAAATGTTGAATTCTTCAAGGAAACCTAAATAATTGTAACATAAAAAAATTATTATTGATTAAATAAAAACAAAACATAAATTTAGTTAATCTTATATTTTTTTAAATTTTTTTATGTAGGTAGGTAATTCAAGTTCGTAGATTTGAGATTTTTTTTTGTAGAGTGATGAAAATATTGATTTTCTCCCAACAATTTTATGATTTTCATTGTTAAAGATGAGTATTGATTTTTAGCTGCTAAAAATAGGTATTTTTCCGCAATAATTTGGTATAATTTTAAAAAGTATCACTTTCTGTACTTGTTACAGAAATAGTTAATAAACTAAACTCTGGACGCGGCCATGAGCGGCACGCTGGGGCGGAGGGCTTCACCACCGAGGAGGAGCACGAGATGATTTTGCGCATTGAGAAGCAGCTGAAGCGGCGGTTCGCGATCGGCACGCAGGTGTCGCAGCAGAGCATCATCTCCGATTTTACGCAGCAGCAGTACCAGGAGAGGGCCATCGTCAAGGTTATCCAGACCATGATTCGCAGAGGGCAGCTGCAGCACAGGATGAACCGCAGAATGCTCTACCGCCTCAGTTAACATTTTTTTTTGGTTAAAATTTTATTGTGCCGCATTTTAATACATTACATCTTATATCAATTATCTAATGTTTTGTTTATCGAATTAAATGAGTTTTGTACTGACTGCATTTTAATACGTTACTTTAATTTCACAGCCTCTTCTTGAAGGATTCTGATTTTCAGCACCTTTGATGAATTAAGTCGAAAATCCTTCCCGCCTCTCCTTTATCCAGGGAATTTAGGAGTCCAAAATTAAAAATTTGTGGCCAAAACTTGCACAGTAGATTAAATAAAAAAATAAACAAATTTCAGAAATTACATTTTAAGATTTTCAAAATTTAACAAATTGTGACAAAAAACTTGCAGTACAAAATTATAGAAATTCTCAATATTTTCCGTATTTTTTAAATTTCCAAAATTTTTTAAATTTCAAGTTTAAGTTCTACTTCTAAAAATCTGAAAAACAGCTTAAAAGCCCAAAAGTCGATTGTTTCCATGATACAAACAACATTGCATAAATTTAAAAAATCGTAGGAAAAAACCGCACAGGTGTTCAAAATTAAAAAATTGTGGCAAAAACTTGCACAGTAGTTTAAATATAAGAAATGGAAAAAATGTCAAAATTTTAGAAATTATCAATTTTTTTTAAATTTACATATTTTGAAGTTTCCAAAATTTTTAAATTTAAAAGCTCAAAATTACAAAAAAGCCTAAAACCTCAAAAAGGCAATAGGAAAATCGCATGCGCATTAAAATTGTTTCTACTAACCAAATACCACAATTTCTGATGTAACTGATAAAAATGATATTAATAAATCAGTCAATAAAATTGTTAGCACTAAAATGTTGAATTCTTCAAGGAAACCTAAACAATGTAACATATGAATGTAATTAAAATTGATTAAATAAAAACAAAACACGAATTTAGTTTAATAACCTTTTTTTTTTATTGTAATTAAAGTTTGTAGTATTTTTTAATACATTACATCTTATGTCAGTTATCTATTGTTTTTTTTATTTAATTAAATGTGTTTTTGTAGTGCATTTTAATAAATTACTCTAATTTCACAGCCTGTTCTTGAAAGGATACTCAGGGTGATTTTCAGCTCCTTTGAAAAATTTGAAGTCGAAAATCCTTCCCTCCTCCCCTTTATCCAGAGAATCCAACTTCTCCATTTCCTCTTCGCTTAACTCAAAATCGAATACGTCGATGTTTTGCTTGATTCTCTCTGAATTTGAACTTTTCGGTATGACTGTTATGCCATGTTGCAAGTGGTGCCTTAATAGGACTTGACCCGTCGATTTTCCGTGGTTTTCCGATATTTCTTTTACCACTGGATGTCCCAAAATATCAGGGAAGTTGTCCAGTCTGCAATAAAAGCATAAGTAAATATTACTCATATTTTATAACGCGCTGCAAAGGAAGGTCCGAATTTTTGACAGATGTCAAAACTTACAGATGACATCTGTCAAAAAACATACGGATATTAATTATTACTTTAAAATATTAGGTATCAAGTTTGATAAATGCCATTTAAATAAATTTATACTCTAATTTAATTAAATAAATTAATAAGTGTATAGAAAAGTTTATAAACGAGGTGCATACTATAATTTTTCTACGACAAATACTTATTATTATCTTAAAAAGATTTAAATCAAAATTTTGTATAAAGCGCCATCTATGAAACAATAGGGGAATCTGTGTGTCACCGTCAAATGTCAAATTTTTATATTTTATAAACACAAATTATAAAGGTTATAAATCGAAATGTATTTCTTGAAAATTGACAGTTTTTCACAGTCAAAGTAAAGAAAATGTTTTTTGAGCATTTTACACGGTAGCCCGTGCCCGAATTTAAGTTATAGTTTACTGCCGGCGAAATTAAAAGGTCAGTACAATGTTCATATAAACTTTTCAAATATTGGCGTTGAGAAACTATTTAATACTTTTGTATTTTTCTATTGAGATAATAAAATAATTTTCACATTTAGTATTATTTTACAAGAAAGGCACTTTATTTTAACTGTCAACTAATTTCAGCCCGTGACTAAAAACCTGTTGCTAACTTCAGCCCGTGACTAAAGCGCAATAAAGCCACAACTTTTCAATGTGTATTGGTTTAAAGGTGGGAGTAGAAAAAAATATTTATTTAGAAAATTAATTACATGTAGAATCCATATAGAAATTTACATGGATACAATATATTCTATATTCTATAGACTTAAAGGTATATTAGGCCATCTCTAATAATCATAAAATATATTGCAATACTTACGAATAATTATATTTGCTGCTAAAATGATTATTAGCACCCGGACTACCAAGCGGCGAATATGCAGTAACGGTAATATTTAATTTTTTGCACAGCTCCGTTAGTTCCCTCTGTTGGCAATAAGCGTGAACCTCAATTTGCAAAACAGAAGGTTTTATTTCAGCAGCATCGTAAATTCTTTGAATCTGTTCCGCGTTGAAATTTGAAAGACCAATTGCTTTAATAGTGCCTTTTTTCACTTGTTCCTCCAAAACCTTAAATTTAGTTTTAATAATAATTACTTATTGAGAAAATTATTTTTTATTTCACCTTCCAAGTTCCTACAATGTCATTATTAGTGTCCAATTGGAAGGATCCATCTTCATTCTGCAGGGGAGTGTAGTCACTTCCATTATAGAAAAAACTAAAAGGCATGTGGATGAGGTATAAATCCAAGTAGCTGACCTGGAGCTTCTCCATGGACATTTTTAGGAATTTTTCAGCTTCACTCGGTCTATTTCCTACATGAGGCAGCTATAAAAGCCATATTGTAAAAAGCGTACCAAATTACATTATTTAAATTAGCAAATTACTTTGGTTGTTATAAACAGATCTTCTCTCTTCCCCTTTCCAGATGCATAAAATCTTTGGAGAGCTTCCCCTATCGCATCTTCATTGTTATAATTAAAGGCAGTATCTAAAGCAATAATACATAAAGTATATTATGGATAATTAGAATTATACATGTGAAAGAAGTTATTCTTTTTTAAATATTTTTATATAAGATGCTAAATTATTTATTATATTTTATATTTTTTGACACATTAATATTTACCTTAATATTTCTTATACAATTGAAAAGTAGAACGGCGTGCCAGAATTAATTTTATGTTTCAATAATAGTAATTCCAATAAAAAATGACAATTAATTTTATGTGTAAACATTAAATTAATGCACTGAATTTTTATTTTTTAATTAAAATTATGACTATTTAATAAAAAAAATTGAATTAATTAAATTTAATTTTATGTGTACAGATAAAATTATATAATTAATTTGATCTTATTATTAATAATAAAATTATTGTGGCGGTGCGAAAGTGCGGCCGAAATTGGAAACTGCAGTAGTTCAAATGGTAGGTGTGTTTAATTTATTTACGTCATATAATTACATAACAAAACTAGAACCTTCTAGTTTTGTGAATTTTATACTAAGAAATAATTTTTATAATTATATAGATAGAAGAACAAAACCCGAATCTCCGCATATTGGCGCCAAAGTTGACGTAGGTAAATTACGCATGCGTAATTATGCATAAATACCCACTATGCATTTGAACTACTGCAGTTGCCACTTCCTGCCGCATTCACAAAGCGCCAAATTAATTTTATGTGTAGACATAAAATTAATTGTATACTTAATTTTTTATTAGAATTAAAATTATGTGTATACATCAAATTTATTGTAAAATAAAAATTATTTTCGTTTTATAAATCTTGTTAAAAAAATGTTTTACAATGTTTTTAGTCTCATAATAATTCCAATATAAATTTCAAAGTAAAAAAATACAGAACCTAAAAATTGACCAAATATTAATTCAACTAAAAAAAATATATTTATAATGTTTAAAAATACCTATTCGTTGGGTGAAATATTTAAATGTTACAGAAAAATGCCTATCAAACTAAAATGTATCATAAAAAAATTATTATTATGCATAAACATAATAATAAGTCGCTATTTATCCTATCTGTTTCCATTAAATTTGACATAATTAAAATTATAAAAAATTATATAGTATTCCATAATTTAAAAAAACCTACTAATTTTGTTTACATTTAAAACATTTACGATTAAAAGGTGAATAAATGTACAATTTTAATTGAAAGTAAAATTATTTTGTTCTCTCACTTACCAATGTGTTTGTAACCATTTTCAAGAGCTGCCAAAACAGCATTTTGAACTTCCTCTGGTTTGGCTCTCCAAGTCCCCAAACCAATGACGGGCATTTGAATTTTACCCTCGGTATCCAAAGGAATTACCTTCATTTTATTGCGGAGATGTATTTTTCGAAAAATAAATTTTATAAACTTGCGCGTGGACAAAACTGTCATATGCCTGCTGGTTCTATTTTTAACAATAGTTGGTTAAAAATTTAGAATGAACTTGACACTAAAATTAGAAATCAAATCGTATTTTTTTGATATGCCGAAAAACGTGAAGTCTGGAAAAAGGGGTTATGAAATTATTGATTGATCTGGAAAGGTCAGGGAAAGTCACAGCAGACAACCCTGTGACATGTGAGCAATATAAATATTTACTTTTCCAGCACTGGGCATAAATAAAAACAAGTAAATTCCCAGACCTGATGTTTTTATTTAACAACTAGCATATACATTTGTTATAAAATTCTGTCATTCAAAGAGACTTCATTCATTCTTTTACACTCAATATGCATCGACTTAATTGTGTACAACTTTATAGCTGTGATATCTCTTAATGGTTACAATGTAACTATATATCCTAAATTTACATATCTCTACATTAATTTATGCACTTATTTTTTAAATTTCTATTGTCGATCAGTACCGTACCATGCAAAATTTACAAACATACAAGTATCTGACAATGAAAACCATTAGTTAAATGTAATTATATCACGCTTTTGTAAATGTTTTAACTACCATTCACACTTTGAAACCCAACTATTACAGCCCTCATTTTAACTATGTGAAAAATTATATTTTTTAATTATAATACATGCTCATACACAGGGTACAATTCTAAATGGAAAAAGTATACACACCATATTTGAGCCAAAGTGCACCATGGTAGTTAAACAATCTACACATAATATGTAATTTTATAGTAAGTCTCTTATATTTTATTGGCTACAAATGACAACTTGCAGCACTCGTCAAAAGTTCACTGTGAGGGATATTTACTGTACATAACGGGCACATTTGGTTGCTGTCCAGGTTGACCACTCCACTGTCCCTGTTGTGGCATCACACAGTACTGCTGCCCTCCAGCCGGATACTGCTGGTACTGCTGATACGGATAGCCCTGCATGTACCCAGGCCCGGCCGCATACCCCTGATACCAATAACTTCCGTACCCGTAGGGGTAAGGCTGGGCAGCAGGTGACACAGCTGAGCCCCCGGAGGCCATTGGGCCAGGTTCTCCCCCCATCCCTCCATTCTCCTTGCCCCAGAAACATTTAACATTCTGTCCGTTTATTTCCGTGTTGTGGATACTCTCTATGGCATGTGTGGCATGTTCCTTGGTGGCAAACTTAATAAATGCATACCCTTTGTCCTTGAACACTCTGATGTCTTGGATTGGGCCGAAAGTGGAAAACGTTTTTGTAATTAAATCTTCGGTGAGTCCATTGGTGAATCCTCCGCAATACACTGTTGTGTTGGTGGGGGAACTTTGATTGTACACCTCGTCAAATGTGGGTTGTTTGGTTCGTTGTGCAGGTTTCTCCGTTCTCGGCGGTGGTGGCTTTCTGGTGGACCAATTTGTACGGATAGACCTTGAACCCAACCACTGACCGTTCATCGCCTGTATTGCATTCTCGGCTTCTGCTTTTTTGACAAACGACACGAATGCATACCCTTTGGATTTGAGTGTTTGGGGATCCCTTACAATACGACAATTTGATATTTCTCCGAACGGAGCAAAGGCCTCTCTAAGCGTTTCAGTCTCTATTTCAGGAGATAAGTCACCGACAAATATGTGATGATGATTGGATGTGTCTAGTTTTGGTTGATTGCCTGGACTTGTGGCCCAGTTCACTTTCATTTCCTTATCTAAAAACACACGTTTGTTCATTGCCGCCAGCGCCGTGGACGCTGACTGGTGGTTGGTAAACTCAACAAAGGCATAAGGATCGTTTCCCGGTTCTCGAATTATTTTGCATCCCTTGACCGGACCGATCTGAGAAAATAGTGTACACAACAGGTCTTCGGAAACCGTCGTGTCAAGATTTCCAACATACAATGTTTTCGGATGACTCTCGTCCGAGAAGGTGACGCCGGCATTCATCTCGCTGGAAAAACTATCGGCACGGGCTTTTACTACCTTTATTGCACATAAATTAAGGTCTATATGTATTTTTCAGCTTCTCAAACATTCAAGAACTTTCCAATCAACAGGATAACACAAAGACGATGACAAAAACTGGCCAACTTTTCTCTTCTTTCTGTCCAGCTGTCATATTGAAAAAACGGTCAAAATCCAAAAGTCCCTAAAACAACCAAACAAACGTCACCAAAAGTTACTAGATAATAAAATGAGGTTAACTCAAAATCGCAATAAACAACATTCAATTTAAAAACATTATCGCTAAATAAATAACAACAAAAATGTTATAATGTCTAGTGAAGAAAGTTTAGAAGCAAGGCAAAATAACGAGTTTGAAGCCATACAGGTTTGTCAATCCATAATTACTTAAAAAAATTTAATTTAAATTTTTTTACATTCCAGTCTATTTATGAAACAAATCTAATAGATTTAAGAAAACAATTGCCATGGAATCAATGGGCCCCCTTAAATTTATCATTAACTTTATTTCCCCAAAAGGGCAACTCTGGAATACACGAAAATCATGTTCAAGTCGATTTACATGTTAAATGTCCCAAAAATTATCCAAATGTGTGAGTAGATATGCTGAATTTGCATTTTATTATTACAAATTTAACAAAATATATTATGTAATATATTATTAAAGAAGGTAAAAGTTTAAATTCATAAGAGTTTAAACATGCTGAATGCTGAATTAGCATTTTATTTTTACAACTTTAATATGTAATATTATATATTATATTATATTGTTTACACAGTCTTTATTATTTTAATTTTCAAAATTCAAATCATTGATTTGAAAAAATTATATCTATTTTGTTGACAAATGTTTTTTGTATGTAATAAAAAATACCCACTGCAGTGGGTCCCATGGGAAAGAAAATATTGCTCCAGACTTTACTTATAAACTGTTTTATTTACTACTTGCCTTAACATAAATGAAATGTTGCATTTAAGATGTTACAAATAATAATTACCATCAACCTTAATTTTGAAACTTTACCTTAAGATTCATAAGGAAAGTTTTAAAAGGTTACATTAGTAATATGAAATGCTATATAAAATATTTCTATGTTTACAAAAAATCAGTGTTGTTCCCAGCGGGAAAAAAAATGTAACAGATTTTACAGAAAAAAGTAATAGATCCCTATAAAATGTAATAGATCGCCATTTTTTAACTACCTATCATTATAAAAATAAAGAAAGGGTTTTTTATAATCATCCAAAGACATCATGCATGTTTTGTGAATAAAGATTTTATTTAAATATTTGTTAACAAAAACAGATATCGATAAAATAATAAAGTTGTACAGGTACTTACTTATCATGGTACTGTTTTTTTCATAGATAACTTGACGGAATAAATTTTTGTAGTTATTATTGTGCATTTTTCAATAAAATTTAGTAAAGGGTCGTTTTGAGGGGTGGTGAATCCAGTGCCGTGCTTAGATTTTGTTTAAAAAAATCGCTAATATGAATTCTTAAAAATTTACTTTTTAAAACTAACATAGTAGGCCTTGTATTTTGTACAAATATGGCGTTTTTTGCTCCAAAAATACACTTTAAAACAAATCCGTTTAAAATCGCAAACAAATGGGTCAAACTGTATATATAATTGTTGTTGAAAAAAAAACAAACAAATCTTGAAAATGTAATAGATTTATTAATTTTGTAATAACGTAATAGATCTTTGGCCGTTGTAATAGAACTATTACAAATGTAGTAGACGGAACAACACTGCAAAAAATACCATAGAAAAACAATTTAATTGTGAAAAAGTAAGGTTGCATCAGTCTAAAATTTGTTGGATATTAAACACAGAGATGTCGCCGCCATTGTTTATTCCGTCATCTGATGATAGAATATTTTATTCTGTAACACTTTAAGGAATATATGTCATTCCACATTAAAAGTAGAGTAGAAAATAGTATATTCTGTATCAAGTTTGGAATACATCCCTTTGTATATTTGAAGTAAGTTTTATCTTTTGACACCTTAATATTTTTTAAAAATAGAATTTTCATACATAAAATATTTATAAAAAAAATCTACTTATATCTCAATATTAAAAAAATCTACTTATATCTCAATATTGCACTTCACGGTGGATAGGTTTGGGGTTTGGGGTTAAAAATCTGGAACCTGAGCTGTAATATCTACTTAATTATGAAAGATCAAAACACAATAAAAGAGTAGGTCAAACTAATTTAGTTTTATTAAATGTCACATAAATATATTAGCAACATTTATTTTGCAATGTTTGGCAATATTTTTAAACATTGTAATTATAATATAACAGATATAAGTTTTCTAAAATATTACATTGAGATTGTTTTTGCAATATTTATACATTTAACCAGTGGCGGCTCGTCAGGGTAGGCCTCTGAGGCCGCGCCTCACCCTTAAAATGAAGGAACGAACGACTTTTTGTATTTATATTTTTGCCTATTACAAGTGTATTTTTACAACAGTAAAAAACCAATCAATAATATTAAGAGTAAATAAAAATCCAGGCGCAAAGCGCGTCAAGTTAACGTGCATCGTTGAGAGTCGCTTGTTGTATGTATCTTGGCTTGGACAGAGGCGAAATTTTCACAGCCTCGGAAGCTCCCATTTACGTCTTGAAAGCGAAAATGACTCACCAACAAAAATATCGCCGTAAGTTCGCGAATAAATACCGTAGATGAGGCGAAATTTAGTTAGCTTGGTTTGTTCTGATTGGTGGTCCGTTTATGGTGGGATGCCAGCGGAGACAAAGAAGCCTTCTTTAAGAAGGTTGCCAGTCTTCTCTTAGCGTTTGTAGAGCACGTTATTGTTTTGATTCAGATTAAATTATTTAAAACTTTTGGCTGATCTTTTATAGTTTTTGTATCGATTAGTAAAATTTCTTATTTAATTATTGTAGGGAACACACTAAGGTAGATTTAGCAGTTTTTATTAAGCAAATTTTATATTTTGAAATAATAGATTGCATAATTCTTCAATTAGAGACGCGGTTTGAAAATTTAGAATTACTTTTAAATCTCACTGCAGACCCACAATTTTACGACCAAATAATAGATAAATTTTCAATCTTAAAAGATAGACGTATAGTATTTAATACTTAGGTAGGGGTCGACTTTTTAGTTTTATTTTTTGATTAATTTATTTATTTTTAACTTTTTTAAGACTATTTTTTAAGTTTAAGATTAAAACTAGTCTTTGATGTGATATTTTGTTTGTTTTGTTTTTTAGAGTTTTTTTTTTGGTTTAGTAGTGCTATCGGCTCCATTTTAAAAAAGGTCAACGCGTCGGGGAATAATACCTCCCGGGTGACGTGGAAATTTATTCGTATTTAGACAAAATTAACCTTATGTAGCCTCACCCTCCTGTACACCCACAAGCCGCCACTGCATTTAACCCGCTTACACTAGACCTTACGCAATATATATAAGAAGCTCGGGTTCGATTCCCGGTAACGCAATACTTTTTAAAGAATCTGTTCTCAAAAATACTCCATTTTACAACAAACGTTATTTTTTATTGTCAAAGTAACTTTTTCTATAATGTGGCACTATTTTAAAAAAAAATTGATTATATATATTTTTTTCTGAACGAATTTTTATAAATTTTCGAGACACAAATATGCTCTTGCAATGTTGTGGGCTGTTTTCCAGATTCCAATATTGGGTCTATGTTATATTTCACAAAACAAAGTTTTATTGGAAAAAATTACCTGGTGCTTGTACCTTTAACATCCTATATAAATAATAATTTTAATAAAATTATTTTACCCAAGGATACCAAACATAAAACTGGAAAACGGGAAAGGTTTATCAAATGCTGTTCTTACTGAGCTACAAGAAGAACTAACGCAAGAAGCTACACTACTAATAGGGGAGGAAATGATTTTTCAATTGGCTCAATATGTGGAACAATTTTTACACAAACACAACAAACCCAGCTCTAAGAGTTTTTATGAAGAAATGCTACAAAGGCAAAAAGAGCAGGAGGAAAAAGAAAATGAAGCCAAAACCATTGAGCAGAACAGACAGAGACAATATTTTATTGAAGAGGTTCAAAAACGACAGGAGATTTTAAAAACCGAATCCAAATTACGAAGAGATAGTAGATATAGCATTGACAATTTGTCGGACGACGGCTTTGATGGTAACAAGCATTCATCATTAAAGTAAGGTTTATTAACATTTCCTTTGTGGAAATTTTTCTCTGAGAAAGTTTTACTTTCTCTGAAAAAGTCAGAATAATACTTATTAAGTCGGAAAAAGTCAGAATAATACTTATTAAGTCGGAAAAAGTCTGAATAAGTCTTATTAAGTCAGACTAATAGCAAGATTTGGGAGTTTTCTGGAAGACTTAATAAGACTTTTAGTAGAGAAATGGTAGGTACCTACAGAGATAAAAATAAATATCCGCAATAATTCATAGAGGTTGTATTTGGTTATCGTAAAATAAAACACGTGTTTTATGTTTTATGTACATAGAAAAGTATTTATTAACATTTTTGCTGTTGTTATAAGCCAAGTTTATTGCATAATTACCTATATAATAACATAGGTAAGATGTAATAATTATAACAATTATAATTTTATACATACGATGCGCTTGACATGCATGCTTTCATTGTTTCCACCATAGAAAAAGGAGTTGCCACTGTACGTTTTATTTTAATAGTTTCTTTTGATACATGCAAATATTTACCTAAACATTGTTACAATTTGTAACTTACAAACGAAATATCGAGAGACCAGCTCAGCTAGCTGACCAATTAGAGCACAGCTGACCTGTCAGTGGGACACAGTGTTGCCGTTTGCAAGTATTTTACTCGAAAATCGGGTATTTTCGTAATATTTGCGGGTGATTTGCAAATTTCTATCAAAATAATAACAGAAGAAATTTTCAGTAAATAATATTGTATATTTGCTAAATATGCACAATTATTTTATTCTATCCTGTTACATTTTTATTATTATTTTAGTATTTTTTAATTTATGGTCAGGAACTTTTATGGCAACACTGTACGTAAACACGAAGATCAACCATGATACAAAGATGAATGAAACACGAAGATCAACCATATTTGTCTTATGAGTCTATCGAAAATATCATGTCTATAGACATAATATTAACTCCTTTTTCTATGGTGGAAACAATGAAAGCATCTCAAGCGCATCGTATGTATAAAATTATAATTGTTATAATTATTACATCTTACCTATGTTATTATATAGGTAATTATGCAATAAACTTGGCTCATAACAACAGCAAAAATGTTAATAAATACTTTTCTATGTTTTATTTTACGATAACCAAATTCAACCTCTATGAATTATTTCGGATATTTATTTTTATCGCCATAGGTACCTACCATTTCTCTACTAAAAGTCTTATTAAGTCTTAAAAAGTCTTATTAACTCTTCCAGAAGACTCCCAAATCTTGCTATTAGTCTGACTTAATAAGACTTATTCAGACTTTTTCCGACTTAATAAGTCTTATTCTGACTTTTTCCGACTTAATAAGTATTATTTAGACTTTTTCAGAGAAAGTAAGACTTTCTCAGAGAAAAATTTCAACAAGGGTTAAAATAAATTCACAATTCAAACATTTACAGCAGTGATGAGTCGATATGTCTACATCAACATACATCTACCATTAATTTTGATGCGAGGGAAATACAAAGAGGAAAATGTTTAAGTATATATTTTACCTCATTTTAATTTCCTTTGTGTAAACATTTTTTTCAGAACATTCCACACCCAATCATGTTATTTTCAGCGGTATAGATAAAGAATCTGGAGAAATGGTCCAAATAAGCGAATGGTCTATAAGCATAAAAAATAAAAACGATATTTCTGTGATTGAGCGCCAGATTTCCGGCATCGAGCAAGAATTGGGTTATTTAGTTAGGCTAAAACATCCCAACATTGCTCAATACCAGAACATAAAACACGAGTTGTTTGCAGAAGAAAATAAATTTGTGTTGCATGTTGTTCAAGAATTTATTTTTGGTAAGTACATTTTCTATATTTTTTATGATGTTGTTTGAACCCTAGACCTTCTTTTGTTTTTATATATCTTTGTTGATTGACAAAACTGACAAAACTGAAAAAAGTCCTTTTACTTATTTGAAAATATCTTTGATACTAAATTTAAAAGGAAACGACGTACACGTCATCGATGACGTCATAATTTTGCGCACTGGTACCAATACTAAGAATGAATGCATTTTAAACAACTTTAGTTGGCAGCAATTGCAATGTTGTCATGTTTAGATTAAAATTTTGCATAAAAAAAGAAATTGATGTTTTAGAATTTTGAAGCTGTCAGTTGTGTTTTTGAATATTTGGTTTAATTCGTGTATAATTTCGTTTATTTTGTTTGTTGTTTGTGTTATTTTATATAGTATAAGTTTTTGTGTTTGTTATATATCGTTTTATTTGTTTTCGTATATTTAAAGTGCCGAAGCATTTAAATAGTCGGAGTCAAGAGTTGCTATCATCCTTAATACGCTATTTTGATGCAGAACGGGATGATAATGGACCTTTGTTACCTTTAATAGCTGTTAGAGAGGTAAATAGGATTATTATTAATTATATATTAGAATATTTAACAGAATATATAGTTATAATATAGTTTTATAGCTGAAAATGTCTTTAAAAATGGCTAAAAACACACTTTTGGCGGTGCATCATAAAGGTTATAAAATTTTTGACATTTCAGTATTCTCAAGATACATACACCTTAAGATAGGATGGTGCGCATGTTGGGCGGGGCTTAATTACGTCACTTGATGTTTTTTAATCTTTAACCTGCTTTTTAATTATCTGCTGCTAAAATTATTGTTTTTGCGATGCTTTTGGATGTTAACTTGCTCTACTTTTTGTTTAACTTGTCGTTTTTGTGTTCGGTAAGGTTCGAATTACTTTTCAGCGTTCAAATCATTGTTATTGCGTTAGGTAGGTTTGTTTATTAAGTTTAATTTAAAACGCCAACGCTTAAACTACAGCCCTAAATGTTATCAAGGACTGAAAGCATCTATTATCCATATTATAACACTTTCTTCAATATTTAGTTTAATAAAAACGCACTTTGTCCAGAAATTTCTATATTTTCTTTGATAATATTACTATTATTCGTGTATTCGCACGGCAACTACTCATCAAGTGACGTCATTCGCGGGACGAACCAAAACTCGTACACGGGAGCATCCAGCCCTGAGTATTCTAAGGTCCCAAATCTAGGGACCCTATGGTATTATTCATGTAAACGCCATCTATCGCCCTGTAGTTGCACTACCACTTTCACTTGATGCAATGATTTTAGCATCACATTGACAACCGTGCCCAATCAGCTGATTGATGACGTGTACGTCGTTTCCTTTTGAATTTACTATACAGTTGTTTTAACCCTAGACCTTCTTCTGTTTTTATATGTTCTTGTGGATTGATATTTTTGATGAAAATATTTTACAAAAAAAACTGACTATACTTATTTTCACTTTTTATTTCTATTATGATATTCTTTATTTGTAGGTTCAAGCTGTAATACTTTGTTTACAAGACAGAATATAAAAGTAAATGTTGATTTATTAAAGTATATTGCTAAAGGAGTTTTATGTGCTATTGATTATTTACATAGGAATAATGTTGTACATAGGAACTTATCAGACACTTGCGTTTATCTAAGTAGCAAAGGTAAGAAAAAAAGCGATGATTGAAAATTGCACAAATTCTAACAAAATAGGATAGTTTGAAAACTGCCCTTACACACATAAATTTAAAAAATGGGGGGGGGATTTGCCCCGTAAGATTAATTTTAAAAATGGTATTCAAATTCCCACAGTGGCAAAAATTTAAAAAATTATTGGACAAATTTAAAAAATATCCAAAAAATTTATTCAAACATAATTCTTCATAAAATATGTATAATATTGAAAATATATTATAGGTGTAAAGTTATCAAAGTACAGCATACAAAAAAGAATATCGGATCTTATCGCACAATCTCACACAACCTATGGAAAAAAGACTGATATTTATGACTACGGTTTATTTCTTATAACACTGCTCAAGGGCTCGAAAATCGAAGATGAAAATTTCGATATTCCGAATTCCATACCATCCGATTTATACGACCTCTTGCAAAGGTAAACCGATCAAAACAAACCAAATGTTAAGCCTTCCTCCCTCCCGTAAAAGATTTGTTTGTAGATTACCGTACGGGAGTCTATAAACAGCACTACGGTTTTCGTATTCTTCTTTTTTTACGGGAGGAAGGAAGGAAGGCAATCTATAAATCAGGCTTTGGTGTTAACATGCGCATTTTTAGATGTCTGGCCAAAGAGGAAAAAGAACGGTTCACAACCACACAGCTGTTAAACCATTCCTTTTTCCGAAAGGCCGTTGTGCATTTTCCACCGAACCATCGTCTGGAGGAAATAGTCCAAGAAAATAACGCGCCCGAAATTGTAAATTACGAGATCAGTCCTCCCCAATCGAACGGTCAAAGCCGAATAAACAACGAGTTCGAGTTTCTTCAGCATCTAGGAAAAGGAGCTTTTGGCGACGTCATCAAAGTAAGTAGTTGTACGCCCAAGTACTGTTTTATGCGAGCTTTATAAATGCATGAAGACAAGTTTTTTCTCTTATTGCACCTCTACACAGCAAACGGAAAAATATAGAAGTGTATTGGATGACGCCACGTTTGATTACAGTTTTCTAAATCTCGCCAGGGTATAGAGTTGTATTCGTCAGTCGAGCGTTTCAATACTCTCCACAGTATAGAGGTCGTAATTTCACTTTTAAACTAGTATTAATATGAAAACTATTTTAAGCTTAAAAAAAAACTATATACGACATGATTGTGATTTTTTTCATTTTATTAATTAATTAAGCTGTGTTGAATATTTTTACTAAAGGAATAATTGCCAATGGGCCATTAATTCATTTGTTCGTAGATATGCTACAATAACCTGCACTGGTGTGTACTTTTTCATCAACCAGATTTAAATATTGCTGTACTAACATATACCAGTGGAGATAGTGCATGGTCTACCAACAGACCTCATTAGTAAATTATTAAAGTTTAATAGCATATCGATCATTTTTTCAACATGACCTCTGAAATTTTTAATACAGATATAGGTACTTTATAAAATACATAAATATACTTTACATCATATCCTCTGTGCTTTACATACCTGAGTTGTTACGGTAAATAAAAATCAGACAAAGGAACCAAAGAAAGGAATTATTTTCAACAAAATCATATGCAGAAATGAGAAAATTCAAACTACTTGCATCCATCAAAAGATCAAAACTTCTTGCAATATTACACCCTCTTTTTATACTCTCAGAAATATTGACTAGAACAGTATTAGAGAGACTCCAGTTTCTATAACTTGGTAGAGTAAAGAGAAGTCAAAACCGTTGCGATATTGCATTGCGCTGTTTTTGTATAATTCTCGGGGACATTAACGAAAATCATTGCCAATAAAATTCGAAAAGCTTGAGTTTCTATGTCTCTGAAGAGAATAGGAATCCGAAGTTGCTGCACCATTGGACTGAACCCTTTTTCAATAATTTCTAGAGACATAAATGACTGCACCATTCGACAGGGTCGAGTTTCTACCTCTCTGTTGAATATAGAAAATCAAAATAATGTATCTTGTAAGACACCATTGAGTTTGACTTTAAATATAGTCGGGCATGAAAACAAAGCACGATTCAATACAGTTCTGATAAAACTTTAAGATTTAGTATTCAAACGCGGAGTCATCCTATACAGTTCTATATTTTTCCGTTTGCTGTGTAGGGCTTATTAGTTTTAACAAATAGTTGTAAAGACTTTTTAAAGCAATTAAACTTTTTAGCAGTTGTTTGCAAGAGTATATTGTTTTATAACTGAAACCGCCATTTAAATTAGAAAATATTGCGCGCCATAATGAAATAATTTTAATATAAAATACGAATAGATAATATTTTTCAAAAAATGTTTATGCTAGAGAATATTTATCGATAAGAGATGGCTTTTTCTTAAACGTTTCTTTGCTAGGTGAGGAACAAGTTGGATGGTGGCAATTATGCCATAAAGCGTATTAAATTGAACCCCAAAAATAAACAGCTCAACAAGAAGATAGTCAGGGAGGTAAAGTTGCTGTCCAGATTGAACCATGAGAATGTCGTGAGGTATTACAACTCTTGGATCGAAACCACCACAATCAAAAGCGACGATACCGATTCTTCCGAAAACACCTTTTCGGAAAAACTCGATTTCAACGTTCCTCGAATCGTAAAAAAAGACGAAGTTTGTTTTGTATTAAATGCTGACGAGTTTATTTTTTATCAAGTTGCCTTTCAGTTCACCATAAATGACAACATAGAAGATCTTGCGCCACCAATAAAAAACGTGGAAGTTTCAGTAACGTATGACAGTAAGTCGCAAAGAGTGTTCGATTCTTCTGATGATGAATCCAGCGATGATGAAGGAATTTGGGCCGCGTAAGTGACGCTATTTATATTTCATTTATTATATTTAAATAATAATATACAGAACTCGCGCCACAGAGAAAAAAAGCTTTATATCGAAATTGAATGCGCTTTTTTTCTCTCGTTCGATTACACTATTACCTAGAAATGTTTTATTTTTAAATTTGTTATCTCCATTGCTATCAGCACGTACCTTTTTTATCTGTGGCGCGAGTTCTGTAGTTTGAACTGATTTTGAAACGATTGAGGCCTGTCAGAGCAAAGTCAACAATCTCCCATCAGAGAGTAAATTTTGATAATTTTTTTGGTATTTTAAATTCTAGATTTGTAATTTTTTTATAAATTAGGTATATTGAAATATTGTTGTTGTTAGTCTAGTAGCCAACTACAAGGTCTCCAGGATGCATAAGTCGTTTTTTCGCGTAAATACCATGAAATACTATGGTTATTAAACTTAACCGTGGTTAATAGTTAAGGCATTTTTGCGTTTAGAGTGCGTTCAAAAATCCTAACTATGACGTCACAAATACCAGACCATAAAACTATATCGCTGAGCTAGTTATTCAACGTGGTTAATAGTCTTTCTCTTTTTAATATATATTTTTCTCTGTTTCGATCTGTCAAGAAGTTGTTTACATTTGAAATTTAAAATATTTTAAGTAGGTACAATTGCTCTTAAACCGAATTTAAACTTTGTATTAAAATGGTAAATGGGGTGTTGTCAGTAAAAATAAATGATAGGGTGCTCCATATTGTGAATCTCCACAAGTGGAGGAATTATATGCAGGTTTTTTTATATTCTTCCTTATTTTGTATTAAACATGTAGGAGAATTGGATAACGTGTATTAAAAAACTAGTACCTATAGAAAAAGAATATACTAGGTATAAAAAGAGGCAAAGAAATTTATTTACACCGGTAAAAGCATAGAAATTAAATATAAATAGGTAAAAACACATTTCAAAAATTACTGGTTATGAACAAGTAAACAAATGTCAAATGTTAGAAACCTAACCATGGTTATATATGAATTAACTGTGACGTCATGACTTATTTAACCGTAGTATTTACGCGAAAAAACGACTATAGTCTAGGTGAAATCTATAATTATAAATTGGAGATTGCTGACTTTGATATTAATTGCTGGAGATTGCTCATTTTGTTGTAAACGTTTAAGGAGATTTAGAAAAATAAACAAACAAATAATTATTTTTTTATTCCTTTAATGGGTATAAAATTTAACTATACAATCTGAACTGGACCACATAAATCTAGAGTTTCTTCTAAATCTGGGACCAGGTTGCCTCGTGCAAAAAAGTTTTTATAGTACAACTCATCATCTTCTTCCCACTTTGCCCCGTAATGTTTTACTTGCAATGTTTTGACATTATCAGCCTTTTCTTGCTTTACCTTTACGTCTTATTATGGTATAATAGCACAAAATAAACAAGATAACTTTTTTATAATTCTTAAAACAATAAAACGTATATGTACCTATTTTAAATATATTTTTAAGTGCTATTTACTGCAATAGAACTTAACAGTATGTACCAGTAAAAAAACGCAAAATTAAATATCTAAAATACGTTATAACATCAAATGTTAGGATATCAGGTGACACAAATTTCTAATTTTTAATGGTGGAATTGGAGATTGTATACTTTGCTGCAAATCTATCAGTGGAGATTGTCGACTTTGCCCTAAATGTCATTTTTAAAATAGGATTTAGGCAGGATTTAGCTCCTTTTGCAGCACATAAAATTTATCATCTTATAGATAATTAGTTGAAGTACAGTCTCCGCCAAAAATCTTTGACCAAAAGTGAAGATTGTCGGGTTTGCTATGACAGGCCTCAATTGTAATAAAAACTCTCCAACCAAAACTCTCTGATTTAGCTATGACAATTCGGATTCCGACGGCATTGAGTTTGAGCACAACTCCTCGGAATCTCCGTCCAAAATTTCGTCTTGTTCGTCACAAAATGTGATCGCAACGGATCCCACTGAAGAAAATGTCACACAAATCGATTTCATGTACATTCAAATGGAGTTTTGCGAAAAAAGCACCTTACGACACGCCATTGATGACGATTTGTATGTGGACGAGGACAGAGTGCGGAGATTATTCAGGGAAATTGTGGAAGGTAATGTCAACAAAATGTCTTTTAGATGTATTTAACCGGACAAAAAACAATAATTTTAAAACGCTAAATATGAATTGTCCAAGATCATTGGTAACATTTCCCATCAATAATTTTAAATGCATTTTTGCAGTTTATACAGGGTGTCCAGAAAATGGCTCAATACCTCCATAACAGATATTTTAACTAGCCAGATTTAAGTTTTCGGACATAATGCTATGTTACAACGAATATTATTCGAGCAATAATTTTTTTATTACAAAATACACAGTAACTAAACTTGTAGCGTCTCTTAATATATTTTTTAATTCTGACCTACTTTAAAAAAACTTTACATTTTTAAATCACAATTAAATGGGTGCACTGAACAATTTAAATACAAATATCTAGAAAACAGTTACTAGCAGCGACAAAACCTAGCACAACTGGTTAAATTAACGTTATTTTGTAATAAGTGAGGAATTCAATTATGGTAAAATTAACGTTGTTAGTTAAATTTAACTTCTTGGTTAAAAAGAAGGTAATATTTGGTTGTTTTTGGTTTATTTTACCCTTTTTAAATTCTGTTGAACTCTTAAGTCAAATTAAACCACAATTAATCCGTTTAAGTTTATTTTAACTATATAATTATAATTTACCATATGTATTTATGTATATCTGTACAGGGTGTTACCTAATTAATGTAATATATTAAAATGAGCAGTTCCTTAGGGTTGACTAAAAATAATTTATAATAACCTTTATCCTACCAAAAAGTACGCCACTGATCGACTAGGAACTTTTGACTAATCTGGTTGCCTAATTTAATTTATTATGTTATGGTTGGTAACAACCAAATTCTGTCAAAAAAGTTGCCAAACATTGTTTAAATTTAGCTTAATTACAAAAATTACAAAATCAACAATGCAAATTGTCAATTTGGCGTTTTTATTAATTGTTGCTTATGTCATTTTTGTACTGAAGGTAAATTCAAACAAAATCTGCCAACTTTTATGACAGAATCTAGTGCATTCCTTTCAAATTTTACGTTATGTGTTCAAATTGAATATTTTAACTATGGAAAGTTCTTTTGAATTTATTCACACAAATTGAATGTTTAAAGTTTAACCTGTGAACTTGTCCTAGTTTCATCTGAGTAAACAGAAAGAAAAAAAAACGATGAAAAAATTCATTTTGTGGTTATATATAGAGTTTTTAAAATAGGTAGGTCAGCCATTCCACGCTACTCGGGAATTTTTGTAGCGTCCGTTACAATCAAAAATTGTGATTAAAAGCTACCTTAATTAAATTAAATACTGTTACAATAGTTAATATTGCAAACATGTTTATTATGCTTGTAATAATTAGGCTTAAACTTATAAGCATTTTAATTACGGTAGTTTTACTCACAATTTTTGATTGTAACGGACGCTACAAAAATTCCCGAGTAGCGTGGAATGGCTGAGGTACTAAATTTTCTAATCATTGCTTAAGCTGAAAGTTGGATGAGTAAATAAATACAGAAGGGTATTAGAGCTTTAAGGGCATGCAACTTTGTATTTATTGAGTTTTTATTTATTTTTTGCAAGAAAAATTTTTCGTAACATTTTTTTACAACTGGCAACGCGCAGCTACGTTGTTGGTTGGTATCCATGTACTCACAGAACACAAGTGTGTAACCAGTGGCGTATCACAAAAAATATTATTAACTTCTAATGCATATTTTTTCTTTATCTTTGGGAAAATATTGTTTTAAATATTCGTCAAAAGGTATTCAGTATTTAAAAATATTACATTAATTACATTACACCCTGTAGATATAACTTACAGATTCTTAAAATAAAATGTCGCCCCTGAATATTATATTATATTAATACTAATATTAATATATGTATTTATGTATAATTATCAATTGATATTTTGAATAAATTGATGAAGTAGCTACTAGTAAATAATACTTTTCTCATGTTTTAAATACGCTTTGAAAAAATAAGTAATAAAGAAAATACAAATTAAAAGAAATTTATCTATATTTTTTATTTCTTTTGAAATTATACAAATTAACCAAACCTGGGGTTAATTTACCAAAAAGTTATATCAAAAGTTACACTAAACCAAAATATTTAAAAAAAAATAACTATTCTTAAGCATTTTAAAGGTTAAAATTAGAAGTTAATAAAAAACGTTTATCTCCACGCGGTCTATAATTTAAACTTTATTGTTGTCAACATTCGATAAAAATGTTTATGACGCAAGTAATTAGTTCGATTTTTTCTCGCTAGGGGTATTGTTTTGACAAATTAATCCTTTTCTAAGAAATTAACGTACTAAACTGCTTTAATTTATTTATAATAAGCACTAATTTGTTTGTTTTACTGTTAATGTTTAATATTTTTCATTAAATTATTGTAAAATTAAATATGAATAATAAAACAAAAAGTGAGGTTAGGCAACCAAGAAAACGCACGATTCTTTTTCCACGATTTAAATTATCTTTAAGTTTTAATTTGCTTTAAGTTTTCAGTGAAATTAATGCAAACATTCCAAACTACCTATTTTTTAAATAAAAATCCAAACAAATTGAAATTAGATACCTACCTATTTATTAAACAATTAATTGAATTCAATGTAATAGCAAAAATTCATTTCTACTTAAATCATGTAGCTAGGTATTGTCAAACTATTACTGCTTCTAAAAGCAATAATAATTATTGTACATTTAATGTAATCTTTAGCTAATAAATAAATGAGATTCTAAAAAAGTGAGGTTAGGCCGCTTTGATGTTGAATTAAATTGACCTATATAAAGTGCTTTGAAGATAAAATGTTGTATGCCATTCATTGTGCTTCGCTCAATTGAAATTATTAATAAATGTTTCAAGGTTTGGCTCACATCCACCAGCAAGGGATGATACACAGAGATCTGAAACCCGTGAACATTTTCTTGGACTCTGAGGACCACGTTAAGATAGGAGACTTCGGTCTGGCAACGACCGACATAAAGTCCCGCCAAAACGAACATTTCACCGCCAAAAGCCCGATCGAGAGCGACAGGGACAGAGACAACACCGCGGACGAAAGTAAAACGGGGGCTGTAGGTACCGCCCTCTACGTGGCTCCCGAGATAAGTTTGGCCTCGAAGGCTATTTACAACCAAAAGGTCGATATTTACAGCTTGGGCGTCATTTTGTTCGAAATGTGCTTCAAACCTCTCGATACTTCTATGGAGAGAATTAAGATTCTTACCGGGCTGAGGTCCAAGGAAATAACGTTCCCTGAGGAGTTTTTGAAGAAGAAAAATGAAAAGCAGGAAACTCTTATAAAGTAAGACTTTTAAATTAAGGAATTTATTTTATAAATTTCTATTCACTTAATAAAATCACTGCAGTTTTATGAAGACACACAATATTAATACTAAATACTACTAATACTAAAAAATGCACTGGACAATAATACATTCAAAATAATACATTAATTAGAATTATACATACACTCACAGGCAAAATAATCGATCCACACAAATGTTCAATGAATTTCAATCGCAAATAACTTTTTTATTTGATGTCTGATTTAAACGAATATTAAAGAATATTGTAGATAAATTAATGGACAATCGCTCACATTTTAAAAAATTACTAAAAAATAGACGTACGTTTATAATATACAGGTTTAAACAAAAATATGTTTTTTACCAGAGTGGCAAAACCGTATATTGTTCTAAATTAAGTTTTATTTATCAAGTCGCATCTATTCTTAACAGTTTTGTTTTTGGTTCACCTCGATATATTTATTTTTGTGGAAAATATGGATTTTTTAAAAAAAAACATTGCAATTTCCAATATTTTTCTGTATGAAGAACTAAGGTTGCTATGGTCAATCCATATGCTATGGAGAATGACAATGACAGTTTTGTTGAATCATCCCATACTTGGACATGTCATACACAGCTTTTAAAAGGTATCAAATTGTTTTTTGCAAATTAATGTTTAAATTTTGAGGTGTCTTCTTACTTTAAAAAATGGATATGTCCCCGACTGATGTTGCGTCCAGGATGGACGGTCACAGTATTACGTGGCAAGTGTTTTAAACGTCACAAAAAGTAAAGTACAAAGGCCAACATCATTTGGAGACATTTTTAAAAATAAGAAGACACCTCAAAATTAACACATTAATTTACAAAAAACAATTTGATAGCTTTTGAAAGCTGTATATGACATGTCCAAGTATGGGATGATTCAACAAAACTGTCACTGTCATCCTCCATAGGCTATGAATGGACCATAGCAACCTTAGTTCTTCATACAGAAAAATATTGGAAATTGCAATGTTTTCTTTTAAAAATCCATATTTTTCACAAAAATAAATATATCAAAGTGAACCAAAATAGATGTGACTTGATAACTAAACCTTAATTTAGAACAATATACGGTTTTGCCACTCTACAGAGTGTCTTAAACTTATGCTAAAAAACATATTTTTGTTTAAACCTGTATATAATAAACGTACGTGTATTTTTTGATAATTTTTAAAATGTGAGCGATTCTCCATTAATGTATATGGGTAAAATTTTTATAATGGGACAATCGCCTGTTCCATAGGATTGTCTAAACATTATTAAATCTGGCATAGTGAATCCAAGGCTATTTGATAGCCAGGGTTATATTCTAATTAGCAAATAGAATGTAAGATTTACGTACTTTATACTTTTTTATGAATTTTATCTTTTATAGCCAAAATCGTCATTTCGGAAACGGGTCCAAATTTATATCTTAAAGTTCCATACCCTGTGGTTTGATTTTCTTTCTCGTTTTAAAAAAATCAAAGAAAGTAATGCATTCCTTGAATAGTCTATATTGCGTAATATGTATTTTAAATCTCGTAAATAAAACCATATTTTGGATATAATCAAATGTTATATGGCCGGAATGAAACTCGTCATCTCGGAAACAAATCACTTCAATTCAAATATCCCGCGAATAAATACCTTTAGACCCCCTCCTTATACATATTAGTGTAGTTTGTGGTGTTGTTCATCAAAACATGTCGGTAAGTTTATGCAAATAATTATATATTTTTTACAATTAACAAGAAAATATTGAAAAAGTTGTGCGTACCTTTATTATGGATCAGTTCGGAAACATGCTACACTTAATTAGGTTGTATATTTAAACGCTATTACTATTTTTTTTAAATAAAACAGGTGTCCAGTTATTTAACCTCCAAATTGGATGTCTCTTGATTGATAATGCAGATAACTGTAAATTATTTTGTGAAATATCGTCATCTCGGAAACGTCATTTCGGAAACAGTTGTACCGTAGCTTAAATGTTTCCGGATTGACGTTTAGTTTCCGGAATGACGTAAGTGGTATTCACATTTATTTTTGTTTGGTATACAAATATATTAAACGCCACGTTACTTTTAGTTATTTATTCGTATTTGGGATACGTTTTCTTTGTATAAATATTTTTTATAAATTATTTCAGAATTCGCTGGACCCCACAAAACTATCACAATTAAAAAACAAGCTTAAAAAGGACCGCGAAGAAGCTTATGAAAAAAATGAGAAATATAATAAACAAAAAGAAGAAGAGAAAAAAGAAAAAAGACGGTTAAGTAGAAACAGTAAGGAAAAACTGTTCCCGAATAGTAAAATACTTTTAGAAAGTAATAAGAACAGATTATTGGTTACTGAAGAAAAACTCTCACAGCAAAATTCAAGCATCAACGAATGTGATAATAATATTGAACAACAAAAAATACGAAATAGGGTGTTAAAACAATTCAACCACAATATAGAATCCACAGATAAAAACCGCATTAAAATCTTAAAAAAACAGAACACAAAAATGACCCAGGCTTACATTTTAAATAAAAAAGATAAAAATACCAAAGAAAACACAAAGATACAAAAGACTAACTTAAATAATAAAACCAAAGAAAATAAAATCATAAAAAAGTCCCTAAAAACAAAACCAGAAAAAAGAATACAAAAAGCAAAACTTCAAGAAAAGAGTACAAAACGAGTTCAAAAGTTTAGAGCTAAAATGACCGATGAAAAGCGAGAGGAAAAACGTAGAAAAGATAGAGAGAGATATAAAAAATTGAAGGAGGAAGGACGTATAAAGAGTATAAAAGATCTTGGTAAAAGAGAACAGCAAAATATAAGAAAAAAATGGAAATCGTCTAGTTTAGAGTACCGAAAAAATAAGAAGTCGCAGGCCGCAACGAAAACATTTTTAGACAATAATTCACCTCCAACAAGTGATAACGAAGAGTATCAAGATATTCCAGTTGATGGAACTAATGAGTCACCTAAAACCCCCAACTCAGTAAAAAGTCAAAAAGGTCGTAAAAAAGTGAAACGTGACAGAGCTGAATGTTATCGTAAATTAAAAAAGTCACAAAAGATTATAGAAGACTTAAGAAATAAACTTAGAAACTCTCAAAGAAAAGAGAGGAGACAAAAATTAAAAATTGCAGCATTAGAGTCTAGTAAAGAAAGACTACCAGCTGAAACTCTATCTCCAGCAACAAAGGTAAACAAACTAATAAAAGGATTTATGGTACCCGAAGGAGTTAAGAGACGGCTAGTGTTAGGAGAAGCGCTGCATTCGCAGTTAAAAGAAAACGTACAACAACTGAAAACAAAATGAAAAACAAGTTGCGGCTAAATTAATTAGTGGAAAAATATTAAAGAAATATAATGCTTTAGGTGAATTTTCAAACATTGTTTCATACAAAATGTCGCGCAAGGTAAATAGCAGACCATGCAATATATTACAATTGAATCAGTATTACAGGAAAAAAAGAAACAGTGTGAAAACGCAGAAAGTTCGAATATCCGTTAAAGAATTTCTTGAAAAAGACTGCAGCTCGAAAATGTGTCCTGGCAAGAAAGACTATGTACGAAAAGGCAAAATCAAAAAACAAAAACGACTTCTACTGGATTCCCTTAAAAATTTACACAAAAAGTATATTGACAGTGGAGGTCTTCATATCTCAGAGACAACTTTCTTAAAATATAAGCCATTTTGGATAGTTCGAGCAACACATAAAGATAGAAATACGTGTGCGTGTATTAAACATGAAAATATATATTTTCTTATTTCTAGCTTGCAAAGGGCGAATTTAATAAATGCAAGGAATTCTAGGGAACTAATAAATGAACTATAGTTTGTGATACAAAAAAAATTGATTGTATGTTTAGTTGCAAAGAAAAAGTATGCAGTTTAAAGCATAAAACTAAAGGTAAACTACAGGAAGAAATAAGATACTATCAGTGGGAAACTAAAGCTGAGGAGATATATATTAAAGAAACGAAGAAACAAATCAAAAGAACCGTAAAGATTCAAAAGACTTCTAGTGTAAAAGAAATATTTAAAATTCTAAATGAACAAGCCATCGATTTTCTCAAACATGTTTTTATTATGGAAAACCAAATGCTACAATTACAGATAAAAAAACAGTCACTCAAAACCGATGAAATAATAATTCAGGTTGATTTCTCTGAAAATTACGTAGCAAAATATTCTACCGAAATACAGTCAATGCATTTTGGGGCATCCAAAAAGCAAATTTCATTACACACTGGAATTTATTATTTTCGAGAAAATTCAACAAATTTAATTAAAAGTAAATGCTTCTGTTCCGTAAGTGACAATCTCGATCACCAGTGTCATGCAGTTTGGGCGCACCTTGACAAACTATTGCTAAATATTTCTACTGAATATCCGGCTATTTCCAAGTTACATTTTTTTCGGATGGTCCAACCTCCCAATATAAAAACCGTTTTAATATTTTCTTTTTAATTTCGAAGATACCTACCCAAATATTTTAAAAATATTCAAGAAATTAGCTGGAATTATAGTGCAAGCGGTCACGGTAAGGGTCCAATGGATGGTGTCGGAGGTGCTTTAAAAAGAAAAGCAGACTGCTTGGTACTGTCTGGTACAGATATATCTTCAGCAGAATCTTTCATTAAGAAAGTGTCACAAAACAGTTCTATTGAAATATGGGAAGTCAGCAGTAAACTTATACAAAAATTAAAAAAAGAAGTGCCAAAAAAATGTGTTGCTATCCCTCAAATAATGTCTCTTCACCAAATAACTTGGTCCAAGAAAAACCCAGGTTTATTATTCCTGAATCAGACTAGCTGCTTTTTATGAGAAATTGGAACTAAATGTTTGCATTTTAGTCAAAACCCTCCTTGGGTACAAATTCAAGCAAAAAATAACATCTATAAAGAAAAGGTCTTCCTTCTTGATAATGTCAAAGTAGAATCTCTGGAACAGTCCGCTCCAACTGAGAGTATCCTTTTTTATTAAAACTGTATTGCTTTATTTTTTATAAATCATGAAAATATTTTTCTTAATTATTATTCTAGATTTTAAAACCCAAAAATCAGTGAATATAATATCGCAAGTTATCATACCACCATCAAAATTTTGCCACAACGAAAAACTCAAATCCGGCTTATGCTTTATTTGCACGTTCAATTTATCTGCAACAGTCGGGGGTGTCAAATGTGGCAATTGCAGTAGAACATACCACATTCATTGTATTTTAAAGCACGCCCAGCAGGATGTATGCGAACTATTTTTATGTACAACGTGTAGAACCAATTAGCGATGTTTCCTTTTTTTGTTTTTTTTTGTTTTTAATACATTGTAATACGTCTTAACTGAAAAAACTTTCATAACTCTGTGTTTTTGTATTAATATTTAAAATTAAAAAAAATATGTATTTTTAATGTGTATTTTTATTTATTAGTAGACGTCATCTCGGAAACATTGCCGATATGTATTTTGATGGTAATATAAAACATCATAAAAGCCTCATCTGTTAGTATACATTTTAATCTAAAACCCTTACAGAAACATAATACCGTGAAATATTGTGAAGTTAAAGGCTTGAAATTGGAAAAAAATCTGAATTATAACAATTTAAAAAAAACTAATTTACAACAATAAAATGCTGAAATTTTAGCTAAATCTTAAAATATTAGCAAATTTCATTAATTTTTTTAAACAATGTGTTTTGTCCTGCTAATTCCACATAATTATTTCACTAGAAAATCAATTTTTGTACATATTTTTTATGATGTTTGGAATGTTTCCGAAATGATGATTTTCTGGAGTTAACCATTAAAACAGCGTTAATATATTACCTAATTTTGTAAATTTTTCGCGGCCACTCTTAGTTCAGATTTGACATATAACGACCAATTCAGAAACAGCGGCAAATAAGATTAAAAACAAAAATGATTTTTAAAATGTACTTGGACAGCTATTGTCTTGTTATAAAAATTTTACCCATATACAATATTCTTTAATATTTGTTTAAATCCGAAATCAAATAAAAAAGTTATTTGCGATTGAAATTCATCGAAAATTTGTGTGGATCGATTATTTGCTTCAAAAAATAAAATTTAATTTTTTTTTCGCTCTTACCCTCTTAAATGTTTCTATTTAATATAAAAAAAATCCTCACCAAATATGGGCGTTCCAGCTCAACTAAGAGGTCGCTGTTTTTATTTTAGTTTCCCATTTAATTAACATGGGAAAAAATAATTTTATGTTTGGAACTTTATACCTCTGTATCAAAGTATCTTATGGCAATGATCAGTGCAGTTTCTTATATAAAATGTAACGCTCTACAAAAAAGGTCTCTTATTATTTTTCGATAAATTGATTTCTTCTAGAGTTATTCGAGGTCAAAGTTTGATAACATCAAATTTTCTGTTTTTTTTTTTAAATTTAACTAACCTAAAAATTAAAACACTGACAATAACAAAGCAAAGACTATTGGACTTAAAATAATTATAAAAACCTACTTCAATTTTCTTTTACATTTAAAACATTTACGATTAAAAAGTGCCATAATTTAATGTTCTTTTAAATCGCAAACTAAAATAAAACATTTTAGATTACTTTTAACGCACGACATAACAAAAAGACCGACCTCCTTGGAACTGCTTCAGTCTGATTACATTCCACCGCCGGTTTTAGAAGAAAGGGAACTAAGAGAGCTGGTTAGGCACACCCTGAGCAACCCCCAATTAAAAGGGTACAAGTACTTGATAGCCTCGTGTTTTCAACAATCCGTGACGCCTGCGCAAGACATCACATACGACAAGGATCCCACTTCGTCGCACAATTCGAAACCGTTTCAGATATACGATTTTGTAAGGCAGGCGTGTGTTAAAGTAAGTAGTTTTTGTTTGATTTTACAGGAGTTGTACTCAGAGCTGGGAGTATCTTGAAAAAAAAGATACTTGAAAGTAACTTAGATACTTAAAGTATCTAAGATACTTTATCTTAGATACTTTTTATATTGGACAGAAAGTATCTTTAACTAAGTTACTTTGGAAAAGTATCTTGTAACTTGTAGTTACTCGGTAAAGTAACTAAGATACTTTAAAGTAACTTAGATACTTTCTTAGAGAAAGTAATTACCTAAACTACAACTTGTTGAATTATTATAATTTTATAGCTTTTATTCATACTTAAAAGTTACTCAAAAGTACCTATCTTAGTTACTTAAAAGTATCTTAAAAGTATAGTTACTCAAAAGTATCTTAGATACTTTCGGATAGTATCTTAGATACTTTTTAAAGTATCTTGTAACTAAAGATACTTTTAACTAAAAGTATCTAGTTACCAGAGGTAATTAAGTTATTTTGTTTAAAGTATCTTAGAAAAGTAACTAGATACTGTTCAGAAGTAACTTTCCTAGCTCTGGTTGTACTACCACTAGTTCTTCCGTTTTCAATCACTATCTCAGACAAACTGATCTGTGATCACTGCTTTTAGTTTTTGTTTTTTTTTAGATTTTTAAACAACATGGCGGGCACAATTTGGCAACTCCTTTACTAATGCCCAAGAGCAAGTATTATGAAAATTTGGATTTATGTGTAAAATTGATGACGCATTTTGGAAGCATAGTTACTTTGCCACATGATCTCAGGTAACATAATGAATTTTTCTCTTATGGGTGAATCTCACGAAATGTCCAGATTTTTAACCGCAATTAATTATTTTTTACAATGTTTTAAAACTCTAAAACCTATCCTCCATGACTATTTCTAGGTTAACCTATATGTTTTCAAATAGCTGAGGTAGTAAAAGCATACTAAAAATATCAGTTCACTAAGTAAATTAAACACATCCAAAGCAATCGAATCAAATATAAAATATTATTAAAAATTAAAAGAAATAATTTTTATAACCATTTATGTAGGTGTTACAAAAATTGATTCTATCCTCTATTCTATTCTATTCTGTTTTTGTTTTAAATTGTATGTAACGGATGGCGCTTTAATCATTTTAAATTAGCAAAAACCTATGTTCACGACATTATAGATGCATGTGATTCCTGAAGGTCAGTTAGAATTTATATGCAGATGAGAGTGTTGCTGTTTTATAATTCAAAAGTTTAAGTTCATTAATTTGTTATTTAAAAACCTATCCACCGTGAAGTGTAATATCTCCGTAGATTTTTTTAATAAATATTTTATGTATACAATTTTTAAAAAATATTAAGGTGTCAAAAGATACAATAACTTATTTCAAATATACAAAGGGATGTTTAAAAAAACATACGAAATCCTAACCTCCGTGAAGCTATCTTCCGTGAAGCTCTAATATTCAAAATTTATGATTTCTTAAAATTCTTGCATTAGTGCAGAACCACTTATGTTATGTTATTACTAGACCTGGTGGCTTCCCAAAAACCCTATTCTAGACTAACAGTGAAACAACCAAAAATAATCATTTTCACCTGGGGAGACTCAATATATTCACCATTATGCACTTATGCCTGTAGAATTGCCATATAAATTTTTGTCAACTTTCACCGCACAGTTTAGAAATTATAAACGATGTTGACCAAAATTATCAATCTGTCATTTTCGTCTAGAAGATCCGGCAAAACTGGACTACGAACATGTCTAGGGATATTAGGTTTGATTTATTTGGTGTAACATAATTTCGTATTTATAATTGTATTGTTATTTATTATAAGTTTTTTTTTAATATTTAGACAATCCTTCTACCTTTTATGGTTTTTTTCTTTGTTTTCTGTTGCTCTATTTTTGGTTCCCATACTTTGTTTTAATAATTTTTTCTTTGTAGTGTTCATTCATTTCACAGAACATAATAATTCGTTTTCACAACTCATTTTAGTATTTTAAATAACACGCCATAAAGAAATGTCACTTCAACTGTCAAAAGCGAAACGCGTTACCATAGAAACCAACTATCAACAACTCGCAATGTTGTCGTTTTGAGCTTACAAGTTTATATAAACTTCACTTCTTATTTTTCCGAGTTCTATCGATCAATTATTTTCCCGATTAAAATCTGAGATATATGTTAATAAACCTACAGAATCCATTTTGGGATTTCCTTTATTTTATTAGAGTTTTTTTAAGAAAATCAATTAATATTTATACCAACAAAATTTTATTTAATTTTCAGCTAACAACAGCTCCCTTGTTTATTTTGCGTTTCCAATTTAAAATCGAAAACTTATATAGATTCTGGTTCTTTTTTGAGTTGAAGGAGATTATTTTTTCTGCAAAAATATTTCAAATGTCTGCCCTGAGATTACTTGCCTCAAAATAAGTCATTTTAGTTTAACTTTCATTTTATTCCATATATAAATTGTATAATGTATAGGACATTTAACAACGATTATGAGTATAGCATAGTAATTTCTTTGCAGGGTGCCTTTTGCAAGGTACATAGCATGGAATGGCATTCAACAGTTTCGAAGATACTCGATAGAAAGAGTCTACAGGGAAAGAAAAGTTTTTGGATTTTTACCCAGGGAATTATATGAGTGTGCGTTTGACATAGTCAGTCCCACTTCCGGTAAATTAACTAAGTAAATAATTTAGCATGAGAATTTCATTTTTATAATGCATAGGTAATTTAATGTCGGATGGAGAAATATTGTACTTGGTGTACGAAATAATAAACGAAATTTCGTGCTTAAAAAATACGTTTAAAATACGTTTAAACCACACTTCTCTATTGAAGGCGATATTATTGCATTGTGGAGTCAGGGACAACCATGCAGAAGTATTCAATGTTTTGTCTGGAATTAAGGTAAATTAATCACAAATATATAAAACTTTTTTATAAATTACTATTTGAATTTTAGGAGAGTAAAATTTCAAAAACGCAAATGCAGGATTACCTGATAACTTTAGGATTATCCGACAATTCCATATCTCTGTTTATAAACCTAACAAATCAAGAGTTCGACATCAGTAAAATAACGAACCAATTCCAAATGATTTTGAAAAAAAAATCTGGGGAAGCTAGTCAATTGGCCAAACAGGCCATCCAAGATTTAAAACAAATCGCGCAAAATGCTGAAGCATTTGGAGTCACTGTAAGTTAAAATTTATTAAAACATATTTTATCTTTAAGCGGTCTATACAGTATACTTTATTGTCGTCAAGTTGACGACGTCAACACTCGACACTAAAGTGATTAATTATGGCATCGGTGGGGACGTAAAAACCTTGTTTTTTTTATAAAAAAATATTTTTTTTAAACCCCCACAATAATTCAAAATAAACTATATTTTGTCAATTATTAATATTATCCTGTTCTGATTCTGAACTCCCTTGTGGAAATTTTTATCTAAAAAAGTTTTAATAAGTAAAAATAATAGTTTTAAAGGTCTTACTTTCTCTTAAAAACTCAGAATAGGTCTTAGTAAGTCAGACTAATAGCAAGATTTAGGAGTCTTTTTAAAGAGTTAATAAGACTTAATAAGACTTTTAGCAGAGAAATGGTATAGCGGATTTATTCAGAGATATATTTGGTTATTGTAAAAGAAATCACACAAAAAAGTATTTACATTGTTTTTGTGTTGTAAGCAAAGTTTATTTAAATTCATCACAATAAAACAGTTGAAAAGACTCCCATATCTTGCGATTAGTCTGACTCATTCAGAGTTTTCCGCCTTAATAAGTCTTATTCTGACTTTTTTCAACTTAATAAGTCTTAACCAGAGTTTTTAAGAGAAAGTAACTCTTATTTTTAGAGAAAAATTTCCACAAGGGCTGGAACAACGTCCTTAGTTTTTCCGTTAAAAAAGCATGTAGGTAAATCTTGCTTTTTTTGTTTCATTAAATAAAATCAGCCCCACATTAAAGTGTCTTATTGGTAGAGATGGGATTTTAGTTTTACTACCGATTTGTCTACGCTAATCATAACTTTAGGTGCAATGGAATAAAATCCGTTTTGAAAAAAAAAAGATTTTATCCGAAATCGGCAGTAAAGTAGTCAACAATCGGCAGTAAAGTAAAAGAAATCGGCAGTAAAGTACTACCGATTTAATACGAGTATTGTATGCAACCCATTATACATTTTAAGATTTAATTTTATTAATTTGATTAAAAAATCGCCGCGGCGGGCAAATATATAATATCCGTCGCAACAAACAGTATACGTACACGTTGATCATCAATATTAATTATTAGTATTATTAAATGTGATTTCGGATAAAATTTAATATGCACCTCGGCATTAAAGTCATTTTTTATCACTCACGTGGTTATTTGCCTCGGCATATAATTTCCACATTCGTGATAAAAAATACGACTGTACTGCCTTGATACATAAATAGCTATTATTTGACCTACCGATTTTACCCAAATTTTAATTTTTTAAAGATGTGGACTTTACCATCTAAAATAGTGTGAGTTTAACTATTTCACTTAAATTGTTATTTTTAATAGAAATGAAATTTGTACCATCACAAACATGCTTTTTTGTAAAATTGGGGTTGTATTGGAATAAAATAATTATTATGTACTATGTAGTTATTTTTGTTGGTAATGTGGGTTGGTTTATTATTATCAACATAGTGGTTTGTACTGGGAATCGCGAACAGTGACTCGAATGACGCAAGTGACGTGAATGACGCGATTGTGAGATTCCTGTGCAATGTTGCATTTTTACTTTTTCCTGAGAAAGTATTTTTTTAAACATTTCTATCATAATACATTTGAATTTGTTCTTTAAAACAATAATAAATTAAATAATTTGACCACCTAAAAGTTGTTTTCCAGTGCCTATTTATAAAAGACTTTCAGGGGATGAAATTGGGGGACGCGGAAAGAAAATAAAATGTAAAAAAAAATCAAAACAAGTTTTTTCCACTTTACATCTCTAGGCATAGGCACATTAAAATCAACAGTAAGCGTCAGTGATTGGCCGATTTCATTATTCAATGTGATTCGGACGAATCGGGTTTGAACTTTTTTTTCCTCCACGCACAGGCAGGTATTTTAAGCTAAAACGTGACCAAAACCCAATTTTTGTTAATTTTTATTACTAGATCTAAGATTGCGTCTCAAATCAGATAAATAACATGGATATCTTTTGGTGTAGTTGGTTTTAAATTCTGAAAAACATTACAATTGTCAAATGTACCTTGAAGATAAAATGTTACCATTCTTGGCCTGATGATGCAAACAGCATATTTTATTTTTAGTTTGACATAATAATAAGCCCGGGCTTGTTCTACAACATCCAGCAGTACTCGGGCATGATTTGCCAGTTCGTTTGCGAAATAAAAAAGAAGCACAAGCACTCGCTGGAGGTGCTGGCGGCAGGCGGCAGGTACGACTCGATGATCGCCACCCATCGCAACATAATGCTGCAAGCCAACATGCTGGACAAGGACGTGCACCAATCGGCCGTGGGCGTGTCCATTTCGTTGGACAAACTGGTGCAAGCGATTCAGCGGGAAAGCGGCGACGAAGTTACGGTACCTGATCACTTGGACGTGGCGGTTTGCTCCATCGGAACCAAACCGATGCTGAAGGAGAAGGCAAAAGTGAGCATTAGTTTTATTTAATTAGTAATTACCAAGGATCCTTTGTATAAAGTTTAAAGCCTGATTTATAGATTGCCTTTCTCCCGGAAAAGATGAACATTACGAAAACCGTAGTGCTATTTATAGATTAACTTACGGGAATCTGTAAATTTATTAGGGTGTTTCATTTAAAACGAACATTTTTTTTCTTGCTCTTACGAAAACCGTAGTGCTATTTATAGATTACCTTACGGGAATCTGTATATTTATTAGGGTGTTTCATTTAAAACGAACATTTTTTTTTCTTGCTGACACATGAAAATTTTGTTTTTTAGGTTTAAAAAAATTCCCTGAAAATTTGAGCCCTTAATTTTGATTCTAAGTATTTCCTTTTTAATTTTGTAGTTTTTCCATGTAAAAAGCATGTGTTTTTAATAATTTTTACTTTAAATTTCTATATTTTGGCCGGGTTTTGAATTATAATTTTTATCACCATAATTTCCTGCATAGTATTCACGGTTTTTGAAAGGCCCTGCATCAATTTTGTTTTTGATTTACTTACGTTGATTGTAGTAGCTCCTAAAGTCGTATTTTCTCACATATTTTTGAGGAAATCGAGCGAATGACTGGGTTTACCGAAAAAGTTCAAAAAAAAGTTGTAGGAAATTTAATTTTTGACAAAAAAAGCTCTCACGTTCATATCACTTAAGTGCTTTGTTAAAGAGATATAAGCAATTCAATAAACCATAACCACGCATAATTAACTTTTTGGACTTGGCTCCTGATGGCTCTGAGGTACAGATATACATAAATTTCAATAAAATCTATTTTTTCTTTGTTTTTGGTTATTAAATTGCTTATATCTCTTAAACACTTTTTTATTTGAACTTTTTCGGTAAAACCACTCATTCTCAAAAATATGTGAAAAAAAGTGAAAAAACGACTTTTGGAGCTACTACAATCAACGTAAACCGTGAATACTATGCAGGAAATTATGGTGATAAAAATTATAATTCAAAACCCGGCCAAAATATAGAAATTTAAAGTAAAAATAATTAAAAAACTACAAAATTAAAAAGGAAGTACTTAGAATCAAAATTAAGGTCTCAAATTTTCAGGGAATTTCTATTTCAACCTAAAAAACAAAATTTTCATGTGTCAGCAAAAAAAAAAAATTTCGTTTTAAATGAAACAACCTAATATTTATATAAGGTTATTTTTTAAAAAGTTGGCCAAAATAGGAATTTTATTAAGAAAATTATAATTATTATAAATTAGAATCTGATATATTACATGAGGCGTCTATTTGCAATACCGGCTGCATCCATTTTAAGATAATTTACAAAATCGACAAGAATATTGCCACTCTTAGCACAGAAGGATTTTTTCTTTTTTAATTATTTTGATATAGTACCTTTAATGAGATATTACTTTGAGCAAAAATCTAGAAATCCTATACTTATAGTAAAGATGTTATAAAAACTTTAAGTATAGATGCGGCCGATTTTGCAGTAAAAATATGGATCTGGCCGATTTTGGAAAAAAATAAAATGGCTTATTTATGCATTTTTATTGTTTATTATAAGAATAATGTAAAAAAATAACAAAGTAAATGTGGTTAGTAACTAACATTCTTTAGTAATTAAATTTAAATCAGTTTAGAAAAAACAATGGTGCGTTCTGAAAACATAGTACCTACTCCAAAAAGAATAAGAGGATAAAACAAGATAAAGATTTATTTAAATACTAGGTTGTTTTGTTTCTTCAGGCGTTTCACAAACGGCAACTTCAGAAAATGCAGAAAACAATTTATTGTCAGTTAGTATTTTTTTTAACATTCTAGGAAATCAATTTCTTGCCAATTTATTCCATAATGTTTTTTCCATTGATTAAGGTGTAACTTCACTCAACGATTTGTTGTTTTAAATAAATTCTTAAATTCTGTTTTAAATATATTTTTTACTTATTTCAACTTCAAACAACTTTTTCCGTGCTGTCTATAGTAATATCGATAGTATCGATAGCACAAAACTATCATATCGATAGTCGAATTTTGAACACTGTTGTGTAAATATGGTGACTGGGATTCTTTGCAGATGTTAAAAACCTGTAATTTGGAAGTAGCCGCTATTGAAACAAACTCTACAATGGATGTGGCCGCTTTTGCAAAATATTCCAAAATTTAAACGTACTTTTTAGCGGGATCTAACAGCTTTTAAAATAATTTGAGTTTATCACTTGATAAAGCACATCTTATAATATAGTTTTCTACTGTTAGATTAATTTTGATAAAATATGGATGTAGCCACTATTGCAAGTAGACGCCTCACATATTTTATCTATAGAATATTAATCAAGTATTGAATATTTCATGCTTGTTATACATGATACGAAGTAGATTGTATTTTTACGAATTTTCATTGTAGGAAGAATAAATGTTGTCTTTTCCGTGACGCCAAAATAAAGGGCATTACAAATATTAATTTAATTTTTTTATTATCCTTTCTTCGATGATTATTTTCTACTGTTTTACATTTAAAATATCAGTCTCTTCTTCTTTTTTAATATTAATTTGAAAATTTCTGATTTAATCTTCATTCTGTGTGTTTAAAATTTTCTCGAAATATAGTTTTTGGGTGATAAAACCAAAATGTGTATGTTTGACGCAAGCAGGTTCTTTTTTTAAACAAAAATTAGTTAATAACTGTATACACTTCTACAAATTAAATAAAAAACATTATACTTATGACTGCAGAAACAATATTTTTCCAGCAGTCAGTAAAGTTCATAAATCTTTGCTGGGGACAGTCACGGATTGGACATTTACTATATTTCAAGGTAATTTTAATACATTTTCAATACCTTATTGGGATATTTTGTACATAATTTAAAGAGCCCAAGGATTGTTTTATCAGATCTATTCTTCACATTTCATTTTAGTTACGAAAATATTAAGTTCTTACCTCAGGATAGCAAGTGGCCAACTTTTTGAAATATACCCATAACCTATACATAAGTTCTAGGTTTTGTTTCAACCTGAGAAAGCAACCTTAAATTGTAAAACCCTTTAATTTGATTTTTATAGATTTTAAAAAGCCTTTGGGCGGGCGGTATTAGATGTTTTCTGATTGAATCCACGAATCTTGAAGAAATACACGAGGAAGTCAACGAATTGAAAGTGCCACATATTGTGATCTTAAAAGATAACGAACAAGGTGTCGTATTGCTGCAAAGTTGGGAAAGAGATAGGTAAATATCATACACAAAAAATTTTAAAAGGTAGTATTTTTTTTATTGTAGACTGCAAGAGTCCATTATAGCTACCTCAAAGCTGGTGAAGGAGCTCCAGCAAACTTTGAAAGTTTGGCAGGATAAAGGCCACGAGAACAATCAGTGCGTGCCAATTTGCAGATCTGAAAGTAAAGTTTCATATAGCGAAAGTTTGCAAGAACCGACAGTGGACGTCCTATTTGTTACCGAAGAAAAATTGTCTTCCAACGCTAGAAAAAGATACGATAACCAGGTATGTACTGCAACACACAACCAATATTATATGGAATCACCCAGTAATTACGAAAAAAAAATTAATTGAAAATAAAAAGCACTTTATCCTAACCAATTTTATTACAAAGAAAAGATAAAAAATATTAATACAAATTATGTATTGCACAAAATAATAACAAAAATGTGAATTTATCTGAGATTATTTCCCTCATTATAATATGAACCAATCAAAAGCCTTGAATTTTCGAATAAATTTCGTTTAAATAAGCGATTAAATCACTAGAACTATTTAACAGCGATTAAATTTTAGCCTCCATATTGGATTTTTGTTTACGATTTTATGGTGTAATTTACAAGTTTTAACAAACATTTTTTAAAAAACAATAAAAAATAAGTTATCTAGTTTACAAAATATCAATTATTACTTATTACATACCTTAAATTAATGGAATTTTCGTAAGTAATATCATAAGGGCATTTAATTTTTCCGAAAAGAATCGAAAAAACACGTTGCTAAGTAATATTTTAACAAAAAGCATGAGTGCTGGTGGCAACAAAAATCCGAGTCGAAGAGGAGGATTTTTGCACCTGCACGAATGCATTTTGTAAAAAAATTTTACTTAGCATTGTGTTTTTTCGATTTTTTTCACAGGAAAAATTATATGCCCGAATGGTATTTGACAAGACTATTTCATGAGTAACAGTTAACAATTAAAATATAAATTGCAATTTTTGTTGACAACAGCTGTCAAGTTTTGCCGCGGGTAAACTCGAATAAACTGCTGACAGGTGCTGTCACACAGTTTTTTCACCTAGAAACCATTTGTAATTCAAAATTGCGCGTTTGTGATTGGTGGAAATTAAGACGAGGGAAATAGTCTTTAAAAAAATATTTATAAATTTTGACATATACGTCAGATTTTATGAATTGTCAAATAGTTTCCTTTAATTCGAGAAATAATCTAGACATATATCACTCAACCTATAAATTTAATCTGTCAAACTGCTCAGTAAGTTTTTTTTTGATTTTTCTTTTTAGAAAATAGTTTCATGCAAAATAATTAAAAATAAAACCCCTCGACCGCTACGCGGTCTCGTGATTTTATTTAATTATTTTGCATTCAACATTTTCCAACAAAAACCAAACAAAAAACTACTGAGCCTAGTTTAACCGATTAAATTCATAGTTCTCGTGATATAATATATGAATAAACTTTACGGTAAATTAGAATTTAAGAAGAAATAATATTATATAAGTTTTTGTTAAATAAATAATCAGTATTGCCACCTCTAGCGTCAATGCCAGAATTAATTCATTGTAAAGTTTATTCTCAGAGAAATTCACATTTTTGTAATCTGTTCTATAGAAAATTTGTTTTAATAAATTTTTCTTTATTTTTGTAATACAATTGGTTCAGATAAAGTGCTATTTATTTCCAAATCACTTTTTTTTAAGTGGAATGTTTCTCGTAATTACTGGGTGATTTCATATACAGGGTAGAACAAAACTATGAAATAATGGCTTTAACTTTGTTATTTGCAAAGTTCAATATAAAAGTTATTTGGTTCATTTGAGTTTTTTAGTTTGTTGATATCTTTTTTTATTTTGTTTCTATAGCATACATACTTTTTTTGTTCATTATGGAAAAAGCATATTACTCTTTATTCAATCATACAATTTTGAAATTAAAAAAAATATATGCAAGAAAAAATAATTTTCTTTTTCTATGAAACTTAAATATGTTGTTTTTTGGTCAAAATAATGAGACACATATTTTTTTAACGAGAAATTTTGTTATTGCGGTAAAAATCGATTTTTTTCCGTTGACCGAAAAAGCTTTTTTTTAAATGCGTATATATAACTTGTTAACAGTGCCTTATCCAAAATGCAGTTTGGACTGTCTACTTTTTGATAAAAAAATTAAAAAATACACTTTTTGAAAAAATTCTGTACATTTCGTTTTTTATCATATAAAAAAAATTATCACAATGAATTTAAAATTTTTGTTAATTTTAATGGAAAGTGTTAATCAGTACAGTTCAATTGTCAGTAAGTTCATTTGTCAAAATTGGTCAATTTTTGAACAAGTTATACGCATTTATAAAAAAGCTTTTTCGGTCAACGTAAAAAATAAATCGCCAAAAATCAACAACAAAAATTTTTTTCGCCCAACAAAAAATACGTGTCTCATTATTTCGACGAAAACACAAAATAAATAAGTTTCATAGAAAAAGAAAATCATGACCTGCGCGTACCGGTCGTTTTGAAATGGAAAGAGATCATAAAATTGAAACATTAATTTTCGTAAAGAATGCCATGAAAATTTGACATTTAAATCTTTATCAACAATTTTATCTAAATTTTAGTGTGGTGAAATTAATCAATTATTTGTGATCGAGTCGTAATAAAAAAATGTACGCTTATTTTTTTTCAAAAATTGTTAAATTGCTTCTTTCATATTAAACAAAAAAAGTATGTGTGCCATTAAAAAAAATTGGTTGCCATAGAAACAAAATAAAAAAAGATAGCAAAAACTAAAAAATTCAAAACAAAATAACTTTTATCTCCACGCGGTCTATAATTTAAACTTTATTTTTGTCAACATTCGATAAAGAAATACCGTGTTATGGCCTAGGCCGATAAAAAATTTGATGAGGCAAGTAATTACTTCGATTTTTTTTCGCTAGGGGCATTGTTTTGACAAATTAATCCTTTTATAAGAAATAAACGTATTAAACTGGTTTAATTTATTTAGAATAAGCACTAATTTGTTTGTTTTACTGTTAATGTTTAATATTTTTCATTAAATTATTGTAAAATTAAATATGAATAATAAAACAAAAAGTGAGGTTAGGCAACCAAGAAAACGCACGATTCTTTTTCTACGATTTAAATTATCTTTAAGTTTTAATTTGCTTTAAGTTTTCAGTGAAATTAAATGTTAAACACAGCTTAAACATTCCAAACTACCTATTTTTTAAATAAAAGTCCAAAAAAATTGAAATTAGATACCAACTATTTATTAAACAATTAATTGAATTCAATGTAATAGCAAAAATCCATTTCTACTTAAATCATGTAGCTAGGTATTGTCAAACTATTACTGCTTCTAAAAGCAATAATAATTATTGTACATTTAATGTAATCTTTAGCTAATAAATAAATGAGATTCTAAAAAAGTGAGGTTAGGCCGCTTTGATGTTGAATTAAATTGACATATATAAAGTGCTTTGAAGATAAAATGTTGTATGCCATTCGGCCAAGAAGTGCCTTTTTGTGCTTCGCTCAATTGTAGGCCTCCGCTACGCGTCGGCCTTCAAACCTTGAGCTTAGCACTAAAAGCCTTACTTCTTAACCTAATGACATAAATAGCTATTATATTAACTCTGTGTGTAAGACAAATTAATAAAAAAATTTGATTTCATATTTTTTATTATCATAAATGTATTTTTTTTAGATAAGGTCCCACCTGGAAAACTTATTTACAAAACTTACAGGTTACATAGTTGTAATAGGTCTCTCCTTTGACGCCAATGTTATCCGCACTTTGGCGTCGTTTTTGGAATTTGACAGCGAGCCCAGGTTCCAAGATTCTGTAACTGCGGTCATAGAAAAGTAAGAGGTGACAGTTAAAATTATTTATTTAACTGACACATACCTTTTTTAGGCACCAGAGACACAAAAGGTTCCTAAGCGAAGTTTGCGACGAACTGTACAAACACAGGGCGAAAAGGACCAATCCTTCAATTGTTTTGTTCAGTATAACCGATTATTTTTATAAAGTGATAGTTTAAATTAAACAATTTGTTCCGTTTAATGGCATTTTATTTCTAAACGTAAGACAATAAAAATTACATCTAATTAAAGAATAAGTGGTGCACAAATACTCAAAGCCTATATATAGAACACGGTTCATCAATAATTAGATTGATAAAATAGTTTGGGGATCTAATATCCGTATCCGCCGCTGTACGATCCCCACTGGTTGTAGTTACCGTATCCACCTTGCGGATACTGCCAGTTTTGGTACTGATACTGATCTCCTTGTCCGTACTGCGAGTAGTTGTATTGCCCTTGCTGGCTACCAGAATAAGGATAAGAAGCTGTACCCGATGACGTGCCATAATTATAGCCGTAGGAAGAGGTAGTGGAAGTCTGAGCGGCACCTTTTTCTTTTTTAGTTGATACGGTGGAATCAGCACTGCAAGGAAATATTTTGTTAAGTTTATTGCATTATTTTAAAGTATAAATTGCTTTTGATGTATTTCTTAAGTCAGATGGCCCTTGCGGCGTCCGCAAGAAAATTCGGGAACATTTCGCTACACGCAAAATGATCTTTAGCAAAATCATCATACATTCTAGAGTTAGCAGTGCCAACTGACACACATTGCGATTTTAACACCGACAAAAAAATTTAATTTTGTCATTTTATAAAATCAATTTTAAAGTTTAAAATACATTTTTGGGAGAAGATATTTTACAGAATATGAATATAAAATAGTTAAAATATTCTTAAAAAAACATTTAGAACTATAAAACTGATTTTTTTAAAATATTTTGTCCAAATTTTAACTTTTGGACTTGTACTGTTGTTAATCTCACCGATTCAATTATATCGCATTATTTTGGTCTCCTTTATATGCAATAAACGCGAATTTTTCTATTTTCAATACTTTTCCGCAAAATCTTTAATTTTTACAGATTAAACTGATTTTATGACCTAAACACTTTTTTCCTAAAATATGTTTTGTTAAAAAAATTTTTTTTTAACAAATCCAACGTCCCGGGTTTTGGAATAATAAAAGTTATTGCTAAAATGAGTTTTATAATTTATCAATTTTTGAAATTAAATGCAAACTTTTGATTTTAATTTTTTTGTATTCGAAATTAGGTTTTTTTTGCGAACTATACGTATAAGTTACTTTATTTTGAAAAAATTACATCATTAAAATACTTCTGAGTTGTTAAATAAAAATACATTCGGAATAAGTCACTGTGTGAATTAAATGAACTACTTAGTTAAATGTGGAACCATAACCTAACTTTTTAAATTCTTTTTCTATGTTTTGTTTACATTTTCAAAAATTTAATATTTGTGAGTTTGTTTCGGATAATTTACGTTAACAAAATAGGACAACAAAGTCTATACTCTATGCACAAAGTCCTCAGCCGTCACATGCCCAGACCAAACATGTAAGTAAAACATGTTAATGTATAAAATACATACGTATATCATATATATGTTATGGCTAATGTGTAAACATGGATAGTTTATAAAGTAGCTGGGTAGTTTATAAACTAGCCAAACTGTCAGCTATTTTAATCTATTTTAATCTAATTAATAAGTAAAAACTCCCTGTAACAAAATACACAAGCTTGTTTATAACAATTAACACAGAACATAAGTAGGTAGTTCATTTGACCTTTTATCCCATAGACTTTAAGGACTTAGAGCCGGTTTTACAATCGTCAGATTAAGTTAGCATATTTGGCGGATAACTTTCATAGAAACCTTCTATCTAAGAAAATTATCCACCAGAGAGCTTATCTAACGATTGTAAAAGATAAAGGTAAAAACGACCTTTAAACATCTATGGTTCACCCACAACTCGATGCGCCATCTGGTGGGTGTCTCATTAGAGAGGTCACTTTTCCTATTGAAATTGGGCGAAGTTGCAAGACCTGTATATAAGGCCGTGGACGAAACAATTGTCAAAAATAAATAAATCACGTGAAACTTAAAAAAAACATACTAGTTTTTATATCTACATAATAATAATAATATGGAGTTTCATCAAGTAAAGGTCGAAACAATCAAATATTTAAAAATATGTCATGTTAAAAAATTTATTTTTTAACAAAAACGTTTTGGGCTAAAAATTTTATTGCGAAAATGAGTTTTATATACAGGGTGTTCAAAGTTATCTGCTCACCATTGCTAACTTCGCTATTATTGGAGCTACAATGACAAAATATTCACAAAAGTAACCCTGTTTAACATATTTTGAAATACATTTGAATAATAACTTTTATATAAAATAATGCTCGTAAATGCTCGTAAAATACGAATACAACTGACATTCATTCTTTTGTTGTTAATAAATTCTCCGAAATTTCTCGTTTATGCTTTTTTTCTGCTCAATTTGTGTTTTCCACTTCTCTACAATGAAACTGTCTTATTATTAATTTTACGAAAAAAAGTTATTCTTCATAAAAAGTTTTGCATGTTCTAAAATCTAAAATACAATCATCAGATATAAAAAAATTTCAGTCATATACGCGGTTTGTCAAAAATAAATTTTGATTTGAGAGAATTTGCTTATTACTTTCTGAACGGAACGGAAAGGTTATAAATAAAAATGATAAATGTTCGGTATCGGTAATATGAGAAAAATTAGTAAAAAATTTTTTTTATGTAGGTTGTAATTGCATATTATTATTTTTCTAGTTTTTCATCCCGAACAACTTTTCATGATTACAGTTTTCGATATTGTCACAATTCTTTAATTTACTTTACTCTTGTACCAAATTCATATTTTTTGTCAACCCTCGTATATGACTAAAAAAATTGATATCTGATGATTGTATTGATTATATTTTAGAACATGCAGAACTTTTTATAAAGAATAACTTTTCTTGGTAAAATTAATAATAAGAAAGTTTCCCCTATGTTGCCAACTTAAGTAGACACGCTGTACTAAACATTACATTTTTCCTTTAATAAAGAACTGCAAGGGCCCTCTAAATTTTTAGCCCCAGGCCCACTTTTGCCCTAATCCGGGCCTGGTGGAGACTACTACAATGATGGATTTTATAATGGATTTGTTCAACTTTTGAGTTTTTTCAAATAAATGCAAAATTTTGATTTTAGGTTTTTTTTAATGCGAAATTACGATTTAATTTTATTTTGTAAAAATTACATTAATTAAACATCATTAAAAGACTTCAGAGTTGTGTAACTTTATAGTTATTAAAGAAAGTAAAAAATTCACAATAAAAACTTATTATTTTACTTGACAAGATATTTTACTTTAAAAGGTTAATTTAATATTGAAAATTTTTACTTTAGAATTTTTTTTAATTTTTTTCAAAGGGCAATACGAAAAAAATGCAAAAGTGAATTTTTCTGTAAATTTACAAATTTTTGCGAATATTCGTATCCAGAAAAAAGTGAATTTCCGACGCAGATTATAATCATATAACATTATGATAATAATAAGTCTACCTGGACGCTTTTTTTGACATCGATTTATAAAATTATAATTTTGTAATTTAACTTTATAAATTATTAATTATTTGGTCTTTTGCAAAAAAGACCAAACCAAGAGTATATTAAAAGTGCGTTTATTTTTTAAAAATCAATGTTCAGTTTTATTTTTTTTTCCTCTAATAAAGAAATGGTTTATAAATATTTTCAAGGTCTGAAAAAAAAACAGGTTTTCCACAATTTTTTCGACACTTTAAAACCTTATTAAAGACGATAAAATGTTGTTTATCATCATCAAAAAAACGAAACAAAAAAGTTATGACTCACCTTTTGGATTCCTTCTTCTTGCTGTTCTCCTTGCTCAGCTTGATGAACTTCTGGTACTGATCGTGGGCCAGCTGCACCGACTGAATCTCCCCGCCGAAATCCTCCAGATACTCGAGCTTCCGCTGCGCGAACAGCACCTTCTGATCCGCGTCGGTGCTCTCCTTGTCCAAAAACGAATCGATCAGCCCGATCACCTCCGCTTCCGCCACGTCGTCCTTTTGAAGCGTCAAGTCGATCAGCTGCAGGTACAGCCGCGGGTTGTTCTGGTCTTTCGCGATGGCGGTCCTGAGCGTCTCTTGCGCCTTCTCCATGTCCTTCAGCACCTTCAAGCAGAACCTGGAGAACTTTATGGAGATGTTGCTCGAGATCACCTTGTTCTTCGAGTTGTTTATGTAGTGCTCGTAGAGTTGAATGCACTTCTCGTGGTCGGCTCGTCTCCTCTCCAAGTTTATCCGCCTGTAGGTGGGGTTGAGAAAATTTCACTTTTTCACGGTGGATTTTTAGGGTCAATTTTCGGATCATCAGGCAACCACGGTTTTTTTTCATAAATCGATTATATGCCTGTTATAGACAAAAATTACCAAAAATAAAAAAAATCTCTCGGTTTTTTTGTTATTTATTAAGAAAAATATGATATAAATGGGTCTAATTTTACTTTTTAGGTTATTTTGCAAAAAGTATCAATTTTATAAAAATTCTGTTTTAACAAGATATAGAATAATAAATTTTCTACAAAAAAGGTTATTCCATATTTGCTTTCCTGTAATTTTTAAACGTAGTTTTTCTAAACAAATGATTTGCTTAATTTTTTTTATTAAACTTGGGTTAAAAATTTGTTGGTCGGCCTTTCTGTAGATAAGTTTTTAAAAATTGATCTCTTTTTCGATTGTAATACTTTATGACTAAGAAAAAATCGATAAAAGAAGCTTGGAATTAAAAAAAAAATCAGTAAAAAGAAATAAAAAAATCTACTTTTTAAACAATTTGATACGATATTTAATTTTTAATCATAGTTACCCAAGCAAAATGTAAACGTCAAAACCCGAAAAAAAGGTTTTTCAAGATTTTAAGTGGTAAGAACCAAAGAATTAAGTAAAATTACTTATTAAAATAAGAAAAGTTATTATAAAATTGTATTATACATTACGTTTTTTCGACTTAATTAAATATTATTAATTCTAAGTATTATTATATATAATTTAAGAGAGGAAATAAGAAAAGGCTTTTTACATAAAAAGTTTTTTTTTATTTTTGGTATTTTTTGTCTATAACAGGCATATAATCGATTTATGAAAAAAAACCGTGGTTGCCTGATGATCCGAAAATTGACCCTAAAAATCCACCGTGTTTTGCTTGTACTTGAAATTTCACTTGAAATTTTCACGAAATTTATGAAATTTATTAAAATTTCCTAAATGTCTGAAATTTCATGAAATTTATGAAATTTATTGAAACTTTCAATAAATTTCAATCACTTTAAGTGTAATATATTAATATTAAAATAAGTCCACTCGGTGACCATGGCAAATTGCCTCTCTTACCTCCAATAATACAAATAGTAAATACGTATTTTTACCACAAATTTCTTGAGATTTTCTTTTAAAATATTTTTAAAATTACTAAAACTAAGAGAGATAATAAGCTAATGAGATTGTGCCACTTTCATTGTTTTATATTTATATATATTTATTTTTATATATTTTACTGAAATTTTACGAAAATTGAAGAAACTTCATCAAAATTTTATGAGCCAAAGACATTTTTTATCCGTTTTCCAATACAATTATAGCAAAAGTAAAAGTTTAAATTAATCATGACTTTTAAAAAATTTTTAAAGTCTGATTTAATTTACAAATTAAATTCGTAACTGAATTAAATTATTTAAATTAATTTATGCATATAAGTAACAATAATTACTTATAGTGTATTCAAATCCAAGCCGAACTAAACAAAAACGTCCAGACGCTTGATAACTCGTTCTTATTGGTCGATTCGGAATCTGTTGTAAATTATTATTAAAGGTCCCAGGGAAGGCCGCATGTGAAATTTATGCGAAATTTTCAGTAAATTGCGAAACATTCAATGAAATTTCTGAAAGTTTCACAGGCAATGTTGAAATTTTCGAATTAAAAATTTCATTTGAAATTTTTAAAAATTTCACTTTTCCAACTTAATGAAATATTTCAAGTTTGAAACTTTCAAAGTTGAAATTTTCATTTGAAAATTTCAACTGTCCTAACCCTACCTGTAGGCAACTTGCAACACGTTCGGAACGGATTTTTCCAAGTTGACTAAAATTTCCGCGGACCTGTTGTAATTCGCCACGCTTTCTTCAAACATGGCCCATTGTAAATGCAAGTTGGGTTTTTTTAAATGATGTATGGTACAAGCGCGTTCGTAGACGTCGCGAATTTTTGCCTGCAACTCGCCGTCCTTCAAGCTTTCCAAATAATGTACAAACTAAAAAAAAATACGGGTATTTTTCGCGCATACTCAATCTCGCTAATTACAGTTCAACACGATTTTCCTCCCGTGAAAAATTTTAACAGATTTTAAGATTAAAGGTTAAAAAACCCGTGTCTCATTTTTTTTCCTTTAAATATTTTATGTTTTTATATAATACAAAAATTATACTTAAAGAAAATAACAGATTTTTATTTATCTTATATTAAATAATAAATATATGTTGGAAACAAATCTTGATCTTTTAGTTTGACGATTTTACATTGCTTTAGAATCTATAGTGTTATCACAACCTAATATACAGGGTGTTTTACATTCGTGGTCCATTTATAATCCATTTAAGTCTACTTTTTTTTTAAAAATATTTTGAACATAATGCCACTATTTCAAATAGAACTCCCCATATATTTTTACATTTTTAAATTCTACATCAAATTCCGAGTAAAATTACATTTCATATACCTAAAGTAAATAGTTTCAGAGTTCCCTATTCCTAAAGTTAATAATTTAAGATATTTAACAATTACATCAATCGAAATGTTTTTTAATTTTCTATTTGATTATGTAAAAACACACAGGGTGTTTCATTTAAAATAAAAAAGTTTTTAACGTTTCAAGTTAGCATAATTTGCCCTGGGTTTTCTTGGGTAATTTGTTAAAAAATCGTCACCTGAGAATTATACTGTTCTATCTGCATTTTTTTTTAAATTGAGGGTAGTCTTGTTTTAAGTCTTAAAGATGCATATTGTTCTATCTATATATAATTGGGGTAGAAATTATACAGTTTAAGCCCAATTATATATAGATAGAACAATATGCATCTTTAAGACTTAAAACAAGACTACCATCAATTTAAAAAAAATGCAGATAGAACAGTATAATTCTCAGGTGACAAAATTTTAAAGAATTGACATGGAATTTTTTAAACAATGTTTTAAGATTCCAAAAATTCCACCACCATTTCGGAAACTATTTTTGATTGACGCGCATTTGTCAAATTTTAACGAAAAAAATTAATAGCTTGAAAACTATTCACTTTAGGTAGAGGACATTTTACTTAAAATTTGATGTAGAATTTAAAAATGTAAAAATATATGGAGTGTTCTATTTAAAATAACAATGAATAAAATATTTTAGAAAAATAGACTTAATTGAATTATAAACCCTTTAAAAATTTCAAATCGATACCTTTTGCCGTTCCTCAGAAACTTTTAATGGACCGCGAACGTAAAACACCCGTATTTCGTAAATATGCAACACCCTGTATATAGTTAAAATAATTTTAAAATAAATAAATAATTTTAATGGTTGTCCATTTATTCAGTAAATAATTTTTTTTTTTTAAATATACAGTCTAGCTGTTAAATTATGTTCCGTATAGCGTGGATAACATTTTATTGAATCGCACTTAAAAAAAAAATAAGTGATGTGACCTGAAAAAACGCCGAGACACGGGCATCATTTTTTAAGTCTATTTTCAAAATCTATAGGAATTTTTTATGGAAGGGAAAAAAATCAAATTTTGTCGCACTGTTTTATGCTTACCTTGAGCCAAAACTCTTCGTACAGAGCGCAAGCTATAAGGCAACGCTCGAACAAAACTATGGCTCTTGTTTTGTCGCCTTGCTCAATTTCGTAATCCAAGTAATCTTGCCAGTTCTTCAGCTGGCACCTTTCCAAAGGTTTGACATGGAAGTAAGGCCGTTTTATCTAAAAATAACATTTTATGTTATCCCAAAACACGAATAAATACATAATTTTCTGCCTAATTTGTTATTCAGATGGCCCTTGCGGCGTCCGCAAGAAAATTCGGGATCATTTCGCTACACGCAAAATGATCTTTAGCAAAATCATCATAAACATGAAAAGTTGGCCAAAATTATTTTATCAATGATACGCAGAGAAAAAGAGGGCGTGTTAAAAGTAATGGAGATGCCAATGCAACTTTCCTTATGCTTTTCCTGCTACTTGCATCAAAGGCATTGAAAATAGCTTTACAGCCAAAATGTACATTCGTTGCCACTATTTTTTTCAAGTTAAACAGGTCAAAATACATTAGAAAAAAATAGTGGCATCAAATGTACATTTTTTTTACTTTAATTTGTAAACATTACTTTTTCTGTGGCGCAAAAATATTTTTTTTAACACCCCGTATCTCAAAAAGAAATTAATACCAAAATGCAATTAAGAAAAAATTAAGTTTTTTTTGTAATATGTAGGATTTTTGTAATATGTAGGTACCCAATATTAAACCAAACCAAAAATGTTGCCTTGATACGCCTTGGCAAAGCTATTAAAACACTAATTTTGGTTAAAAAATACCTAAATTGAAATGATGTTATTTTTTTGAAAACATTTTAATAGCCATTAATTGGTACTAATGTTGACCTAAACAAAAATTATACTTTAAAATATAGTAAACAACTTTCAAATTCATACTAAAAAAAATAACATATACCAATATAAAATATAAAAATTGACTTTTGCATTTTTTTCATTTTATTCAATCAATAAACAATCAAAATACAAAAGTTAATTTTTCTGAAAATTTACAAATCTTTAGGGATACTATCAGTACACTGATATCGAGAAAAAAGTGCATTAAGATTATAGTAATTATCAGTGTTGTAACGTAACTAGTTACAAGTAACTAGATACAGTATCTAGATACTTTTTATGTATCTGTTTGTGTAACTAGTTACTTATCCCAATCTAGTAACTATAACTGTAACTAGTTACAAATTCTAAGTAACTAGGTGTGCTAAGATACAAAGATACATTTTTAATTAAACTGCGACTATTATTTATTTAAAAAAAAAATATTATAAAAAATAAGTTAATTTAAATTTAATATTATAAAAGTCCGTGTCTGACGGTGCAACTTCTCGCGGCGATTTTGTTGCGGCGACTAGGTCGCCGCGTTTTTTCGGTGGTCACACGACGCAACTAATCAGCTGATCTAACCTGTCTTAAAATAGAACATGTTCTATTTTCATGCAATAAAATCGCCGCGACTTAGTAACTTTTTTAGGGATTTACGAATTTCCACTAAATTTTTTGGTTGGTACTCAATATTTATCAGCTGTGGAATGACAGATGTGATTTGCGTGTGCTTTAATCTGAGTGTTTTTATTTTTACACCACAAAATACTTATAACTTTAAAAGAAAAACAAAATCGATTTAAATAAACATTATATTTGTTTAGGTATTTTTATTTTTCAACTAAGTAATTTTCGGTTATGTTGGCAATCCTAGTAGAAAATAACGTCAGTTTGGTTGCACCGTGTGAACACCCTAGAGGCGAGAAAGTCGCTGCAACTAGTCGCCGCAACAAAGTCGCCGCGAGAAATTGCACCGTCAGACATGGACTTATAAAAAAAATAAAAATAATAAACATATATATTTTTGTTGTCACTTTAAAATTTCCTTTTATTTCTATTTTAAATTTTTTAAAGCAAAAAATAATTTGTATGTATCTTAAAGTATCTAGATACTTTTTGAAGGTAACTGTATCTGTAACTAGTTAGTGCAATAAAATATGTATCTGTATCTAGTTACAAATTTTGGTAAGTAACTGTAACTGTAGCTAGATACTGAAAATATTGTAACTGTTATAACACTGGTAATTATTCCTTTTATTTTAATTCAATAAGAATATGCTACCAGGTCGTAAAAAAACATATTCGGTGCTGTATTAACATTGTATAACTTTCGTTTTATTTGACAATTTGATTTAAAAAATTATAATTTTGTAATTTAACTTTATAAATAATTTATTAATTAAAATAATGTTAAGTTGTTTTCAATTTTTCCCAAAACAGACAATTTTTCCAAGGCCTGGGAAAAAAACAGTTTTTCTCGATTTTTATGTAAGAATGTCATATTCTCGCACGCAAAATCGTTGAAGAATGAAGCTCATTCTTAAACGATTTTTGGTAACATTTAGTTTTTAAGTATTGGTACCCCCAAAATGTCAAACTGATTAATAACCTCAAATTCATTACTTTTATTGAAAATGAAGCCTTTATTATTGTTTTGTAATATAAAGTTTGCTCCAACAATGCATTTTAATGCAAAATTTTAAGTTTAATGTGTAAAAGTGCAGTTCAGGTTGTACTTGTGCAGGATAACAAATATTGTCATTTTGTGTTGCCAACTGACATTTTGCGAGAAAAATCCCCTAACTAACAACGACCACAAAACAATTAAAAAAACCTAAATAAAAGTTAAAATCGAGAAAATAGTATAAATCACACGTTGCAGAAGGCTATTCTCGCACTCATTCGTTCGTCCACTCGCTCCTTCGTCGCTCGAGGCCAAATTTCGAATTCGTGCGAGAATATGTGGCCTTCTGCAACTTGTACTTTAATATACTATTCCCCATTTGTCCGGTTTTTTTCCGACACTTTAAAACCCTATATACCAAAAACTAACCTTGCAATAAAAACAACCAATAAATAAATAAATAAATAGCTATAGATTGACCTTATAACATTTATTGCCAATCATGGGTAATTTAAGAAACTTGAATTTAAAAAAAAAGTGTACTCACCCCTTCTTCGTAATTCCACCTGGCCGTCACCGCACTGACGGTGTTTTTGTGAATCTTCCTTCGGATCGAGACGATCCTCTCGCGAATCGACTTCGTTTCCTCGTCGGAACTGATCGTTTTGGCGGAGTCGTCGTCGCCGGGCGGCGCGTCCGAGTCCGGGTTCGGCTCCGGGTTGTCGTGTTTCAACATGTGACGCACTTCTTTGCGCAACGCCAGAAACTCGTCCACCTCGATCACTTTGTTGGGCGAATTGCTGGCGATGTGTTCCTGGAAGCTGTAGGGGCGCATGTTTTACATTTATTTATATTCAGTTTTAAAAAATTTCAGGGCTCCCACGGTTAAATTACAAATTTTATTTAGGAATTTAGGAGGTTTTTTGGAGAATGTTAGGAGAAAAAAGTATGCAAATGAATTTATTTAATCAAATAAAAACAACTCTACACTATACTTAAAAAGTAAGAAAAAAATAAGTAATTCTTTTTAACAAAAATATAAATAAATATCACTTCTTTTGTACAAATAGGTTATATTGACTAGTTTTTTAGCCAAATCGCTCGACGAGTTTTTTTTAATAAAATGAAAAGTGAGGTAAAATTGCTACTTTTGCATATATCTACAACTAGAAATATCACCACACTTTTAATTTTATTTAAAAAAAATGCGTCGATAGATATGGCTAAAAAAGTAGGCCAAAGTTTAATGATGTTATATTTATATTTTGAAAAAAAATTTAACAGTTTAGTTCATAACTAACAATAATTGTAATGTTATTGTTACTAAAAAATCTCATAATAGAAAAAATATAAAGTGTATGTACAGCAAAACATTCTTTAGATTGTTTACTATTATAGCTATCATTTAAAAGAAAATTAAAAATCCTTTTGTTTGATATATAACACGGTTTATTTTTGTCGAAAATTAACGAAATATGGCTAAAAATGACAATTTTGTAGAAGTCTAGAAGCTACTACATGGATTTTGTTTTATGGTATATTTTGTTGTTTTTTAAGAAAAATGTAGGTTGTGATACCTATACTGCCCAACTATGGAGAAAGTCAGTAACTGCTAAACAAGAAATTTTTGGAAAATTAGCATAAACTACATTTAACTGATTTATTTAACTTATAAGATAGTTAACTGCATTTCTTTGTTGAATTAAGATACAAAATGTCCATAGCTTTATCATAGCACAAGAAAACGCATTTAAAATTTTGTTGTAGTTACTGCCTTTCTCCATAGTAGGGCACTATATCATTTTAAAAAGAATTTAATAAACTCAAACCCAAAAATATATATTTTTTAAATTACTTTTAAAAAAAGAATTTTTTTAGCACAACTACCTTAATTAAACGCAGTCAAGTTGGCCTACTTATATTTAATTTTTAGGAGTTTTAGGAGATTGATGGCAATTTTAGGAGAATTTTAGGAGTAGGTTCAATTTTTTCTTAAGTGAAGGAGACTTACTTGTCGAAGTGCGACGTGTAGCCTTGGGTGGGCGTGGCCAGCAGGCGATCGTAGATGGCGGTGACGTGCTGCAGCCGTTTGGCCTCCGTCTCCCACTTGATGTACGAGTCCCACAGCCTGTCCGATCGGAATTCGAGGCCGCAAGCGGTCAGCGCCCGCTCGAACTGCGACCGGACGTGCTCCTCGTCGTCCGCCTTCGCGGTCTTAGCGTACGTCAGGTAGTGGATCCACAGGTCCACGGACAGCGGGATGGACTTGAGGCCGCGCTCGAAAACCTTTTACATTTCGGAACAAATTAGAATGACCGGGGCAAGGATTCGTTTACAGCGAGTGTGCAGTTTTCGGACCCGCCGCGCAAATAATTTCCGAGCACTTTGATTTCTTAACAAAGAACTTATTACTACAGTATACAGGGTGAGTTTTAAGTTGACGCGTTCCTTTTAACAGCGTGTAGAAATCAGCTGGACAAATAAATATTTTAAGTAACTTTTTTATCAAAACTCTAAAATAAAAAAGTTATAGCCCATCAAAGTTTAATTAAATTTTAAGCCGGTCCTGGCTATTGTTAACGAAAAACATAAAAATATCAAAATAAACAATGCAAAATGTCATATTTGACAATAGATCAAATTGACATTTTGCAATAAAAAATGTCATTATTTACTTAAGTTGCAGCATTTGCATTTTGACGACCCTCTCCATAAATTAGTAACATTTCCACTAATTCATTATTGCTATAATTATGAACCATTTTTAACAATAATTGGGTAGTTAAATTTTTTCTGACCTATACTTTTTATGGTTTTATTCAAGGCCTTTTGTAATTTTAAACGTTTCTGCGAAATCGGAATTTCAATTGAGTTTACCGTTTTCGAGATATTTACAAAAAAAAATCTCCTAATTACGTCACTAGGCTATTGACAACGTTGCCAGCTTTTTCTATGGTTGCCAGTGTGTTTAGTTTAAGATTCTTACGATAGATGGCGCCACGTTATAATATTTTAGTTTTAAAACCACTTGATCTATAATTTTAGTTGAGAAAAAGAATTGATTTTTTGACGTTTCTTTTTTTCGGGTTATGTTTTTTTTTAATTTAGATTATTGAAAATCAATGTTATTGTTATGTTATTTGTAATTGATATTAGATAAGTGATTTATTAATAACGGACTCCAAAGCAGAGGAATCTTGTGGAATGGTTGGTTACATTGAACATTGGAGCTTTTAAACAAATAAAGTAAGTAGGTACCTATAATTATAATCATATTTTGTCGTAAATGCATTTCATTAGTATAATGCCTAGTTCTTTATATTCTTTTATATATATCTTGGACTCTAAAATATCAAACAGTAATATGATACCTCGTAATAAGGAAGATAGGTACTTAATGAATTTGGTGACTCAACTGACAGTGACAGTATTTGTACATAACCTCTTCGGGTATTTTCTGACATAACCGAATGAAATCATTAACAAGACAACTTGACAACAGGGTAATTTTCAACCAATGGAAATCTTAGAATGTTGGTCACATGGCGAGGTTTGTGACGTCATAAAAATTTATATTTTTTGTAAATATCTCGAAAACGGTAAACTCAATTGAAATTCTGATTTCACAGAAATGTTTAATATTACAAAACGCCTTGAATAAAACCATAAAAAGTATAGGTCAGAAAAAATTTAACTACCCCATTGAGGCACAAAAAAACTGACATTTTTCATTGCTAAATGTCATTTTGATTTAAATCATAGATGACATTTTGCATTGTTTATTTTGTTATTTTTATTTTTATGGGTATGGGACCGGCTCAAAATTTAATTAAACTTGGAAGGCCTATAACTCTCTTATTTTTGAGTTTTGACAAAAAAGTTACTTAAAATATTTATTTGTTTATCTGATTTCTACACGCTGTTAAAAGGAACGCGTCAACTTAAAACTCACCCTGTATATATATATATATCATTCAATACTTCATTTGTACCTGTGTTACGTGAGCGCATATAATTGCTAACCTAATATTTTATAGGGTGAATGATTTTTATGAATTCTCCAGAATACGGCGGAAACTGTAAAAAATAATTATTAACCTTAATACTATTTCATGGCTATCTTAATACCTTTACTACCTAAAAACATATCAAGAAACCATAGTGCAATGAAATTTTCGCCATTGAAAATAAATTAAGTAAGTAGTGATAAAAATTCAATCAATGAAAAAAATGTGCACACACCCTGTTCATATATATTTTCCCTGAAAAGCAACTTTGTTAGATTAATAATATTTTATGTGAATGTATTTAGAGTATTTCAAAACCTATTTTATCACGAGGAAGTATTTATTTCCTTACATTTGTTTTGTGATTAAAAATCCAGCGATGCTAGCCTCGCTGTTCTTAGCACACACATCATGACGGGATTTCTATGGGCGATTATTATTACATTTCACATAACAAGTAAGTATCACGGTAATAATGTATATCATATCATGCTATCGTACATTAATAATATAAAACTTATTTTATGTATTGCATTAACAACATAGGGTAATTTTACAATAACATCCTTATAACATGTATTATTAATAATAGTAATATCTAATTCACAACTGTATGAATGGTAAATATTAGCAGCCACCGGCTCGCCGAGCTGTAGGGATTGCAAAATAATTATGTGAGTGTATAAGCATTTTATGGTAAACTTAACATTGGAATGCTACATACCTCTTCGCACTTCTTTTTGTTGCCCTTGCGTTTCTCGTAATCCGCATATTTGCGCCAATAGCCATAACAATACGGATAATGGGACAAGAAGGCGTCATATGCTTCTCGAGCAGCTTCCATGTCATTCTGAAATAAAAGTTACGAAAGATTTTTGATAAAGGTGACGAATGAAATTCGGCAAACAAATGTGCTTTTTAGTCGACATAAACAATTTAGTGATTTTTAGTACTCAAAAGCTTTTTGGCCGTTTTATGGTGGCGCCATCTATCAATAATTATTAAAAGCGACAGTAAAAGTCACTTTTTCGGACGCTTGTTAAAAATTTTAAATGTTGCACAAATGTAGTTAGTTATATGATGTAAACTTTAAACGAAGTTTTAAAAGATGTATAAACTGTTCTTCTTATTTTTGCGTGTTCAATCAACTACTAAATTTTCATAAAAGAAAAATATTGACTGACACATAGGTACAAAAAATTCCCTAATGCATATAAATAGCTATGTAGAGAAAAAAACTTTTTTTAGTTTTTTTTTTAAATCGCTACAATAATTTAAAATAAAGTAAATTATGTCAATAATTAATAGAGATGGGAAAATTCCCATTTGACGAAAATTCCCGGAAACTTTCCATCGAAAATTCCCGAAAGTTAAAAAAAAAATTTTGATTGCGAAAATATTTTTTTTATGCCAGGGATTTGGAAAAATATATAACACATTAACTTTTTGTCAAATTTTATTAAGAAAAAAAATTAAAAAAATGTTTATAAGAATACTATTTTTAGTATCTTTTACTTTGGAATATTCGTATTGTATACTGAAACCTTCAAAATAAAAATAAAATGTTTACTATTAGAATGATTTTAACTTTCTTTATTGTTTTTATTTTGTTTACCTTTTTTAAAAAAGTTTTTTGTGATGATGCTGAATAATCCGGCTTCATTGAGGTTATGTAACATAACTTCCATTATTTATACTTCTTCTGCTTTAAATTAACACACATTAAATTCTTATTCAAAGTTTATTGGCCTTGTATCATGGCCTTAACGAAAATCAGCGGTTAAGCAATTGACATTTAAATGAAAAAAACAAGGAAAGTTTCCAAGGAATGTTTCCAAGGAATGTTTCCGGTAGCTTAAAAGAAACTTTCAAAATGAAAATAAATTCCCAATTGGAAACTTTCCAAAACGGAAAGTTTCCTTAAAATGGCAACTTTCCGATTCCCATCTCTAATAATTAACATGGATAATAATAAATTTGGTAGTCTATAGAACTCGCAAAAATAGGAAGAAAAGTTTATACAAACTTCCTTCCAAAATTCCTTAAAATACTATATTTTATAATTATTATAAAATATAGTATTTTAAGGAATTTTGGAAGGAAGTTTGTATAAACTTTTCTTCCTATTTTTGCGAGTTCTATAGACTACCAAATTTTCCCGATTAAAATCTGTAACACCCTGTATATTTCCTTTTCCATTTTGCTAGTTTCAACATAAAAAAATATATTTATATATTGCAATTAAAAATGTCAAATTCAATGCAAATTTATAAATTCAAAAATTTGTTCACTTTTTTTTTTTAAATTCTCTATTTGTATTTTTATTTAAATATTTGCAAATTTTGACTAAAATATTCGCAAATTTTAGTCGATAAATTGGATTTATAAAATTAAGTAAGTTTCCAATGGCAAGTTTGAAAAAAAGATGTGAAATTTAAATAAAAACGGTGAAAAAACACATAAAATAATTTTTCAAATTAAGTTGAATGGGAATTTAATAATTAAAAACGAAAGTAGCGTCATTTGAGAGCGTAATTTCAAGCAAAGATATGAATATTGAAGTAAAGAAGGCTAGAAAATAATATTAAGGAACCATATTTATATTTGAAGAAGAGTATTTTAAGGATTAACTAAATTAATTTAAATTACGTAACCTAAAAGGTTTTAAATTAAATTGGGCTAAATTTATTTTTAAATGTTTGAAAAAATACATTTTTTTATAATAACTTTACCACCCTTTATATCAAAAACAAAGTTTTAAAACACACAAGTTTGTATATTATTGTACGAGGTGTGTTCAGAAAATATCGGGAATTTTTGTGTTTTGAAACAAATACTTATTTATTCGTCTACATTAATGTTGTCGCCTTCAAAATAGTCCCCATTGGATATTATGCACATGTGCCAGCTCTTCTTCCAATACTCGAAACACTTCTAAAACTCGATCTTTGGGATAGCCTTTAGTTCTTTTAGCGATACGCTTTTAATGTCATCTATGCTTGCAAAACGACGGCCCTTTAAGGTTCTCTTTATTTTTGGGAAAGGAAAAAGTCAGACAGAGGCATTTCTGGCGCATATGGAGGCTGGGGCATCATTACAGTATTGTTTTTGGCCAATAATTTTGTTCAAAATTTAACAATTTTAGAACAAATTTTACTGCCACGCGTTTGATACCCAAAACATTCGAAAAAATTTCATGGGATGAGCCCATCGATATGCCAACATCATCAGCGACTTCTCTGATGGTTTATAACCATTTCTTTCACTTTTTCCATGTTTTTATCGGTTGTTAATGTGCTTGAGCGTTCGGGGCGTTCGTCATCTTCAACGTCTTCACGGCCATCTTGGAAATTCTTGTTTTACTTATAGCAGACCCACTATAACCCTTTGTTAACATTTCAGAGAATTTATTTCATTTTTTAAGCAAAATTGGATACAAGTTCTTTGATCCATTTCTTTTAACGAACGAAAAATCGCCGAGCTCATAAAACACGTCTAACCTTAGCGGCTGCCACAGACAAAGTAAACAATGAAAACAGCTAAAATTTTTATCATACTTCGGGGGCATGTATACCAACATAAAGAAAATTTTATGACAACCGGGCCCTCCAAACCCGCGTAATTTAACAATTCCCGTTATTTTCTGAACACACCTCGTATGTTATTTTTGCGAGTTTTATCAACTACTAAATTTTCCCGATTAAAATCTGTAACACCCTGTATATTTCCTTTTCTATTTTGCTAGTTTTAAAATAAGGAAATTATATTTATAATATTGCAATTAAAATTGTCATATCCAACGCAAATTTCGAAATTCAAAAAATTTTTTACTTTTTTGTTAAAATTCTCTATTTGTATTTTTATTTAATTATTTGCAAATTTTGACTAAATTATTCGCAAATTTAGGTCTGTAAAATTGGATTTATAAAATTAAGTAAGTTTTCAATGGCAAGTTTGAAAAAAAAAATGTGAAATTTAAATAAAAACGGTGAAAAAACAAAATTATTTCTCAAATTAAGTTGAATGGGAAATTAATAATTTAAAACGAAAGATGCGTTATTTAAGAGCTTAATTTCAAGACAAGTTATGAATATTGAAGTAAAGGTTTTATAAATAAAAAAAAATAATATTAAGGAACCTTATTTATATTTAAAGAAGAGTATTTTAAGGATTAACTAAATTAAATTAAATTACATAACCCAAAAGGTTTTATTAAATTCGGCCAAAAAGTTTTTGAAATGTTAGTAAAAATACATATTTTTTATAATAACTTTATCACCCTTTTTTAAAAAACAAAGTTTTAAAACATACAAGTTTGTATAGTTTTATAAAATACTAAATTTTTTCGATTAAAATCTGTAACACCCTGTATATTTCCTTTTCCATTTTGTTTGTTTCAACATAAGAAAATTATATTTATAATATTGCAATTAAAACTGTCATATTTAATGCAAATTTCTTAATTTACTAATTTGTTCACTTTTTTGTTAAAATTCTCTATTTGTATTTTTATTTAATTATTTACAAATTTTTACTAAAATATTCGCAAATTTTAGTCGGTACAATTGGATTTATAAAATTAAGTAAGTTTCCAATGGCAAGTTTAAAAAAAAGGTAGAATGTGAAATTTAAATAAAAATGGTACAAATAAAACATAAAATGATTTCTCAAATTAAGTTAAATGGGAATTTAATAATTTAAAATGAAAGATGTCATTTAAGAGCTTAATTTCAAAGTTATGAATATTGAAGTAAAGAAGGCTAGAAAATAATATTAAGGAACCTATTTATATTTGAAGAAGAAAATTTTAATGATTAACTAAATTAAATTAACGAATTATCGAAGTCTATTAAACAAGCTATTACAGTCTTCAAAAACAGCCAATGGATTGCAGCTTGCGAAACAATCAACAGCAAACGGGGAAAAAGTTTTTATTCTGAAATTAAAAAGTTAAGCAGATACAAAACACCATATCAAATACCAACAATCATTTATAATGACGAGGAACACAATACAGACCTTGATAAAGCTCGAATATTTGCGACACACTTAAATCACCAATATCAAGCTCAGGATAACCCACAATTTAACCAACAAAACTTTGACACAACAATACAGTGGTATAACTCCTACTTTGACTCCGAAAACGACTTTGACCCTCAAACAATTGACGAGGAAGATTATTTCAATATACTTTCCAATCAGAAAAATTCCACCCCTGGAGACGATAACATCCCTTGGACTATAATTAAGAAACTACATTACAACGTTCATTTATACATAATTAAACTTTTTGAAAGCTGTCTCAATAACCATTACTTTCCACCCATATGGAAAACAGGAAAAGTAATTATGATACCCAAACCCAACACTGATCACAGCAATGCAGATAACTATCGCCCAATTACCCTCCTACCGTGTTCGGGAAAACTCCTGGAAAAAATTATACTACTCAAAATCAATACCCAAGTCGCTGACAAGATCCCCAATTATCAATTTGGCTTCAGAAGCTCCAGATACACTGCACATCCTCTTACCGCGGTCATATCCAATATACAAACTGCGAGGCTAAATAATCTTTCTTCTGCGGCTTTGTTCTTGGACATCAAAAGAGCATTTGACTCGGTTTGGCATAAAGGACTTATTTACAAACTTAAGAAGATCGGAATTGCTAATTCCCTCATCTACCTTATCAATAGCTATCTTGAAAACAGACCACTCTACGTTTGCATTAATGGGCAAAAATCTCCTACACTCATTGCGGAACAGGGAGTTCCCCAAGGCTCTCCGCTGTCGCCACTGCTATATAACATTTATTGTTATGACATGCAGCATGAACACAACCAAATTTTTTCACCAAGCGAAGCAAACTACATTTTACAATATGCAGATGACACGGCACTCTTTGTGCATCAAAAATCACCACAGCTTGCCCTTGAAAGGTTAAAAACGCTTTTCCTTACCATTAATAAATGGCTTAAGGATTGGAGACTCTGCATTAATGCTAACAAATCCAAATTTATTATTTTTCATCGAAACAACCTTAACAATCTTCAACTTACTATCAATAACCAAATACTTGAGCCAGTTCAATCAGTTAAATACCTTGGAGTACTGATTGACAATAAAATAAACCTGAAGGAACATGCCAACTCTTCCAAAAAGAAATGTATCTCCAGAGCCAGCCAGTTTAGATGTCTTACCTACAAGAATAATGGCATTAATCTCAAAACGGCAGCAATAATTTATAAATCCATCTGCCGTCCCATCCTTGAATATGCTCCCTCCCTGTTTTTAAATTCCCGAAAATCTACCTTAAAAATCCTGAATGTGGCTGAGACTTCTGCAATGAGAAAAATTACCAAAATGAGGCACCCAGGAAATCCACTCCACAACCCTCCCAACACCCTCCTTTATGAAAAATTTAAAATCAGCCCAATTTCTGCGAGATTAATAAAACTATCCACCAACTTTGCCCAGAGAGAAGCCGCTTACCAGTTTCTGGCACCAGTACTGATTACAAGAGACCTAGAGAGAGCTCCCACCCGAATTAAACATCCTACAAGATCCCTGGTTGAGGAAATGCAAGCTCTAGCTGACGAATGAACACATATACATATATATATCTAATTTATTCTTTACATACACAATACGATGTACTTTTTTTTTTTTTTTTTGCACTCTATCTAATATCAATTTCGGTTTCTAACACATGCAAATACATTACATTTATATTTTAATTAACCTTGGCTGAAGGACCTAGGTCAATGGCCTTTTGATTGTTGTTATTTTTATAATTATGATGATCAATAAATAACTATTATTATTATTATTATTATTAAATTACATAACCTAAAAGGTTTTATTAATTTTGACCAAGAAGTTTTTGAAATACAAATACATATTTTTTATAATAACTTTACCCTCCTAGCAAATTTTTATTTTATTACTTGCAAATTTTGCAAATTTTAGTCGATAAAATTGGGTTTATAAAACTAAGTAAGTTTTCAATGGCAAGTTTTAAATAAAAACGGTGAAAAAAAAACAAAATAATTTCTCAAATTAAGTTGAATGGGAATTTAATAATTTAAAACGAAAGATGCGTCAATTTAAAGAATTTTTTCGCCGAAAAAACGAACACAATATAAAAAAAATTAGTAAAAACATTTTTGGTCCATTCTCCTAACTTTCTCCAATTTTTTTTTTACTTTTGAAACTTTGCGCACCTTGTCTATATTATAGAATTTTTTTGTGTACGCTTCTAGCTTTTTGAATATGTAAAAAAGTCCAAACTATCTTAAAAAAAAACTGGAAGGCGAACTTACCTCCTGATCCACATACTGCAGCAAATACGTCCAGCCAGTGAAATCGGTCGGATCGTCATTGACGGCCTTCCAGTATTTATCCAGCTCCGGCAATTTTTTCGGCTTGGCCGGCTTCTCCTCCTTCTCCTTCTCCGGCGACGCCTCCACCGCGGGCTTCTTCGAAGGGGCCTCGTTTTCCGACGTGGGCGAGCCCGGATCGTAGTCGCCCTCGTCCAACTTCCGTTTGGTGCCCTCCTTTTTCGTGGAGGCCGTCGGAAGCTCGTCTTCCGACACGACTTCCGTGTCGGCCGGAAGTTCCGCTCTTTTAGGACCCGGAAGTTCCTCGTCGGACACCTCCTCCGTTTCGGGCACTTTGGCCACCGGAACTTCGGGAAGTTCGTCCTCCGAAATGTTCTCGGCGTCCGGATCGCCGTTTTGTTTGGTCACTTCGGCGATTTCCGGCATTTCGGCGTCGCTTAGATTGTCAAGGCCGTTTTCCGATTCTGGTTTGGCATCGGTTTTTGGAGCATCATCATTTGTTTCCATTGCTTCTTCAGTCTTTTCTTCTAGCACTTGCTTTTCCAAATCTTCCATGCTTTTGCAACTTTTATCGACTTTTTCTTCATCTGATTCCTCTTTTTCAGGTTCTTCTTCCACACTTTCTTCCATTATTTCCTCAACTTTTGCTGTTACTGGTTCAACTTTTTCTGTTACTGTTTCAACTTTTTCTGGTACTGATTCGACTTTTTCTTCTACTGATTCAACCTTTTCTATTTCTGATTCAACTTCTTCTATTTCTGATTCAACTTTTTCTGCTACTGATTCAACTTTTTCTGCTACTGGTTCAACTTTTTCTTCTGTCTCTTCTTTGGCTTGTTCTTTTTCTTCTTCAGAAGAATCTTCAGATTTTATTGCACTCAGTGGTACTTCATCATCAGAATCAACTTCCATGGGAGTAGCTTTTTCTGCCAAATCGTTTAACCCAACTTCATTTTCATCACCCTAAAATGTTAAACTCTATATTTTATATGAAACTATAAAATACATAATAAACAATAAACAATGTTGAGTGAAAACTGTATTACCAGTTTAGAAATAATATTACAATAATGCTAGTAACATACTTAAATTCAAACAATCTTATCTACTTGTTTTTGCCATTTATTGCTATGCATGTCATTAAGAACTGTAAAAAACGGTCGTTAAATATAAATTTAAATTGTTTACTTCACAGGTATACTGGTAAGGTTAAATTTGAAGGTGGAATGCAGCCTTATGATGAAAAGAAGTGAATGAGATAAATTAAGAATAATAGTAGAGAAAAGTTGTGAACTACAAGACTTGTAGTAGTTTCATCTGAGGGTTTAAAATTTAAATTTTACTTGAATTATTAAAAATTAACCTAAAAATACATATTTGTTTTTAGGAAATTTCACTTGCCCTGAAGTACAGTATATGTATAATAAAAATTATTTTTAACTACAACCTATATGGGTGAATCATACAAAATGTCCCCCAATAGTGTTACCCCATGATATTTAATAAAACTAAATGAGTTTGACCTACACTTTTATTGTTTTTTGATCTTTTATAATTAAGTAGATATTATAGCTAAGGTTCCAAATTTTAAAACCTATCCTCCGTGACTGTTACTCTTTCTAGGTTAACCTATATGTTTTCAAATATCTGGGGTAGTAAAAGCATACAAAAAATATCAGTTCACTAAGTAAATTAAACACATCCAAAACAATCACATCAAATAAAAAATATTATTAAAAATTAAAAGAAATAATATTTATAACCATTTATGTAGGTGTTACAAAAATTGATTCTATCCTCCGTGAATCTATTTTTGCTTTAAATTTTATGCAATGGATGGCGCTTTAACCATTTTAAATAAGCAAAAACCTCTATTTACTACATTATAGATGCATGTGATAGTGTTGCTGTTTTATATTTCAAAAGTTTAAGTTCATTAATTTGCTATTTAAAAACCTATCCACCGTAAAGTGTAATATCTCAGTAAGTAGATTTTTTATAAATATTTTATGTATGTATTTTTTAAAAATATTAGGGTGTCAAAAGAAACAACTTATTTCAAATATGCAAAGGGATGTTTAAAAAAAACATAAGAAATCCTAACCTCCGTGAAGCTCTAATATTCAAAATGTATGATTTCTTAAAATTATTGCATTAGTGTAGACCTGGTGGCTTCCCAAAAACCCCATTCTAGACTAACAGTGAAACAACCAAAAATAAAAAATAATCATTTTCAGTTTAACGGCGGCCATTTTTGTTGTTTACAATTCTTGTGCTTTGGGTTTGTGCTGTTTAATAATTGTTTTAAACATTGTGTTTCTTACAGAGGCACTTGTAAGCCTCAAATAAGGCCTTTAAGTGCCAAGGACAACCATTTTACTCCTCTTTTATAATAAATATACCTTATTCTATCAGGGCTGTCAAATGACAATTTGAAGGTTAATTTGTGGGTTATAATTTGACCTTAAAATTGACATTTGACAGTTTTATGACAGCCCTAATAGAATAAAGTTTATTTTTTACAATAGAGGAGTAAAATGGTTGTTCTTGGCACTTTAAGGACTTTTTAAGGCTTACTATGAGAAACACAACGTTTAAAACGATTATTAATCTGTATAAACAGAGCACAAACCCAAACCACAAAAATTGTAAACAACAAAAATGGCCGCCGTTAAACTGTGCAGTGTTGCAGTAATTTTTTGTATTTTTAGTATGTTGTTGTGTGGATTGTGATGACATTTATCCTTGATAATAACACATTTCAAATGTTGTCAAATGAATATTGATATCTCAATTCGCTTTTAAAAAAAGTTTAATTATTAAAATGATAATAAAAAATAACAAAACCATTCCAAACACACCACACGGCAAAACATTTTGATGATTTTGAAACATTAGAGTAATTTTAAAGTTATAACTTTAAACTAAAGAAAGACAGTTTTTTATTTGTATTTTATTATAGTTTTTTGTCAGAGACTTAAGTTATGACAAAGCTAGGCACTAATAACTGATTTTAAGCAATAAAATGCACTTACATTAGAAGTCTCAACAGGATGTGCAATTTCTTCAAGTGGTTTATCATCATCATCTTTTTCTTTCTGCACTAATTTTTCAACAGGATGTGCAATTTCTACAAGTGGTTTATCATCATCATCTTCATCTTTTTCTTCCTGAATTTCCTGAATTTCTTTCTCAACGGGATGTGCAATTTCCACAAGCGGTTTATCATCATCATCATCATCCTTTTCTTCCTGAATCAATTTCTCCTCGTTGATCTGTGCAGAAATTTTACTCATCTCTTCTTTAACTGTGCATTTAAGTGCTTCAATGTTGGGCTCTTCTTTTTGTTCTCCCGCGATTTCTTCTAATTTCTCTTCTTCATGGGATTCTTGCGCTTCGTCGTCGGACACTTCAACTTCAATAACTTTTTTTCTTGTTCTCCTCGTTGTGGGTGTTTTTGCTGCTTTTGCCGGAGTTTTGACGCTTCTCCTTGAACGTGTTCTTCGCACTAAAGAAAAAAATTATCGTGCAACTTAAAAAACGCAAAAAGAAACAAATGACATACCGCTTGTAACAGTTTCTTCGTCGGACATTTTCAGGTAGGTATTTACTAAATAATTACCGATAAATTAACGTTAACTCTCTGTCAGTGCTATAATTTCATCACCGGTATCTTGAAAGGTTTATTTTTTCCCTTTATTTACAAAATTCACACTAGAAACACTCTTATTAAAGAGGACGCAGCAAATATGGAGGACCGTCGTTTCTATGGTGACTTCAAGATGGCACAAAAATAATTAAAAGTCCCTAAACTTTTCGGGAAATTTAAAATCGATAAATTTCAGTATTTCAAAATTAATAGGATTGCAATATTTTGGACTCTGGAAGTAGATACAAGCCAGAAGAAATAGAACTTAACAGTTAAGTAAATATAGATTTAAATGTATGCAACAATAGGAAGATTTGACAAAATATTTGACAGATTTCGTAACCATGGATTATAAATAGTACATTGGCAAACCTGTTTTGTTACCATCACTTGTCATAAGGTTATAGTTGGATGTATTTTTATTGAATTAAATAAAAATTATCTGGTATTATCGTTAACTAAAATTATTTATGTAAAACGATATGTTTTCACTACAAAATCAAAACCAGGTTAGATTCGCAAAGCTAAGGTAATTGTCTCATGTCCTTACATCAACCTTACATTTTTAGGCATTCATAACACTTTCGCAAGTTTCAACGAAAATAACTCCAAAACGAAATGTATTGCTAAATAAAAAGTCCAGCCAGAAAGCCAAGCAATCCAACATACTATGTTTAGATAGTTTTTTAGAAACTTTAAAGAACTGTGACTTTTCCTTTGCAAGACACATAAACACAAAGTCATTGTTTGAAAACAGATTATTAAACAACTTTAAAGTATCCTACGTATCTAATGACAGTTTCTTCGAAAACAAGCATGGATTTTCAGAGCAAAAATCAACTCCAGATTTAGTACCGACACTGGTTTTCCAAAAAAACAACAAAAATCTCCATGTTCCTCAAGGGTTCTACCAGACTTTGGTCCACAATTTAAAGCAAGACAATAATTGCAAATTTAATATACAAGTGAGGGGTTTTAAGACTGACAGAAGTATAAAAGCTGAAGTTAAACGGAATCCAACTTTAACATCGCGATTTAAAAGTGCTTTTGGGTTTCAAGGGCCTGAGAATGTTGATCCAAAACTATCAGGCAACGTGGTGACAAACTCAGACAAGTTGAAAAATATTCTTACCTCGGACGATAGCAATGTTTCAGAAACTGAAAAACAAAGAATCAAAATTGCCTTTGCGGAGGGATACTTACTGGGAAACACAAACCCCAAAACTGGGAAGGCCACCAAATACTTCAGAATAGTACAACAAGTTTTAACTATTGTTATATTTATGGCTATAGTTATTAGTTTAATGGCTAGTACAAATGGCTCAATATTTAGGTAAGTCACAGCTTTTTATTTATATTATATTTAATGTATTAAATATTTATCCGTTTTTTATAGAATTCAATTAGGTAATCAAGTTGAGGTTGACCCGGAAGATATCCATGTAACATTTGACGATGTTAAAGGAGCTGATGAGGCCAAACAAGAACTAAAAGATGTGGTTGAGTTTCTCAGGAGCCCTGATAAATTTTCCACTTTAGGTGGCAAATTACCAAAGGGAGTTCTACTTGTTGGACCACCAGGTAATTGTTTGCATATAAAATATATTTAACATTTTAGCTTTAAAGTCTAATACCTATATAAAATTTATTATTATATTATAAATCTCTTTTAGTTAATTTTATTTATCATTCTGGGGCTAGTTATAACAAGAAAAAATGTTGTTTGTAATATTTTAACAATAAGCCACTCATATTTTTTGGTACAAAAATCAACTTTAATTTAATAAAATTAACATTTATTTTCATATAGTTTTATATTTTTCTTTTGACTTTATTTGTTTGTTGTTTTTAAATATTTTGGCTCATGCTTGTAAACACAACATTTTGTTTTTATTTACTACATTTGATTTTAATTTTTAAATAACTTTGGCTATGGATTTGTTTTTGTTTATTTGATTAAATTAAGTTAATTTTATCTTAAATCTTTTAAATAACAATTTTATAAAAAATAGAATCCATACATGTGCAGATTGTGAGGCAAATAATTCTACAACCCATAGAAAACAATTTAAAAAAAACTCAAAAATATAAAAAAAAATACAAATCAAAATTTTAGAAAATAGGTATATCAGCTTTTTGAGATTGTTCCAATCCATTTTTATTTTTTTTCATAAAAAAATCAGAGTGGACTTTTTTCAATTTTTTTTTCATTGAAAATTTATTTTTTCCCAATTGCTTATTTATTTTTTCATTAAAACCATGTTTTTTGGCGGTTAAATAATTTAAATATTTTGGACAACAATTACAATCATTTATATTTATTATAAATTTATTCTTTATAAATATCATAGAACAATGTATTTAACATGTATTTAAATTGATTTTATTATAGAATTAAAAACAAGTTTTTTCAATAAAAAAAAATAGAAATAAGCCACTTTGGGAAAAGTTTTTTAATAAAAAAAAAATAAACAATAGCGAACTTGAAAAATGTATGGTTTTTCTAAAAAAACTAAAAAACGTTAAATTTTTTTCTGAAAAGTACATTCAAAATTCATAAATTGAGATAAAACGTCCCATTTAGTCAATTTAAAAAAAGTTATGGGTACTTTTTTTCAAAAAAAATTTTTTGGTTGGGTAAAAAAAATTGAAAAAATTCTGAAAAACGTTTTCAGTTTGGTAGAAAAATATAAAAAGTCAGCCCAATCGAAAGGGTCGATTTTGCGTGGAACGACCCATATTCAAAAATAAAAATTTTGAACATAACCAAATTCTTCTTCTAGTTTAAAGTTCATGAAATTATTTTCAAATTTTAAAATTAACATGAAATTTGAATACAAATAATTCATATTATATATCTGTCAGTTTTACGCTAATTTTATAATATTTTCCGAAAATAAGACGAAATAATTATTAACGCTTAAGCGATAAACTGACAGATAGATACCCTCAAATATTTGTTTTGAAATCTCAAGGTGGGACTTTTTGTTTGCAACTCACCCCTGTAAAATCTTTATTTATTGTGCGATTTTAACCGGATTTGTTGTAAAGTGTAGATCTTGATAAACTGTATTTTTGGAGCAAAAAACGCCATATTTGTACAAAGTACAATTCCTACTATGTCAGTTTTTAAGAGAAAATTTTTAAGAATTCATATTAGCGATTTTTTTAAACAAAATCTAAGCACGGCACTGGATATGTACACAATACTTCGAAAAACAGCAGGGGGCATCATAATACCAATACATAAACATTTTTTATCTACACCTACATTGACAAGCTGTGACTTTATGGCGTTTTAGTCACGGGCTGAAGTTAACAACAGTGGCTTTTGGGCATTTTAGTCACGGCCCTAGTAGCAATGGAATTGGACAAGATTCTTTGTCAAGATACTTGGAGAAGCACTTTGTAAAGAATTGGACAATTCTTGACCAAGACTCTTGATCAAAATTCTTTATCCAGACTGGTGGCAGACTTGGGCAAGTCTGTGACCAGAATTTGACCAGATTCTTGGCCAAGAATTTTAACACGATTACACGTTAAATAGGAACTTTCAATTCAAGATTTTTGGTCAATACAAAATTTTTTTAAACTTCAAAAGTTAAGAATGTTACTAAAACATTAATTGTCCACGTTTTCTTTCCAGTAATTTCGGTTTTTATCCATAAATCTGGTAAACAATAGAATTAAAAACGAAAAAAAATTTGAAAGAGTTAATTTAATTTTCTATGTTAAAAAAAAACCAGGTCCCGTAAAAATAAACATGTATTTTATAATCTTTCATGTTCATAAAGAGTAAACTCTAGTTATGCGTCAGAGCTGACACACACTTTTTTTTTAATTTTTGATTTTTAGAAATAACAATTTTTATTTTTCAAAAAATCAATTTTTTTCTTAGCTAGAAGACGAATCCAATAAGCTCTTATTCGTATTTTCACATAAACAAAAAAACTATACTCATTTCCTACAGAGAACTCACTTCTCGACTAGTATACATTATTGTGAATGATACTACTGTAGAATGAGAACCTCCAAAGATAATACATAATGTATTATCTTTGAGAACCTCTACTCTATAGGATAGTCCCAAAGTTTAGCAATAGATGGCCTCAGATTTCTGGTCATCTATGGGTCAAATTCTTGTCAAATTCTGGCCGCAGTCTGGCTCAAGTCTTGCCCAATAATCTTGGCCAAGAATCTGGAACAATTCTTGTACAATTCTTGAGCAAAAATCTGTCCAAAGTATCTTGACCCATGCTGGGCCAAGACTTTTCCGGAATTGCTACTAGGGTAAGGTAAAATCATTTTTATTTAATTTTTTATTTTATTGCGGGAATAAGTTAATTAATTCATTTTTTTAGGAACTGGAAAGACTTTGCTGGCAAGGGCTGTAGCTGGCGAAGCGGGAGTGCCGTTTTTCCACGCTGCAGGACCGGAATTTGACGAGGTGTTGGTGGGGCAAGGGGCCAGGAGGGTCCGCGACCTGTTCAGTAATGCACTCTCCGCTTGACACTGTAACCTTTATGACAACAAAATGCGATTTTCAGAGGCCGCGAAGGAGAGGGCGCCCTGCGTGATATTCATCGACGAAATCGATTCGGTCGGTTCGAAGAGGACGAACAGCGTCCTGCATCCGTACGCGAACCAGACGATAAACCAGCTGCTCAGCGAGATGGACGGCTTCCACCAGAACGAAGGCGTGATCGTGTTGGGGGCGACGAACAGGCGGGAGGATCTCGATCAGGCTCTGCTCAGGCCCGGAAGATTCGACGTGGAGGTAAGAAAATTTAATGATTTTTGTTATTATACAGGGTGTTATGTAATTAATGTTATATATTAAAATACTGAATACCTTTTGACATAAGGAATAAAGGAAAAATATTTAAAAAAACATTTTTCCAAAGATAAAGAAAAAATATGCATTAGAAGTTTTTTATATTTTTTTGATACGCCACTGGTTACACACTTGTTTATCTCTGCACACCTGTATTTTGTGAGTACATAGATACCAACCAACAAAGTAGCTATGCGTTGCCAGATGTAAAAAATTGTTACTAAAAATTTTTCTTGCAAAAAATAAATAAAAACTCAATAAATACAAAAGTTTTATGCCCTTAAAGCTCTAATACCCTTCTGTATTTATTTACTGATCCAGCTATTAGCTTAAGCAATGATTAGAAAATTTAGTACCTTTGAAATTTGAAATCCATAACCACAAAATTAATTTTTTCATCAGTTTTTTCTCTGTTTACTCAGATGAAATTGGGACCAGTTCACAGGTTAAACTTTAAACATTTAATTTGTGTAAATAAATCCAAAAGCACTTCCCTTAGTTAAGATATTTACAATTTGAAAACATAACCTAAAATTTAAAAGAAATGCACTAGATTCTGTCATAAAAGTTGGCAGATTTTGTTTGAATTTACCTTCAGTACAAAAATGAAATAACCAACAATTAATAAAAACGCCAAATTGACAATTTGCATTGTTAATTTTGTCATTTTTGTAATTAAGCTAAATTTAAACAATGCCTAGCTCTTGGTCTGAGATGCCTAGCAACTTTTTTGAAAGATTTTGGAAACAGTTGTTACCAACCATAACATAATAAATCCACCAGATTAACCTAAAGTTCCTAGTCGATCAGTGGCGTACTTTTTGGTAGGATAAATTATTTTTAGACTTTGGAATTTAGAAAAAAAAAGTTTCAGGTGCTTCTTTATGGACCCTAAGGAACAACCCATTTTAATATATAACATTAATTACATAACACCCTGTAAGTATAAGGCCTGTCATAGCAAAACCGACAATCTCCACTTTTGGTCAAAAATTAGATTTTTGGCGGAGACTGTACTTCAACTAATTACCCTAGTAGCAATTCCGGAAAAGTCTTGACCCAGCCTGGGTCAAGATACTTTGGACAGATTTTTGCTCAAGAATTGTACAAGAATTGTTCCAGATTCTTGGCCAAGATTATTGGGTAAGACTTGAGCCAGACTGTGGCCAGAATTTGACAAGAATTTGACCAGAGGCCATCTATTGCTAAACTTTGGGACTATCCTATAGAGTGGAGGTTCTCATTCTACAGTAGTATCATTCACAATAATGTACACTAGTCGAGAAGTGAGTTCTCTGTAGGAAATGAGTATAGTTTTTTTGTTTATGTGAAAATACCAATAAGAGCTTATTGGATTCGTCTTCTAGCTGAAAAAAAAATTGATTTTTTGAAAAATAAAAATTGTTATTTCTAAAAATCAAAAATTAAAAAAAAAGTGTGTGTCAGCTCTGACGCATAACTAGAGTTTACTCTTTATGAACATGAAAGATTATAAAATACATGTTTATTTTTACGGGCACCTGTTTTTTTTTACACAGAAAATTAAAAACTTTAACTCTTTCAAAATTTGTTTTGTTTTTAATTCTATTGTTTACCAGATTTATGGATAAAAACCGAATTTACTTGAGAAAGAAATCGTGGAAAATTAATGTTTTTAGTAACATTCTTAACTTTTGAAGTTCAACAAAATTTTGTATTGACCAAAAATCTTGAATTGAAAGTTTCTATTTAACGTGTAATCGTGCAAAAATTCTTGGCCAAGAATCTGGTCAAATTCTGGTCAAAGGCTTGTCCACGTCTGCCACCAGACTGGATAAAGAATTTTGATCAAGAGTCTTGGTCAAGAATTGTCCAATTCTTTACAAAGTGCTTCTCCAAGTATCTTGACAAAGAATCTTGTCCAATTCCATTGCTACTAGGGTATCTATAAGATGATAAAGTTTATGTGCTGCAAAAGGAGCTAAATCTTGCCTAAAATCCTATTTTAAAAATGACATTTAGTACCGACAATCTCCACTTTTGGTCAAAAATTAGATTTTTGGCGGAGACTGTACTTCAACTAATTATCTATAAGATGATAAAGTTTATGTGCTGCAAAAGGAGCTAAATCCTGCCTAAAATCCTATTTTAAAAATGACATTTAGTGCAAAGTCGACAATCTCCACTGATAGATTTGCAGCAAAGTATACAATCTCCAATTCCACCATTAAAAACTAGTAATTTGTGTCACCTGATATCCTAACATTTGATGTTATAACGTATTTTAGAGATTTAATTTTGTGTTTTTTACTGGTACATACTGTTAAGTGCTATTGCAGTAAATTGCACTTAAAATAGGTAAATCTACGTACTATTGTTTTAAGAATTACAAAAAAAGATATCTTGTTTATTTTGTGCTATTACACCACAATAAGACGAAAAGGTAAAGCAAGAAAAGGCTGATAATGTCAAAACATTTCAAGTAAAACATTACGCGGCAAAGTGGGAAGGAGATGATGAGTTGTTGTACTATAAATTTTTTTTTGCACGAGGCAAGCTGGTCCCAGATTTAGAAGAAACTCCAGATTTATGTGGTCCAGTTCAGAATTTTCCCGCATTGATTGTATAGTTAAATTTTATACCCATTAAAGGGAGAAAAATACAATTATTTTTTTGTTTATTTTTCTAAATCTCCTTAAACGTTTACAACAAAATCACCAATCTCCAGCAATTCATATCAAAGTCAGCAATCTCCAATTTATAATTATCGATTTTACCTATACTATGCATCCTGGAGAGTTGGCTACTAGACTAACAACAACGATATTTCAATATAATATATAAAAAAATTACAAATCTAGAATTTAAAATACCAAAATCAATTATCTCAATTGTTGACTTTGCTATGACAGGCCTCATATGTACTATGCTTCACACCTCAAAGTTCCACCACGTGACCACGTACGGAACGCAGTCTTTTGAAAATTTGGCATTTAAGGCTTTTCAGGTTATATATTTGTCAAAGTATAGTAAACGAAAGAAATAATATTATGTTTAGGCGTTAAAAATGTATAAATCTTTATAACATTACAATAACAATGGATGGTTTAAGAATTTAGGAATATAAATACTGCATTTAATAAAATTCTTAAGTGTATGGTGCCAAATAAGTAATATTTTTGTGCATTTGGTCCAAATATCTGGTTTTCTCCATACAATAATTTTAACTAAACAGCATTTATTAAAAAAAATCTAGCTTCTTTATTATGGAATAGGAATATCTGTTTTAAAGGTTGGTTAATATATTTTAACAAAAATATCATCTAATTTTGTAATTTTAAGCTTAGAAAAATGTATTTTGACCAAAAGTATTTTGGATTATTTAAAAGACTGTATAGTATGGTATTTAAAAATGTGGTAGTTTTTCTTATCCAGCTTAAAATGCACCTACAAGTTTTGTCAATAAAAAAGAGCTTCGACTGAACTTGATCTACATTGAAAAATTATTATAACTTTAAAAATTTTAATAAATCACATGTCATGGGAGTTTTAAATATTTCACATTGCAAGTTTCTCTAAAAATTCTAAAATCTAACTTAAAGTAGGTATGCCAAGAGGTATGCACAAGTTTTGTCATTAGAAGTATAAAAGCTTCAATTTAATTTGAACCATATTCAACAATTATTTAGTATACCTATATTTATTTATGACCACATTAACACACTCTTCGAAATAATCCACTTATTTATTTTGGTCAAAATAGATTTTTCTAACCTTAAAATACAAAATTAGATGATATATTTTGTTCTAATAGATTAACCTACCTTTGATACAGATATTCTTATTTCATAATAAAGAAGTTAGATTTTTTTTAATTAATGCTGTTTAGTTAAAACTATTTTATGGAGAAATGTAGACCCAATGCACAAAAATATCACTTATATTGCACCTTACACTTTGGAATTTTATTAAATGCACTATTTATATTACTAAATTCTTAAACCAACCATTGTTATTGTGATACTATAAAGATTTATTAACTTTTAACGCTTAAACATAAGCGGTAACACTATAAATATTATTTCTTTTATTGACTATACTTTGACAGATACATAACCTGAAAAGCCTTAAATGCCAAATTTTCAAAAGACTGCGTTCCGTACGTGGTCACGTGGTGGGACTTTGAGGTGCGGAGCATAGTACTTGTGGAATAAGGTGTTAAATTTGAGCTTAGGTTTACTTTTACTTGTTCAAAAGTGAAGATCGTTTTAATTGTTTTTAGGTAACAGTACCTACTCCTGATTTTACTGGAAGAAGGGACATTTTGGGTTTATATTTAAGCAAAATATTGGCAAAGGACATAGATTTAGATTTATTGGCACGTGGTACCACTGGATTTACCGGTGCCGATTTAGAGAATATGGTAAACCAAGCTGCACTAAGGTAAGGATACCTTTTTTGTATTTTTGGTGCTAATAAAGTATGAGGTGGTCAATAATGATAAGCGGTTTTGAAAAAATTATAACAAAAAAGTATTATACAGCCCCTGGTCATTTTTTTTTGAGGTCGCTGATTACGATACTAAATTGATTTTTAAAATTCAATTGGCGGACAAATTATAAAAGTCATTATATCGTTTTTTTTTCGTTTTTAATGTACAGAATTTAAATTTTTAAAATTCAAAATGGCGGATTCAATATGGCGGACAAGTTTTATAAGTATAAGCGGTTTTAAAAAAATTATAACAAAAAAGTATTATATAGTCCCTGGTCATTTTTTTGGCTCACAAATTTTCTTTAAAATCGAAAAATTGTAAAACCAAAAAAGTGCTTTTTTGAAAAACTCAATTCTAAAGAAGTCTTTTTATAAGTTTATACAGTAGGACTCTTTAAAATGCTTAACTGCGAAGTCAAAGAAAAGGGTTCCTCAAGAGTTCTTTTTTGAGAAGTCTTGATTAGTTCAATAGGTGGCGCATTCGAAGTCTTAAGAACTTCTTAAAAACTTCTTTCTGATGTTGTATTCCAAGTCCAAATCATAAAATAGAGCTTATGCAGACTTAATTAAGACGTCATATTGCTGTCTGGGAACCCTGCCTAAAAGAGATTTGACTTATGTACTTTATAGTATTAAGTTCATACCAAAAGAACTGATCTTTAAAATATGAAAACGTTCAATTTCCTACCTAAACAAGGTGCTAAATAGGAAGTCTATACTAAAAGAAATAAAAGAACTGATCTTTAAAAAATAAAAAGTTCCAACCTGACAAAAACCACCTAAGTGCCATCTACAACCTAAACAAGATTTGACCCGACGAAAACAATCTAAAAAAAAAATAGAAAAGAGTGAGGGCCCTCCTCCTTTATCCGGGCTTGGGACCGGCAGGTTAAAAATACCTGGCGGAGTTACCCTCCACCCTCCTTATCATATTATATACCTAAAATTTCCTAAAACAGATAAAGTATTTAAATAAACAAAAGCACGCAAAAAACTAATTTACTGGTTGTATACACACTCGCATATAAGATTCACTCGCACCCTGAAGTTCCAAGAAGTCCAAGATGTCCATGTCAGGTCCAAATGAAGGAATTAGGGTAATAGGAAGGGTAGAAAAGGAAAACGACAGATAATTAAGTTACAAATAGATTATCGCCGGTGCGCAACAACATGCTCCACGTTAAAAACGGGTTGGCACGGATTACCGATGTTCCGAGACAAAATCCAGAAAGTACTTTCAAGATCCATCTACCATTTTAATTTAATTCAACAATCTAAAGATTGTGAAATTGAACTAAAATGGGTCTAAATGGAAGGAATAAAAAGGAGGGTTTTATAGGAAACTCCTGGGCGCCTGGTTCCATAGGATAATCACTATCTAAAACAGACTACAACGACGAAAAGAATTTAAAAAATATGTTTACCCACCCAAAAGCGAACAAATAAAGAATTAGTTTCATCTCCAACTTGAAATTTGACCTGACGAAAAGAATTTAAACAAAATTTTGACCTATGATCCCTACAAAAACAAAGTAAAAGAAGAAATCTTTAAAAAAAAAAGTTCCATATCCAACTTAAAGAATCTAATAACAATTTGACTTACGACCCCTAACAAAAACGAAATAAAAGAACAAATCTTTAAAAAAAGAATAACTTCCATATCCAACTTAAAGAATCTAATAATAATATTACTTACGACCCCTAACAAAAACGAACTAAATAAAGAATTAGTTCCATATTTGCCCTAACAAAAAGAATCTAAACAAAATTTTTATCTACAATCCCTACAAAAACAAAGTATAACAACTAATCTTTAAAAAAAGAATAAATTTCATATCCAACTTAAAAAAACTAATGACAATTTGACTTACGACCCCTAACAAAAACGAACTAAAAGAACTTATCTTTAAATAAAGAATTAGTTCCATCTCCAACTTAAACAAGATTTGCGCTCACAAAAAGAATCTAAAAAAACTTTGATTTACGACCCCTAACAAAAAAAATAACTCATCTTTAAAAAAGAATAAGTTCCATATTTAACTTAAAAAAACTAATGACAATTTGACTTACGACCCCTAACAAAAACAAACTAAAAGAACTTTAAATAAAGAATTAGTGTCATCTCCAACTTAAACAAGATTTGCCCTAACAAAAAGAATCTAAAAAAGTTTCGATTTACGACCCCTAACAAAAAAAATAACATCTTTAAAAAAGAATAAGTTCCATATCCAACTTAAAAAAACTAATGATAATTTGACTTAAGACCCCTAACAAAAACGAACTAAAAGAACTTAACTTTAAATAAAGAATTAGTTCCATCTCCAACTTAAACAAGATTTGCGCTGACAAAAAGAATCTAAAAATTTTTTGATTTACGACCCCTAAGAAAAAAAAAACAGAACTAATCTTTAAAAAAGAATAAGTTCCATATTTAACTTAAAAAAAACTAATGACAATTTGACTTACGACCCCTAACAAAAACGAACTAAAAGAACTTATCTTTAAATAAAGAATTAGTTCCATCTCCAACTTAAACAAGATTTGCGCTCACAAAAAGAATCTAAAAAAATTTTGATTTACAACCCCTAACAAAAAAAATAACTCATCTTTAAAAAAGAATAAGTTCCATATTTAACTTAAAAAAACTAATGACAATTTGACTTACGACCCCTAACAAAAACAAACTAAAAGAACTTTAAATAAAGAATTAGTTTCATCTCCAACTTAAACAAGATTTTTCCTAACAAAAAAAATCTAAAAAAGTTTTAATTTACGACCCCTAACAAAAAAAATAACTCATCTTTAAAAAAGAATAAGTTCCATATCCAACTTAAAAAAATTAATGACAATTTGACTTAAGACCCCTAACAAAAACGAACTAAAAGAACTTAACTTTAAATAAAGAATTAGTTCCATCTCCAATTTTAAACAAGATTTGGCCTGACAAAAAGAATCTAAAAAAATTTTGATTTACGACCCCTAACAAAAACGAACTTAAAGAACTTATCTTTAAATAAAGAATAAGTTCCATCTCCAACTTTAAACAAGACTTAACCTGACAAAAAGAATCTGAAAAAGTTTTGACTTACGACCCCTAACAAAAAAGAACCAATCTTTAAATAAAGAATAAGTTCCATCTCCAACTTTAAACAAGATTTGACCTGACAAAAAGAATCTAAAAAAGTTTTGACCTACGACCCCTAACAAAAACGAACTTAAAGAACTAATATTTAAATAAAGAATAAGTTCCATCTCCAACTTAAAGAATCTAATAACAATTTGACTTACGACCCCTAACATAAACGAAGTAAAAGAACTAATCTTTAAATAAAGAATAAGTCCCATCTCCAACTTTAAACAAGATTTGACCTGACAAAAAGAATCTAAAAAAGTTTTGACCTACGTTCCCTACAAAAACGATGTAAAGGAACTAATCTTTAAATAAAGAAATAGGTTCCATCTACAACTTAAACATGATTTGACCTAAACAAATATTAGAAATATTTCCCAACACGAAATCAAAACACAAAGTGCACAAAGCGAAGTGTAACTAAATCTAAATGCTAAATCTACCATATGTATACTAATTATAAGCTAAGGTTGACTTAACCGTTAACGGACACTGGACCGTAACCGCTTCAGTGAACACGTAAAGAGAAACTAACAAACTAATTTATACAAACTAGACCAGGGTACCGGTCCGTTATCGCCATTTAAAGATTTATTTGTATTCTTATAGATGTATAAACCTTCATAAATATCTAGCAGACTTGGTTTCTTAACTTCCTTAAGTTTAAGGTTGTCAAATTCTATTCTATGACCATCATCAAGTATATGTTGGGCAACAGTCGATTTCTCTGTTCTACAAAATCTAGCATTGGCCAAGTGCTAGATTTTGTAGGACAGAGAAATGGAGTGGATATTGAGCAACATTCGACTTAGCTGTCCTACCAAATCTAGCATGGGCCAAGTGCTAGATTTGGTAGGGCAGATAAATCGATTGTTCTTCAACGTATACTTAATGATGGTCATAGAATAGGATTTAACAACCTTAAACTTACGCCTACTAAATAGTTATAAAAGTTTATACCTCTATAAAAATAGAAATAAATGTTTAAATAGCAATAACGGACCGGTACCCAACTAGAGTTTGTTAGTTTCTCTTTACGTGTTCACTGAAGCGATGACGGTCCAGGGTTTAGTAAACTATAATAATTGGTATAAATTTGGTAGATTTAGCATTTAGATTTAGTTACACTTCGCTTCTGAAGATGCCAAAATTGTTGGCGAAAAGTACTTTAAGCACTTTGTCTTTTGTTTCGGTAACATATCACCAAGAAACAAGATTTGAACTGACAAAAAGAATCTAAAGAAGTTTTGACTTACTACCCCCTAACAAAAAAAAAGAAAAATAACTGATCTTTAAAAAAGAATAAGTTCCATCTTCCACTTAAAGAATCTATTAAAAATTTGACTTACGACCCCTAACAAAAAGAGCTTATCTTTAAATAAAGAATTAAGTCCATATCCAACTTAAACAAGATTTGCCCTAACAAAAAGAATCTAAAAAAGTTTTGATTTACGACCCCTAAAAAAAAAAGAACTGATCTTTAAAAAAAGAATAAGTTCCATATCCAACTTAAAGAAACTAATGAAAATTTGACTTACAACCCCTAACAAAAACGAACTAAAACAACTGATCTTTAAATAAAGAATTAGTTCCATTTCCAACTTAAACAAGATTTGCCCTAACAAAAAGAATCTAAAAAAGTTTTAATTTACGACCCCTAACAAAAAAAAGAACTGATCTTTAAAAAAAGAATAAGTTCCATATCCAACTTAAAGAAACTAATGACAATTTGACTTACAACCCCTAACAAAAACGAACTAAAAGAACTGATCTTTAAAAAAGAATAAGTTCCATATCCAACAAAAAAGAACTAATCTTT